TGTCATCTATAGCTTTTCATATGCTTCTTCTTCTGTTNTCGGTACTGCTGCCGGTCCTTGTGCCTTCATGTACTGTATGATACTGTAATAACCTAGGCTATATAAATGTCATATGTTTACCATATCCACCCGTCTGAGCTCGCTTGGGGCTGGGAAGATGCCCATCTATTGGGATAAAATACAACCCGTTCGATTATCCAATGCAAGCAGAGGGACAACGAAAGGGTTTTATTCAACATTTCAAAAGAGGTGGAAGTGTCCAATTACCAGAAGTCGAAGATCACCCCATAGTAGGTGGGAAATCAACCTCTCACAGCACGAAACTGAACTGGTGAAAAGGAGCATAGGCGGGGTTATCTTCACCGTCTTTGTTCACCTCCTGCAACATCGAAGATCACCCTGTCGAGCCGCGACAGGGTGAAGATCGACCACTCTAACGTCGAAAACCACCTAAAACCCGGTTGATTTTCCGGTGACTTTCACCCGCGGCGACCTCCGTAGTGACGCATGCGTGTTCAGCGCTCTCCTTCACGTTCACGGTGCCGCTTCCTTGTCTCTTCCTTCTTTGAAAGCTTGGAGAGACGGACCTCACGACCCCTCTGCTGCAAAGGGAGTATAATATGCGGCGGGTTTCGTTCGATAATAGCGCGTATTCGGTTCGCCTTGTTGGCCATGTTCTCTCGCGTGTATTGGGCCTCTGTGGACCGCATGAAAGAGTTGAGTTCAGGCAGGGTAAGGGCTTCGAGGTCCTCCTGTACGTCCGCATTGCTGATGTGGTCGGATTCCATGGGCGGATATGTTGCTTGGGCCACGTGTCGTCGACGAGTTGTCAGGGATGGGGTTGTGCTAGCGGTCAAAGGGTGGCGCCACAACGATGCTGGTGAGGCCACATGGCGGAGTTCGCCGTCGCCGTCCACATTACAGCCGTTCCTGAAAATAATGAGAATCCCAACTTTTCTTTCAGGCGCGCTCAGAAAGGGAATCGCCCCCTAACTCTCAGACAGGAAGCGGCTGGCAGCGATCCTCACAGCGCGGAGTGCGTCACGGCCGAGCTGCACTCCGGTTTGTGATTTTGGTTGTGTTTCCTTTCTCGTCGCGCGTCGAAAAAAACCCCGATTCTCATTATTTACCGGAACGGCTGTAAGGACTTAAGTCGATTCCTCTGTGATTCGCTAACCTCAAACTGCCCGCCTCTCCTTTCCCCAGCGGTGACACACCAACATCATCACTTAGTATGCCGTTCTACAAAGGTAATTTCTTCAGATGAGCCACAAACCTGCAACCATTGACATCTTGCTTTGCAGGTTTGTGTCAGAAGATTCGACACATGTGGCGTTCAGTGCGACACCGCCGACCAGCTCAGGGACAGGCAGACACAGGTTCGACACATATTCAACGACGCCACCCATATGAAGACATTTACGACGAGTATCGACGTCAAGGTCTGACACGTCAGGTGAGAGTGGTGCGATCAGAGCCTGAGCTTGATAGGGGAACTCTCCATGCGCACATCTTGATCGTTGGGGGGGGAGATATTGCTCAATATATGCCGGTTCAGGTCGGTTACTTTATGTGGGCTGTCACCTTCTTTGTCACCCCTCTGATCCATTACATTTTAGGGCGGAAACGAAGCCGTGATGTCCAGACAATCTGTTGACAGTGGCTATGGGGACTCCGAGTGGTCGCTGCCTCCACCACTTGAGTCTGCATCTTCTCGATCGACTCTGTCGTCTATGCCAGCACTCGAGTAATCAGTCCATGTCATGTACTTTTACTCGATGTGTGCTTTTCATGTATACAATGATGTGGTGGAAATCTCTACATTCATCAAGAGCTCTATGCTATGGGTGCGATCCAATTCCATTCTGCTTTCACCGCTACATTCTCGACCCCCAAATATGTAAACGACAGGCACCCAGCATCAAAAAATGTTCGTGTACCACAAACATGTCGCAGCAGCTTGTTACACGTCTGCTGATTGTACCCCCACCAATCGAACGAGAAACCCCTCGCCCCCAAAAGTGTCCACTGTGAAATCGAGCGAGCAACACCATGCTGTTGTTGCACATTGCCGTTTGCGATGGCGTGAAGCCGAAGGGTAAGTCGAGGGTATGCGATGCAGATGGAGTGAGCCGTGAAGAAGGTGTAATGGGCGGTTGTCAAGGACAGGCGAAGGGGATCCGTCGAATAAGCGCTGCGGCTCTCGATGATGTCGACTCGACGGTGTGTACCGGGATGAATCAGCCTCTTGATTCTGGATGCGTGGGGAGGGACGTCGCGGAGACGTCCCACGTATGCATATCCTGTAGTCATATTACATTAATTGTGCGACCTCGTTAATAGCTTGGATAAGACGCACCTCCAAGTCCTCGCTCTGCCGTTTCTCCCTCCGGGCTCCGCCACTCAACTAGGTCGATGTAGTCCTTCTCGAAGAATATTTTGCAAAATACTTCTAGAGCGAGATTGGGCACATAGATTGTGAGTGTTTGGTGTTCGATGTGGCGAGAGGGGAGACCGTGAAGTGCCACTTCGAGTGCTATGTCCTGTCCGACGGCGGCACTATATAGATCTATGTTGTGGAGGAGCTCATGGGGATACGGGTGATATTTCTTGATACTTTTACGGATCAATAATTGAATGAACTGCGCCACAAGCTGTCTGGACGAGTGAGATGTCTGTGAAAGTGACACGAGGCTCGGAATCGTAAGAAACTCGCACGTAAAGAAAGCGAGATCGTAACAGCGCAGGATGATGGACATGTCGACGATATGAACGAGTAAGGCGCGTTCGTCCTACATCACACAATTTTACCGCGATGTCCATAGGCATCCGTAGCTATAAAGTAGCCACAGTACTATTCAGTATCCACAGATCAGTAAATACCCACGTCAGGCATCTCTGGGGTTTTCAAGGCCCACGAGTGCTCAACGAGTTAGCGCATGTTTTGTGAGCACTGCATAGCTTTGCGAGCGATGTGTGGCACAAGCCCCACGACGATGGTTGTCTAGTGTGCATAGCTATGCGAGTTGTAAAAGTCACGCATAGGCATACATAGCACTGTTCAAGATGCAGAGTGGCGGATGCTCTACGGTCCATCTCAGGCTCATCGTAAGCAAATATGCCCGTGCATCTTAGACAGTCGCACACAGGTCATCACAGTGAGTGGCTCGTGGAGAGCAAAAATCTCGTCATTCGGAAGGTGTACACGACAAGAAATACAGATCAGAGCCTTGAGAAGTGAGACTAGTGCGAGAACTCCCCAGTCGGACCGAGACTAACACCGATGCCATACAACCACCAAGAAAGCAGACGGGGAAGACTGCGAATAATCGACATGAGGTGAAGGCTAGGTACCTCACGGTGCTGGTGTGGTTCGTGCTTGACTTCGAGTGGCGTGTCGTTGAGATGGGTTCGAGCTTGACGCTATGGCGTTCGAAGGTCTGTTGGCACCCGCCGTGCGGACCTTCTTCGATGAAGGGAGTTTCGGCCTTGGAGAGACCGTCACATCAGTCAAAGGCGAATCAGATCCGAGTCCATCATCATCACGCCGACGCTTTCCCAGCGGACCTGAGGTTTCCCAAACTAAAACATCAAGGAGAGCCTCATTATAAGGAAAGCGAGCCCATACCGGTCGGATCGTGTGAGTCGACGACTAATGGTGGGTCTGGCATCTTCTTTGGGAGCATGCGAGCTTTCGGAGGCCGGCTCGGCTGTGAGACAGTGGTAGCCAGTGTTGAAGCTCGCGTTTGACGGGCGAGTGGATCTATAACGAACCTCAGCAATGTCAGTGCGCAACCCGTACCTAGGCGGCAACAAAATCACAGACCTGTCCTGGGCCTACCAATCTGCATGTGGTATTCTTGGTGGAGAACAATGAGTACCGCATCAAGCAGAATGAACGAAGAAAACCATACCATCTGCCATAGTTAAAGGCTCGTCTTCGGTATGCGAGTGAATAGGGGTCGGTTTGGCCTTGGCCTTCTTGTTCCCTGGTCTCGACGCCGTCAGTATTTTCCCATTACCCGCGATAGAGTAGTAAAAGACAGACCTTTGTGAGGTGCCAGTGGGCGTTCACCTTGTCTGTGTTGCTCAGATCTGCCATCCTCAACTTGACGAGCTGATTTGATTAAGGAGATGAGTATCTTAGTATTCATAACACGTACCCTCTACAGTTTCTAGATAGAACAATAGTCGATAGATAAAATGAAAGCACAAACACTAGAGCACACCGTACCAGTGATATCCTTGGGCTCAGTGCTTTGTTGTTCGTCTAAGGCTATATAAGTTCCGCTGTAAACATGGATAAGTGGACGGTACCTAGAGCTCACCGTCAATGTTCGGTGCCTCAGTCACCCCGTCCGCATCGTAGTGGTCTGTCTCAAAGGTAGCAAGACCATACTCAATGGTGAACGAAGAGAAATAGGGTGTACCATCATTTTTCGAGAGGTGATGATCATACATGGTCTCGTCCGTGGATGGATCTGTGGATGAAAGATCAGGAACAAGAAGAGACGATTGAGATAAGACTCTTACCTGACGGATCTTCATAAGTTTGAGAACCACCGTTCGAACGAGTATCTATGGGATCATCTCGGTGATGTGACTATCATCGATATACTAGACAAAGAAGGGACAAACCTGACGTATGAACCTGATCAGGAAAACTCTCTTGCTCTGCTTCGGGATCCTCATCGTCGTTGGCATTGTCATCTTCGTCTGATGGACGGTAACGGGCCTTCTCCGCTTGACGTTGAGACGAAGATGGGAGACGTGGGGACGAAGGTGGTTGTTGCGATGAACGTGGACGAGACCGGGGTTGCTGCACTGAAAAACGGTCGGCAGCGGAATCGTGTTCCTGATTTCGAACAGCTACACCAAGTTGAGTGATTGAAATAAGTGAATGTTCAAGCAGGTGGGTTACTTACCGTCAGCTTTTCTCTGCTTCTCCTTCTCCTGAGCTCGACGCTCAGCACGTTCACGGGCTTGGCGCTCAGCACGTCGGGCTTTGATGAGACCAATGGTTGTTGTCGGCCCAGAAGTGTCGATCTTCTTCGCACGTGCAGCATTACCGAACACGTCCCTGAATATACCGTCTGTTAGTTTGAAGCGATGTACGGAGACAAGCCAAATAAAGGTACTCACTTTGTCCAAGCCTTCTCTGTTCGTTTGCGGAAACCGGGATCCTCCTTGCCAAATTCAATGAGGTTATCCCACAATTCGGACAGGTCAAACAGGCCATCGGTACGAGACCAGTGTGGCATGGAGGATACCACAAAGTAAGCCTGCTCAAGCGATGTATCAGTCATCTGAACTTCAACTTGTGATGAAGACGAGACGTACCAATACACAGCAGTAAACAATTCGCTCAAAATTCATCTCAAATACTCGGAACTTCTGGCTATTTGGGGGTTTCATCGATGCAGAGCCGCCGGATGCAGAGGCAGGAGCCGTCCAGATATGTCTTGCAATCTGGAAAGGAATTATCTGAGCGTGCTCAAGCAGACTAGGAAAGAAACTTACTGGCCGTCTTTGGAAACTCGGCGTCGAGGACTCAGGACAGCGCAAACGCACGACTTCTCCGACACCAGTCAAGCTTCCTGAGGTAGCTTGAGTCTCTTGCCGAAAGTGTTGGTGAAACTCGACTTGAAGTTTCGATTGTGGATATCATTGTGAAGCGGCTGGCCACCAGACTTGTATATCTTCTAAGACATTATGGCCTGCTGCGTAACCAAGTCTGAAGAAGAGGGATAGTACTTTGTGGCCAAGAGGTGCAGAGAGATATTTACGGAAGATGATGCCGGGTATGGTAGACACTGCCGAGAACTAGCATACAGATGAAAAGTCACGATAACGATATGAAAGCCTATAGCCCATGAGCAGAGATTGACACAAATGATGCGGGACGTAGTCGAGCTTTCAGTAAGTACAAAAGGACAGACAAGACGGGATGGCAAGACGGACGATAGGCGAACATGTGCAACTACGTCACTGCTATTTGCCGAGCTCTGGAACGGGCAGCGTGGGAGATGCAAATTACCCCGTTTTGGAAGGCGAGTAGCGATTTCGTCCACGCTCACCTGGATGACACTGATAAGGAGCCTAACTAGGCTGGGGTGGCAGGGTGTGGCACCCGAGCCTAGTTAGGCTTGATCGGACTTGGATCTTCGCCTCCGGGTTCGCCTCTTGTTTCGTCGCGACTTTCAGTGGCCTCGAGTCTCTTGCGGCCCCGTCTTCCGTCGTCGTTATCGGAGGCGTTCCGAGGCCTGCCCCTCGCCACATCTCCTCCCCCGCATCCCTGTCAACTTGCCCCTATAGCGCCACTCACCCTGCGACTCGGACTCAGCGCCGTCCTCGACGTCGACGACGACGATTGCCTCAACTAATGGCTGCATGTGCGCTCTGACATGCTCGAGCGTTCGTCGTCGCGCAGGTTCTGCCGTGGGATTCCCACACGTTCGTGTGTTGTCGTTGTCGTGTCGTGTAGGCTGCTCGTCGCCGCTGTGCTCGACGATGAGCACGTGTTTTCGGTCATTTGTGAAGCTTTTCACCGGTTTCTTTGTGTAGAAATTGTTTAAATACAGTCTCTTGACTTTGAGTACACCCACAAATACAGTTGTCCCTTAAACAAGTCGACAACTTTATTGATTTCTGCTATGTGGCCCAAAATACAAGCAAAAAACAAGATCTCTGAAAGGTGAGGAGGAGGAAGTTGACACTAAAGTGAGGACACATGATGTATGATCATGTACTGAGTATCTGCATGTGGCTTTGGTGAATTTAGCTGGTCTGAGAGGGTATGGAACAGATGGGGAAGGTGTGTGGGATGGTCATGAGGGTATGTAAAAGATAGCAGTCTGAAAAGTGCATGGATATGAACAAGAACATGTAGGTAGATGTTAATTAGTATGTAACTGAGATATATGTCGAGTTTTTGGGTGGTAGGAATGGTAGAAAGAGTGGGGGCTGAGTGGCACTCAGGAGAAGAGATGTGGGTACCACACCCCAACCAGGAAGAATCAAGTGGAAGCTGGTACATAGATAGAGTCTACTTACCATAAAACACCTTATTCCAGCCAAATCTACACCAATTCCACCTTCCAAAAAGTCCTAAACTCGAAATTTGCGAAAGGGAGGGTCACTTGAGGGAGGACCATGTTGAACAGTGACTGGAGATTGCAGAAGGAAGAATACAGGCACCAGAAGCGAGAATAGAGCTCTCTAGTATTGAGTTATGAGATGGGTGAAGTATGGAGACAACAGCGGTAACGAGCAGCTTGCAGTCGTTTACGCAGTTGTAATGGTCGTGGAAGCCGAGTGTGCATCGTTGCCAACGACGTGGACAATGAAGAGAGTGATCCAAGAGTCCAAAAAGAGCACTAGGGTAAAGATGAGTATGCAGAATATGATCTGCAAAAGGTCCGATGGAGTTTGTGGAGTGTACGGTGGAGATCTCGAAGAACGAGGTGGTGGAGGGAGTCAAAAGTGACAAGCGCAATCCAAAATGTGTTTGCGCAAGTCGTTTTAGCGTTGTTCCCACCTCTTTGCGCTTGCCACCACCACTGATGACGATTCCTCCACCGCACACATACCGAATCGCCCCAAATTTTCGATAGGCCTCGCCGGGAAAGCTCTGTTTCACACACCTCATACTTCATCTGTGCTCGGATTGTCGTGCTTGTCGTCCACGCCGCCGCCGATGTCGGACTGACGCCCTTCAGAGCCCCTCACCTGCATCGACGACTGTAGACTGTCCGCTCCTCTCATCAACCTCATATATCGACCATATCATCTTTCGATATCAAGGAGCCCTCCTCTAACCTGCTGTGCACATACCTCGCTTTCCACGATGTCCAGTCGCTGGTTAACATGGGCCTACCTCAAGTGACCCTCTCCTTCAAAATTTCGAATTCAGGCCATTTTTGAGACTAGAACTGGTGTAAGCTGGGCTGGAACAAGGTACTTCAAGGTGAGTACATTCTTCTCATGCATTCATTCTTGCTTGGTTCTCTCTGCCAGGTATGTGGTATACCCATCTCCCCTCCTGAGTGCCACCCAATATCTACCCTTCCTACCCATTCTACCGACCCAAAAATTACTCAGCCTTCAACCTCCTACCAGTATACACATACATATATGATTTTATCCACATATCGGCTCTTGGCAGCATGGTAGTTTCTCTATCACTTCATGACCTTCTCACAAACCTCCTACCTCTGTCACATACCATTACACAACACCTAAACTTACTGAAACCACATAAAAATACCTTAAATAAACCCACATCTCTCTTCATGCAAGTTTTATTGTGATTTGCCTCTCCTCACTTCCTTCAGATTATATTTTTCGCTTTTATTTTGGGCCACACATGAGAAAACAATGAGAATTCGACTTATTTGCCATTAGAACACATGTCCCAGGGCTGTGAGAGCCCAAGCATAGTATTTACATTGGTGTTACAAAAGGATCTGTGCAAAAAGATGTATGGGTGACCGAAGTACCGTGCTCATCGTCGAGCACAGCGGCGACGAGCAGCCTACACGACGCGACAACGACAACACACGAACGTCTGGGAATCCCACGGCAGAACCTGCGCGACGACGAACGCTCGAGCATGTCAGAGCGCACATGCAGCCGTTAGTTGAGGCAATCGTCGTCGTCGACGTCGAGGACGGCGCTGAGTCGCAGGGTGAGTGGCGCTATAGGGGCAAGTTGACCGTCAGAGAAAAAGACGTTGGCCCACATAGCGATGCGGGAGTCGTCGAGAACGTGGCTCCACGCGACCCACCGGCGACGTTTAGCGTGAGTTGTGGCGGTCTTGAGCGGCGACGCGGGCCAATCACTACTCCTGCTATAAATTTCAGTGACAGTATGTGTCCCCAGATCAGTAGAGAAGCTGTATTGTGAATTGTTCTAAATATGATCTTCGGAGGTTCTGTTGAACGTACCGAACCTTGCGAGTGGACGCGGAGGTTTTGATGGTCGTGTGGCGTCGTGTCTACGGAGAAGGCTCGCTATGAGTTGTATGTACCACACGGCCTCGTAACATGAACAACTCGCATCATATCTTGCCTAGATCTCAATCCAATTTATGTACTTACTGAGGTTGCAAGCAGCTTCAGACAATGTGAGGATAAATATGGCCTCGCATGCCAGTGACCAACGGGAATAGCCGGCCGTGGAGCTTGAAATTCTTTCTCACTTCTTCGGTTTGTCAGTTTCGGCTCCATTGCTTTTGGGCAACATATGTACGCCAGGTGGTGATGTTTCGATGCTCGTACTCCAGTAACAACTGCTGTGACACACAAGTTCTTCTAGGCCATCATTACATGCAACGCAAAGAAGAAGAACCGGATTCATGCAGTGGGTCCGACTTCGGTACAAGGGTCACATACTGGCCCCAATCCGCGGGTCTGCTAAGCAGTAGCGATGTTGGTCAAGGAGGTGAAGATCTTATGGGACACAATATGAGAAGCCTAAAAAATAATTGATAGAAAAAAACAAAGGTTGAACGGAGGGCGTCATGCTGGGTGAGGAACAAGTGAGGACATTGGAGGGGAATCAGGGATCCAGCAGACCGCTGCGAAAAGCACGAAGACGCCCAGAAGACGCGCCGACGCCACCCTGTCGGGTGGTCTTCGGCTCCGAAGCGTTCATGCCTAAATTTAGATGTCGTTCTCTCGTCGAGAGCTCTCCTCTTTTCCCCTTGTCTTTCTCTCCTCCCCAGTATACCCGGCCACAGCAGAGGATCAAGCACAACAATGACATCATTGTCGAGGTGGTCCGTGCGTCGCTGCCTGCCTACATATACTTTCGCATGCCCACCTCCGGACTCTCGTCGCCTCCTCTCCTCATCCCCCATCTTCCCTCCGCGTTCCCCCCGCCTTTCTTCCCTCCTCTCTCCCCGCCTTTCTTCTCTCCCGGCTGCCCTTTCAACCCTTGTCGCCTTTCAATCATCCTCTCTCGAGTCGCTGTGCGCACGTTTAAGGATTGTTCAAATGGGGAACAGGAGGAGCCGGTGAAGTAAACTGTGTACCAAATGTAAGTGTTCTCGCATCCCGTCATCTCATCATAGCATGTGCGATGATCAAGCACGATAGAGGGCCTAAGTATCGTAAAAGTCTCAATCTCCTCTCCACCGGTGCGTTTCTTTCATATGTTTTACCTACATGCTATGCTTACTTGCATTCAACTTTGTTTTGGCTTGAGTCTAGACCCCTTCACCTCTTCTACACAGCCGATTAGGTACGATATATGCGTCCCTTTTCTTACTCGAGTCGACCACTCATCTACTTGCACCTCTTCAGGGGTTCTGTAACCAGCGCCATACATCGTGGCACGTTGTGTTCGTAAGTTTGGACTACTATGCCGTGGACTTGCGCTCCTTTGCTCCACCGGCACCCCTGACTCACGCTTTACGATAAGGACTCGAATTCATCCATCGACGTAGAGTACGCGAACCTTCTGTAATACTGTAGACTCATTAGCAATTTAAATATCAGTTTTTTTAAATTTCATCCTGTACTAGCTTGGTGAACAAACAACAGCCTGGGTTGAACCTAAGCCGGGATAGGTGGCGTATTCCCCAACCCTTGCATTGAAATCTATGAGGTTGTCACAATTGTATGGATATACAATGTATATATTGATGGGCATGAAAAGCGGGCTACACATAATCTGCGATTCCTTACGACCGCTCACGACGCGCCACATTTCTCAAAACCGTCCTCAACGGTCGTGAACGAACTAATCCTTGAGGTCCGTCGCAACTTCGACAACTCTAGTCAAAACTTATGTTACATACATTCTTCATAGATATTCTAGGTGCGGTTCTGTCAGATTCTCGAGGCTCACGTCGAGCCATGGGCTATGTGTGGCGTCGGATGGCCAAGTATTCCGGCGACTAATTTGCTGACGACAGGGATGCGGGGGAGGAGATGTGGCGAGGGGCAGGCCTCGGAACGCCTCCGATAACGACGACGGAAGACGGGGCCGCAAGAGACTCGAGGCCACTGAAAGTCGCGACGAAACAAGAGGCGAACCCGGAGGCGAAGATCCAAGTCCGATCAAGCCTAACTAGGCTCGGGTGCCACACCCTGCCACCCCAGCCTAGTTAGGCTCCTTATCAGTGTCATCCAGGTGCCACGCTCACAACCTGCTCCTAAACGGACCAGGTACACCCCTCCAGGGCGTGGCAGAGCCACACGCAAAGCACCGCTTTCAGCGGGGTTGACAATGCCGCTGCTTCGGCATGGTGACTTCGTCGTGACTATCTGCGGAGAAATTACCGAACACTCCTCCAAAACCACGGGAAACGTTCCGCACATTGTTCCCTTTGCTTTTCGACCGGTATAACTGCATAGGAGGATAGCCCGAGTGTTTGCCAACGTCCGTGCGAAGTCTCGCGCTCTCAGAATCGCATACGGGACATAGAGAAGATTTTTGCGGTTTCTTTACCGAACACCCCAGGAATGATAGTAACGGAACAACTCAAGTTGCCTTGACACAGCGAATGAAGACCTGCAGGCAGTCTATTACAACATAAGCAAGGACACCGCCCATCAACACACCAGCAAAACAGATCACTCTCCAAACCGCACACTCTTGACAACCTTGGAGATACCCGATTGCTCGCCCGCATACTTGCTCGCGTCCCCGATCCCGCCCTTGTACACCGCCCGTTGTGACGCAAGCTTCTTCTGCGCCTTGTCGTATCTCTGGCGCTTCTTGACACGCGGATTGCGCACGGATTTGGAACGGTGTGGTGTGAGGCCACGGTTCTTGAGGATAGCGCGGGTGAGGGATCGGGGACCTGATTCATCAGAAGGCTCGATGTCGACGTCGGGTCTATGAGGAAAAAAGTGACCATCAGACATAGGTTTTCGCAAGGTTTGAGAACGGGGTAGAAAACGTACCTAGAGGCGAATTTCTCCTCGTCATGTTCCTTTTTCTTTTTCTCCTTCTTGTCCTTCCTTGCTTTCGATACCAGTTCATAATATCCCTCTCCATCTAACATATCTGTGTCTCCCTCTCCATCATTCTCTTCATCCGCCCCTCTAGCCCTCGATTTCTTCTCCTTCGTCTCCGGCTCCTCGTCATCCAGATCATCTCCGCCCATTCCCAACTTCCCTCCCGCTTTCCTCTTCTCTCTCTCCTTCCGCTCTTTGATATCCTTCTCTTTCCTCCTCTCCCTATAAGGAACGTCGTCATCTCCTCCCAACGCAGCACGCGCCCCAGAACGCCGTGCAGCGGAAGATTCAATTTTAGAGGTATGGAAGCGAAGCGTGTGCCGTCTTGCAGATTTATCGGCAATGTCGGTGGAGGTGAGCGCAGTTTGGTCGCCGTAAGAGTCGTTGATGGTCAACGTGGAGTTTGATTTCGAAGAAGATGGACGCGACGACACGAATTCGGGTTCGACGAGATCGAACGTCGGAGCAGGTGTAGCCTTCGTCTTCGACGTTTTCCGCTTCTTGGCCGGTGGTTCCGCCACGTCTACATCCGACTGCTTGTTCACCTTCACCTTCGTCTTCACCTGAGGATTAGGTCTGAGACGATCAGGAAGACCCTGCTCTGCCTCTTCCAACAGTCTTGCGAGCTCGTTGAAGTCGACTTTCGTCGAACTTCCTTTGCCCTTGGCCTTCTTACCTTTCCCACCCGCGCCCGCATTGAGCCTCAACACCCTCTCCATGCCACCATATCCAGTGGTCGATTCCTCCTCTTCGTCCTCCTCTTCGTCCTGAAGCCTCTTGAGTGCGGCCATATCTTCTTCGATATCCAAATTCATATCCTCGTAATCGTCGTCCTCGCTATCGCCTTCCTCAGAGTCCACATCGGAGTCGGAAGACAGGTCGAAGTCAAGCTCTTCCAATGTCGACAAGGCTTGCTTGAGTTGAAGAAGACGGGAGAATATGGGATGTGCGCGGAGAAGGAGGGGTTGGGACGTATATTTGGGAAGGGTGCGGAGGTGGAGGTAGAATGCGAGTGTTGTGGCGTAGGTCAGGAGAGTTTCTGGAGGACCCGGAAGTGGGTGACGTTGTGTAAGAATCTTACAAACAAAAAGACGTACGATAGTGGAGATGAACCATGCCGGTACTGAGGGCGTCTGGCTGTTCGAGCTCGAGCCTGGCAGAGATACGACGAGTTAATGACGCGACGCCACACGAGAAAGGAAAATGAGAAAGCGCACCTTTTGAGTTTTTGTTGGGAACGGACAAGCTTTTGCGCGGTGTCTTCCCAATCATACGCGAGAGCAAGTGTTTCGGGGTTCGTCTTCTCGACATTACGTAGAATAGCTTTCTTGTCCTGCAACGCAGGCTCAACGACCACTTCTGGCACGGGCTCCAGGAAGTCACTGGACCATGACCCGAATAACATCAACATCAATAGCCGAGCTTGGAAGAAATACGGACTCACCCAGAAACCTCGTCCATTGTATCCGCCTCCTCCACAATATCCCCAAGGCCAAAATCTGCGTCTGTCATGCTTTCTCTCGCCTTCGCTTGCAACCTCTTCGCCTCCTGCTCTTCAAGTTCATGCGCCTCCTCGTCCTCGGAGTCAAGTTCTGCAGCATTGGAAGAATAATACGCAGCCTTCGAGCGACCCCAACTCTCATCTTCCTCCTCTTCGTCGCCTTCCTCATCTTCGTCGGATGCGAACCCGGGCTGGGATTTTGATTTTGGTGTGGTTTTGGATTTGGAAGACTTCTTCGTGCTTGGAAGTTCTTCTTCATCCAGATCCTCTTCGTCATCCATCTCTGCATCCTCATCTTCTTCGTCGTCAGAGTCGGAATCGGCTGGTATGCCTTTGAGGCCGAAGACTTCTTCCTCTACGTCTTCATCGTCGTCCGGGATGCCATACCTGTCCCCGTCAAGCAATATTTCGTCTCTCGAGGCATGAACTAGTACGAACAAAGGTTCCACCCAAAGTGGTAAGCAAAACGATATTGAGTGCAATATATGTCTAGAACTGACATTGGTCCTCTTCGTCGAGTGGAATATCATCTGCAGTATTCCATCGGTTGATCTTGCTGTCCTTGCGGTCGATCGGACGTGGTTTCCCTTTTTCCTTCGGTCCTGACTTTGAAGCGCGCCGCCGAACCATGGTGGAGACGAATGATGTATGTGCAAGGCGCAAGCAAATGTGGCCGTTCTCCGAAAACAGTTCAACGGGTGAGGTGCGCCAATCTGCTGGAACAGGGCTCTGACAATTTTTGTGGTCCTGGGCCTCGGAAGGGCCTCGACACTTTTTCCGAGGTTGCTCCGGAGCTGGTGTGGCGCCGTCGCCGTCGCCCGGTCAACCACTTCAGGTTTCCACGCGTCCATCATCCGCTTCCACCGTCGTGTTATCATACACCCTTCGGGCTGCATAATACCAGTGCCATTCTCGTAAACGTCTCTTCATTGCGAACCCAGCTTCTGCGAGCACCATTTTGAGAATGTTTCGTGCCAGTCCATGCGGCGTGCGGCGCAGTCGCAGGCGTCTACCACTGCCTTCGCACTGCGGTTCAACGGTACTTCCCCGCTCCCAAATCCAGAGCACGTAGTATGTCATCGTAAAATGATCGGATATCAGGACGGAGTGCACAGTTCGACAATCGTCTTTTTATAGGAGCCACTCCTCCGACCCACCTCCGTTTACGCTTTTCCTCCTCCGTTCCACAATCACCCCCTCCTTCCTTCCACCACCACCTCCCTCTAGCTGATAAACATCGCCAGTAACATCTATCTGGCTTGAATCCACGACCCCGCCATGTCCTACCCTATCCCAAATCAACCACAGCAGAGAGGCTACTTCCCCGTCAACTCGGGTCCACATTCACCGGCGGCTTCCTCCTCAAGCCTCCTCCAGCCTAACTCAGCACCCACTTCAAGAGGACCCCCCTCAGGCACATTCTATCCTACACCACCCATCCGACCAGGATCTCCTGGAACGCTTTCCTCCCCCATCCATGCCGCATTCTCTCGACCTCCGTCAGACTATAGCCAGGCCGGTGCTTCAGCATTCGTACGTACCTCGTACCTTGGTCGAGCTCCACTGTATCGCAATGACCTGATCCTTTGCTCTGCTCGCTCTCTTGCCACCTCAGAGCGGACCAAGAGGGGACGTCTACGATTCCGCGGGCCGCAGCACGTCTCTGTCCAGCAAGGTAAAGTTATTTTTGGCACGCGTCGAACTGCGGTCCTCAGCATGGACCTCTCCGCTCATCTGCATCACTACCTATTCCAGTTCCTGCTGTCTCCTGACCCAACGCTATGGGGCTCTGCCGCGCGCGCAGACGTTCCAGAAGACGATGACTACCTGCATAATCCAGATCCGAGGCGAGACAAGAATATCGACTCAATGGGGACTATATTCACTGCGCGAGGGCTCGCTAATATTGGATGCCTGGCGATCGTTTTCGTTGGTCTTCTGGGTCTTTTGTACGTCCCTGCCTTCCCCTGTTATCGGCTGAATTACTCGACGGTTGAATTCTGACTTTTGCCGCGTGTGACTTGCAGTGCCGGATATCCAATAACTTCATGGGCAGTGGAGAAATTTGGGACAAAATCAACAGTAGCCACAACAAATGTACGTCCCCTTGACTTCCGATAAAGACTAAACCTCGACTCACACATGCTATCCCCTGCCTTCGCTTGAATAGGTCTCAAGTATCACCAATTTCCCCTCCCTAATCGATTCCGAAACCCCTGACTGGGCATTAACCCGCACCTCCTTCACCGATGGCGAGACCGAATACACCCTCGTCTTCTCCGACGAGTTCAACACCGACGGCCGGACGTTCTACCCAGGCGACGACCCATACTGGACCGCCGTCGACCTGCACTACTGGCAAACCGACGATCTCGAGTGGTACGACCCTGCCGCGGTCACCACAGCGAACGGTTCGCTGCAGCTCACACTTTCGAAGAAGAGCACGCACGGGTTGGATTATGAGGGAGGGATGGTGCAGACGTGGAATAAGTTCTGTTTTACCGGCGGGATCGTGGAGACGAGTGTGGTGCTACCGGGGATCAACAATGTCATGGGGCTGTGGCCTGCTGTTTGGACCATGGGGAACTTGGGAAGGGCAGGATACGGCGCTACTTTGGATGGCATGGTTCGTTTCTTACCTTCAACTCTTTTCTCGAATCATTACCTTTCATTTGACTAGTTGTGCGATCGGCTGATTCTTGGATTATATCATTCAGTGGCCCTATACCTACGACGCCTGCGACGTTGGCACGGTTGCGAATCAGACCAAAGACGGTCTTCCCACAGCGGCTACAATCAACGGCGATTCCTCATACGACGGTGTACTTTCCTACCTCGGCGGACAACGTCTCTCACGGTGTACATGTTCGGGTGAGTCGCATCCGGGGCCTATGCACGATGACGGGACATACGTTGGGAGATCGGCTCCGGAAATCGATATGTTCGAGGCGCAAGTGAGCCTATACAAGAATACTTTTCTTTGTGGATCCATGACTGAAGACTGTTGTTTAGATCACCGACGACCTCGGCTACGTATCGCAATCAGGACAGTTTGGCGTGAGTTCCCAGATCGCTCTGACTCTATCTCGCTTGGGCTGGGTACTGATGGTGATCTGATTCATCTAGCCGTTCAACTACGAGTATCAATGGAATGACACCGACGGAAACTATAACATTCCGAACACTACCGCCACAATCATGAACACCTATCTTGGTGGTGTCTACCAGCAGGCCGTGTCGGGCGTGACGCTGGTGGACCAGGATTGTTATCAGCTCGCGACCGGTTGCTTTTCCGTGTACGCCGTAGAGTACGAGCCTGGATTTGACGACGCTGTGAGTTTATTGACCCCTGACATCATTCTCCCGGATGGGCGTACTTGTCAGAGATATCATCACTGACGACTATTCCCTCGCAGTACATCACTTGGGTCGCACAAAACACGACAGCATGGACAGTTTACGCCGATGGCGTCGGTGCGGACGACACAGTCGAGATCAGTGCACGTCCTATACCTCAAGAGCCGATGGTCAGTCCTTCCTTCTTATTGTGGTCTCTCAACTGCTCACCAGCGAAAAACTCATGTGTTATTTCACTACAGTACATCCTCGCCAATTTGGGAATATCGACCTCGTTCACGACAATTGACTACGACGATCTGACATTCCCAGCCATCATGCAACTGGACTACATCAGGGTATGTACCACTGTTTATTTACTCCTTCACCGGCCTCTAATCCCTATTTCGGCAGGTTTACCAGCGAACAGACTCGATTAATATCGGTTGCGATCCTTCAGACTTCCCGACAGCAGATTATATCAACACGTACGTCCTTTGTGTCCTCCCTGACTGCTTGATTCCAAGCTTGGACTGATCACTCTGTTTTACGATGTAGGTACGCTGAAGCATATGCGAATCCGAACCTAACAACCTGGGTGGATGACTATGGACAGGACCAACCAAAGAACTCGTTCCTCGATGAGTGTTAATCGCCAAATCAGCCGGTCCTTCGACTATATTCGCAAAACATGCGAGCATCTGGACAATCACCCTGTTCATACTCGAGTCAGCCTCCAGATTGCAGAGCACCTTCTTGTAGTATCCCTTTCGCGTGGATATTCCAGATACGGTTTGACCTGCCGGTCTTGTGAATCCCATCTGGTCCATGCAGTACCATAGCCCTCTTTCCTCATCCCCTTGCAAACGTCTTGCGGGCAGGTGCGCTGGTCGAACTTCTATACCTTTTCTCCACCCTTACACCACTACGCATTCATACGGAGCTCCTCGTCAACGGCAGACGACGATCGGTTTCGCTTGGACCTTCAAAAACCGTGACTTCCTCTTTTTCTCGAGTTACTCGTACATACCCACTTGGCATGGGCGTCATTCTTCTTTGCCCTTCGCCTCACTTCTCTGTCCTCATCGCCATTTTACGCTGTGCTTCTATCATTCGTCCCCGCACGCTACAGTAAATCGCATTCATGTTGTTGTCACCACCATCATCACCACCATCACCGCCGTCGCCCCTTTTCGCGGTCCTCATTCATTATTTACCATGGGCTCATTCCATGGACTTCCACTCGTTTGATCTCGTATTTGGACACTCACCTACCTGCTTTGCCGTCACGATATCACCGCCACTTATTTATCCATCCGAGCCATAGACTCTCTTAGACACTCATATCACCCGAATGACATGGACATTGCTTGCGTATTTAATTATTCTTGGGTATATGGGCATGTAGTAGCTGATCTAAGGGTATCTGGCAGTGAAATACTTTAACTGGATGACTTTATGCAGCGATAAGAATATGGGGGCATCTTTGAGTATGCAGGGCAGCCTGGTTGGCAACAGTTGAATGTAATACTCGCATTATCGTGGGAAAACTCGGTCTCCAACAGCACCGTGCTCTCTACTTAACTTATCCCTGGAAGATCACTTTACTGTAACGAGTATGACAAGCTTAAGGTCATCATCAATACCGTTCCTAGGGTACTCGCCCCACTGTGGCTCCTTGCCTTGCGTACTGATGACTTGGCTGACCTCCAGCAACGTCACTCAAGTTTTCTTTGTATCGTCATTATGATTCACTGTTCTCTTGCAGTTCAACTTACCTCGCATTCATGTAAAGACTACCTCGTCTTACTATCAGCCTCTAAAACAAATCACCACCATCCCCCGAACGATAATGAGTCCCTTGTCCAGCAAAACTACCTTCACCCAGGATTCCGTAGAGGACCTCAGAGGCCGCGTATGTCCCTTTGTCATGTTCAATGCCCCTTAGTTCTCCCGACTCGCTCTCTTGTCACTTACCACTATTTGAATCATGGTTACCTCTCCCCATGCAGACCGCGCTCGTCACCGGCGGCACCGGTGGCATAGGCTACGAAGTCGCACGCGCCCTTGCCCTCGCCAACGCACGCGTCCTCGTCCTCTCCCGCAAGGTCGACAACGGTCATGCCGCTGTCGGGAAAATAAAGGAGTCCGCACCTGAGGGCATCATTCCTGACGTTGAGTTTGTGGAGTGTGATTTAGGAAGCCTGGAGAAGGTGAGGGAGGTCGGGCAGATGCTGTGTGAGAGGGAGGAGAGGCTTGACTTGGTACGTGCGTCATCTATGACTATGAGGTCTTTTCCACCATCGCATTCTTGCTCTTAATTCGTGCCACGAGGAAGGGCGCATGCTGCTCGAATGTAGTGACTGGTACTCTTGATTTCATCGCCTTGACTGACAGTCCTCCGCGGTCCTGATTAACTGTTTCACTTTGTCGAGTGGCACTTTGCCCCTGTGGCGCCAGCGTATCAATGTTAAGCTACCGACGTCCCTTCATTCCAACCTTCGCTCGGTCGATTTGTATTGACGTACTCACGGTCATCTTGTTGTACAGTTCATAGGCGACGCCGGCGTTGGCGTCAACAAGTTTGACTTCGACTCCGACGGCCTTGATCGCCACTTCGGTGTGAACGTTCTCGGGCACTACTACCTCCTCAACCTTCTCCTCCCCCTCATGCGCCGCACAGCCGCCATTCCCAACACGCCGTCTCCACGCATTGTCCTAGTTTCTTCTTCCCTGCACTCTACCGCCCCGTCGTCCGTCAAGTTCAAAGATGCGAGCGAGGTGAAGGGTAATGAGAAACCTAATGCTGGTTTTGGGCCTGGACAACTGTATGCGAGGAGTAAGCTGGGGGATTTGTTATTGGTGAAGGCGTTGGGCGATTATGTACTGAACAGCGATCTGGGTGAGGGAGAAGGTAAGATATGGGTAGAGGCGATCCATCCTGGGGCGGTGCATACGGCGCAGCCGAATCAGTTCAAGGAGGTTAGTGGTGATTTCCTTCTTTCACAATTTGTCGAGGCTCTCACTGGTCGAGCCATGATTGCTTAAACTCGTTGTTCTACAGGCCTATGGAAAGGTATTCGGGACCCTGGCAAAAGCAGCCGTCATCCCTTTCATGACCGGTCCTGATCAAGGCAGTCTGAGTACGCTTTACGCTGCTACGTCAGACGATATTCCGAAGAATGGGTGGTACGCCTCCCCTCCCGCTCACCCTTCTGCATGATATCCACTACTCACACCACTCTGTATTATGCACCCGCATAATTTCGTAATATACACCGTAAAACAATCGTACTGTTCATACTAGGCAAGCCGAGTACTTTGCCCACCCTGGCCCTCCCGGCGGCGAGTCGAAGCAGGCACAAGACGAAGAACTACGGAAGAACTTGTGGGAGCTTTGTGAGAGTTTGGTCAAGGAGAAGCTGGGTGAGGGGTCGTTGAGGAGTTGGGCGGAGGTTCAAGGGTAGAGAGTTAACGAAATTTCAACAATGCCCAAAAGGTCGTGGGTCTGAATCATGAAAACATTGAAGGTTGAGCCTGAGGGGCGAAGTTGAAGAAGGAAATATGTATTTTATGAATTAGTTGTGTGAACAATAGGCCGTGTCAGACTGTTCGTATACGGGACATGTGTATATTCTGTGCGCATGTCATGATAGCGAGTCTGACAGGCGCTTTACAATGCAAATGGCAGCCGAAGGCCTGGAGATCCTGACGTGAAGTATTATACATTTTACCAAAGCCCCAAGATGACCGCGCCAGTACAACAATCATCCTCGTCAATCCACAACGTCGCGATCCACTCCATTTCGGACAACAACACACCCTATCGCCCCGTAATTCAAGTTCACCTTCTCACCAATCTAAGATTCAGACCCGCCTCCCCGCCATCACGAATCCCTTCCTCTCCCCTCCCCACCCCAACAACGCCACCAACGCCGCAGCAGCAAAACAACTCCCCACGTATACGATCATTCCTTCGTATTTCCCACCTTGCACTCCGAACCCGGTGTGACTCATGTTGTTGTTGCCGGAGGATGAGACAATGGAAGACGAGGACGAGGATAGGGCGGTGGAGATTGGGGTTGAGAGGATGTTTCCGAGGCCGGCTGTGAGGATGGAGAAGAAGATACGTGAGTGTGATGGGTATGAGCGCTTCACAGACGCGATGTGATCGAAGGGGAGGACAGTACTGACTGGAAAGCATGAGCATGCCCATGAGCGTCATGGACGCCGAAGGATTATCCTCTACAAATAATAGACCATCAGGTCTAGCATTCTAAAACAAATGGGAGAAAACTTACTAGTGATCCCCTTGACGAATGCTCCCCAGATAGCGAACCACCCACCCGCCAGTATCCCATAGACCACTCCGAACACGAGCACACCGGCCACGACGTGGCCAGTGATGCCCCAAAGGACGAATGTGGCGACGGACGTGCAGGTGAACATGAAGAGGGCGATGATCCAGGGGGAGACGTAGTCGGAGAGGGCACCGAAGCCGAGCTTGGCGATGACGGATGCTCCTGGAGAGAGATAGACGGTGAGGTGAGTGAGTAGCGACGAGTATAGTATGAATGAGCGATGTATACTAGATACGTACCGTTCAATAGGGACAGTGAGAGCGACGAAGTAGAACTCGATACGTTCAATGCAGATGTAAACGCTGAGAAAAGAAAGGGAAAAACGGTGAGTATGTATGCTCTTTTCACGAGAAGAGAAAAGAAACCAACTAGGCAACCACACGATCGGCACATAATACGCAAACCCCTGCAACGTATTCGCCACAATCAACAACCACCAACTCCAATCCCTGACCCACGCCTGTCTCCCCAATCCATCCTCGCCCCTCGCCGCCACCCTCAAACTCCACATCCCACCCCTACTCGGCCCATGCACCCTCTGCAGCGGCAACCGCGGTTTAATCAGGAACAACGACCCTGCGGAACACACGACCAGAACTATCGAAAGATAACGCAGAGTTTTCCCGGTGCCCCATAGGGTGAAGAGATGGGGGAGGAGGAGGGGGAAGAAAAGGCCTGCGAAACTCGTTCCGGCGAAGATGACGCCGTAGGCCATTCCACGCCGTTTGACGAACCATTCTTGGAGGAGGCCTGGGATCGGGGCGTACAATAGTGCTATAGTTCGTGATTGCAAAGATAAATATCAACCCTGGGTCCTCGACGGCCGAGATGAAGTGAACATAGGAACCTACCTCCGCCCAAGGAGTAAAGAGCGCCTTGTAATCCAACTAATTGGGTTACGCTAGTCGCATAACTGGCTGCAAAGAGAGCGACCCACGACAGGACGGCACCAACCCACATCATCGTCGTCCGAAGTTGAGGAAACCGATTGGTGAGAGGGTAAAGTAAACAGCCTGCCATACCAGCAAACAATGGTCTCGTCAGTCCCTATAATTTCTCGGAGGAGAAATAACATCTTGAGCGAAACTATTCCCTGAACTCACTGGTACAATACATAAGTCCGGAGCATAAATTACCAGTGAGTGGCAAAAGATATGCTGCATTAGGTTGTGAAGACCATTTCGAATCGGCGAGGTAGGCATCGAGGAAGACACCATAAGAGCTTGGGAAGCCCCACGCAATCGTTTCTATCATGAACGCACCGGCCAGCTGATGGTATATAGATACACCAGATGAATCACAGATCGTCAGTATAATGGGCGGTGGACAGAAGGCCGGATTGGAAACAGAACAAAAAAAATCAACGCACAAATGACCATGCTCGATACCCCCCATCCACAGGGGCCAGAGACGACTCGTTTCTAAGACTCGAGGAATCAGCTTCGACCTGGTTGTCATACTCCTCAGTGGTGTTGGGCGTTACGGTGGCTGGAACAGATGATGGGCCATCCAAACGGGAAAGCTCAATTGATCGGGGAGTCGATCCGTGATGACTCGACGCGTCGAACGCCGGTGCTGAACAAGGGATGCCAGATGCCATTTTCGGAATTATGAAATACCCACTCTCTGTGTTGTCCGTTAGTTCAGTAGTCGAGGAAACAAAGTGGTAGTGAGAGACAGACAAGCTGGCATTGTGTACGCCTACAAGCTGGAAAAATCGAGACGAAACGTAAACCAACGAGTCATTCCGTGTGGCACATCGGCATTGCCGATACCCAAGATAAGATCAAATCAACAGATTCTCAACAAATGAGGCGTGTAAGCAGACGGCATTGAAACGGCATACTGTGGCGGACTAGGAAGCTGGACGGACATAGAAGCTGGACAAAGTTTTCTGGAATTTTAAGCAGGCATATTCATACCTTTTTGTCTCTACATAAACTGTAGGTATATGCCTTCCCGTGCGGTATGCAAAAATACTTTGTGTTATTCTCGTGAGTATCTTGTAGAACATGGTGAAATGTTGTCGGAGATGGGGTTTGTGTGGCAACTTTGCCACATGTAGAGAGCTCAACCGACATGGACGCCTCGACCAGCCTTTAATATCAGCCTATATGCTCGTGAAGGTATATGTGGGGCGTGAACACGGACATGCCATAAGTGATTCCAAATTATTTTGGCAGACAATGGTTGCCTACTTTTACGTGTGACATCTTTTGTTGAGGGGATCCTCTGGCTAACGCGCCACAAGAGGCTCCCACTTCGTGAGGTTCTAGCACCAGCATCTATCATCTTCCTCATACAAAAAGTTTATAGTCTTGGAGTCCCAGCCAAATACTTCTGTTGCCGAGCTGTGCTTATTTTTACCAGACCGTTTGGCTTCCAGAGAGCACAATTTTATAGAAGTGGCCGATTTTGCACCTCTCAAACACCCGAATGAATTTCGAGTGCAAAATATCGTGCAGCATTCCACAAATATTTGAGCAGATAGAATGGTACATAATGGAGCGCTACGGGTACTTTTTGTTGCTGGTCTTATAACAATTATGTGTACGAAATCGGTGGGCAAGGGGGTGTGGCGCCTTTTGACCTCTTTTTCGCCACTCATTCGGCAATAGCCGGGCCCTTTCGGCGCGCGTCCAGCTTCCCTGTTTTGCCACTTTCCCCAGTCGTCGTCGTAAAATATTCGTTCGTGATGATTTAGTACATCAGACTCTCCAAACAATTGTAATGGCACTAAATATATGCCGGACTACCCAAATGTGCCATTTTGTTTGCATGTCATAGACAGGATATTGAATAAACCAGCGAGAAAGCCCATCTGTCCAGGATCCTAGTCCGCCACAGTACAGGGTTTTGCATATGAAACCGGAATGTCGCGCGAAGAAAAATCCTGGGCGCCTGAGCCAAACAAAGCCGTAAATGGTAAGCACTCTCGGCGACGTTTCGGCAGTGGCGCACCTCAGAAATACCTCTCATCTCTCCGGCCCATATCGTTGTTCAGAGACCTCTCGATATGCTCTCTAGTGCTTGAACTTAGATCTTACGGAACTCCGCCCTATAAGAGTTCTCGCCTTCATCATGTATTCTCGTGACATTGTTTTCGCAACGATCAACACGTTCGGTGTTCCAGCGGTCCTCAACAACATTGCATCAACATCAACGTCGACTTTTCGCTCTGGTAGTCGCAAGGACAATCGGGTCTCAGCTCGTGTTCCCGGCCACGCTATCTATGCGACAAAGACAACGAGATTCTGAACGTAAGTACCGGCATGACTGAAGGGATGTTTTTGTAGGAAGGAAGTCTGTTCATCTGCGTATGTCGGAAGGGTGCGTCCTTTCTTCTCTTTCCTCGCATACAAAGCCATTGGACTTATTGTAATCTTTTCTGTCCATCGTTCCCCCCTTTCCCCTCGTAATCGAGGAACCACCTTGTCCGTGCTCCAGAACTGCCCTGCGACAACAGAGTACTAAAACTCCGCGCGCAAAGCATCAGGACTGGGTAACCGGTGGGTATTCGGTTCGCTTTCAACTGCATGTGTCAGATTTCTGCTTCAGTACAATCAACATGAAAAGCCGATGCTCCCGGTCATCATGCTCGCGATGCCCTCCCATCCCACCTCGTAAGTCTCCGAGACATATGTGTCCCCCCTCTTTCTTAGTACACTCATGTGGTATTTAGTTGGTATTTTTTTCATCCTTTCACGAGTCTCGAGACGAGATGCATATATGGAATGGCTGAGTGGGGTGACTAAGGTGTATCCTATGGTACCGGAGGAAGTCGAGCCTCGAGTCGTGTGGAATGGCAGCCCGCACGTCTGCGCCTGTTATGTTGAGGGTTGAGGGATTGTCTCGTCGGGCTCTTTTATAACGGGTCTTTTGGACTTATCTGATATGTACTTCAGTAGCAACGAATATGATCACAAATGCAAACCTGCTGAGCACCTCTCAGTGGGATGAAGGGTGTGCAATGTCGGTACGCTCAAGAACAGGGGCATACCTCGCTGGTGCCACACGAATCCTGCCGAGGAATGCCGAGCAAGGCTGCCGTTTATGGCTTTGTTTGGTTCAGGCACACAGGATTTTCTGCGCGCGACATTCCGGTTTCTTATGCAAAACCCTGTAGTTAAGCATGCTAGCACAGCATTCCAACCACTTAAATGAAGTCCTCCAGCGACTTGCTTGAATCGAGCATTCCTGGACATCGCTGCCAGCTTGCTACAGCCGAAGTGTACGCGTACGCCAGGCATCAAAGGCATCAGAATGGACGCCACTTACAGTCCGTGCCGTCTTGAACGCGCACGACCAAATGCGGGCGCTGATATACAACGTCAGGCGCTTCCGACAGCTATACATTACAGGCCCCTCGGCCTATAACTTATGTGTTCCCCCTTGCGGTCTGTCCTCACTGTCACCACCACTCCTCAGTACCTTTGCCGCCCCTCTCACATCGCCAGCATGCGTTGCGCGTCCCCTTCAAACAGTCCGAATATTGCTACCAGCGCGACGGTCATCGAGCCTCCGCGGAGGTTCCCCTCTGGATACGTCAACGGGAAACGTCCCGCCCACCATCTCAATGATTCAAAGTCCAAGTTCCACAATCCGTGGCCTTCGTTCAGGTATCAGAGCACGGGGATGTGGATCGATGTGAGTTTTCTCCTTCTTCCTGCTCTCCGACCGAGATATTCACGTTACCGTAAAGATGATTCGGAAAGGTGCCTCTGGGGGCGTAAAGATCCCGGAAGACGTGAAGGACCATATACCGACTCAGGTCCCGACGTGGGGTACTGGCAAGGGAAATGAAGAAAAGGCAAAGGCGACGTGGCTCGGGTGAGTGCGCGTTTCTCCAGTGATGGTTAGGCTGCCTGGTCAGCGGATGTGGCGAGGTCTTCCATTGGCCATTGCTTGGACGTTGCTGACGCGTCGCGGCTGACATGCCTTGGCCTTCCGGGCGTCTATGCAAACGCCGCTCGTTCTGTTGTACTTGGTGGGCCACAGAGTCGGGCCTCATCTACGCCACTCTCGTCCACAATCCAAAGACCTCGCCAAAGCCACTGTTCCTCTCGCCAAACCGTTACTTTGGTAATATACCCCTTATACTGACACTCTTCATAGCCACGCCTGCTATCTCCTTGAACTCCCCACACCTCCCAACGCCACCCGTGGCCCACGCATCATCTTCGACCCCGTCTTTTCGAACCGTTGTTCGCCCGTACAGTGGGGTGGTGGGCCTCCTAGGTTTACTGGTACGTTTTATACCTTTATGATGCTCTGTCGGTGGCACTGGTGGCATTGCGATATTGTACTTACGGATGTGCTGTGGTGTAGATGCACCATGTAAGATTGAGGACGTACCAGACGTGGATATGATCGTGTTATCCGTAAGTTTTCTTTTCGAAGCCGAGAGAGCGAGATGAAGGACGCTGACGTCTGCGTGTTCTTTATGCTGGCTATAGCATAATCACTACGACCAGTACGTTCCATACCTTCTTTCCTCCTCTGCACCTCTGCGTTTCCTGCACACATGCATACTAACACACTGCATCGTACATGTATCGCATCTCATCTCACAGCACCGACCTTCCAACCCTCCGTTCCCTCTGCAACCCCACCTCCCGATCCACAGCCCCACACGTCTTCGTCCCACTATCCAACGGCCACCTCATGCAGTCCTCGCTCTCGCTCCCCGCATCACGCGTACATGAGATGGATTGGTGGGACGAGAGGCTCGTCAAGCTTACGGTTCCAGGCGTTCCAACTTCATCCACCTCCGGGCCTTCGGACACCAAGACATCAGAAAAGACCGCAGACGGCCAGATCGACGCGCAGGTCCGTATAACCTGTACACCCTCCCAACATACCTCCGGACGAACAGGGTTCGACCGTTGGTCTACGCTATGGGGCGCATATGTCATTGAAGAGCTCCTTCCTCCTTCCTCGTCGGAACCTCCGACGAGTTCGTCAGAATTGGCTACGGTGAAGGGCGAGGGCGAAGGACTGTGGAGTCGGGTGGGAAAGAAGGTGTACTTTGCGGGAGATACGGGGTATAAGACTGTGCATGTGCATAAGGGGGAGAAGGAGGACGATCCGGTGGCGAGGGAGGTTTGTCCTGCGTTTAAAGAGGTTGGTGAGAGGTTTGGAGGGGTGGATGGGGCGATGTTGCCTATTGGGTACGTCCTTTACATCTTACGGGGTTTTGTGCCTGCAGATTCTTGGGTGTTACTTTTGCGCGAGGACTGACTCTGTTTTTTTTGGTCTGTTTGGCGGTGGCGGTGTTATGGTGATATAGGGCCTATCATCCAAGGGAGATGTGGTCGAACTTGCATGCGTCGCCTGCGGATGCGGTGAGAATGTTGAGGGACGTGAAGGGGAAGAAAGGGCTGGCCATGCACTGGGGGTGGGTTCTATTCGTTCTCTTCTCTTATTCCTCCCTCCTCACTCTTTCCGGCTCTCGTATTTACGTCCACGCAATTCTTATATTCCTACAGGACGTGGCAACTCACCTCCGAACCGGTGCTCGAGCCTCCCGTCGCGCTGAAAGAGGAACGGGAAAAGTTGGGAATGAGGGAGGACGAGTTCGTTGTTCCTGGTTTGGGGGAGACCGTTTTCTTTTAAGTTAATTTCTTCTACCTTACGCCTTTTCACGCTTGCTCTTGGACTAGACGAACTCTTGGGAACGTGTGAGCTTTCCTATATATTTTGGACATGTGGGCCATGTAACGAACACGGTTTCCTTATTACGGTTGGTGGGTTTAGAGTGACGGACGCTACGTGACTTTTTTATTCTTCGGGTGGGCTATTTAGTATGTACTTGTCGCGGAGCTCTTGTAATAGATATGTAGACTTCGCTCCACTGAGGTGGTCCGGAAAGATTGTTCGAGATCGGCTCGGTTTGTTTGCTCTACTATGAGGTCGAGAGCTAGCGCCTAGACTGGTGCGAGTACTCTGACGCCATTTATTCATGCATTGAACGCATACCTTATCGTTCAAGGCGTACATCACAACGACGAAGGCGTTCGTTATCATTTCGCTCGAAGCAGTCCATTTGTGTTGAATCTGAGCCTGTGCCTGGACAGCAGCGGCGGACACTAGTCTGTTGTACAGTACTCCATTGAATCCTCTGCGGTTTGATACTACGTTCCGAGTGCGAGAAAAATCCTGTCTATTCCAACGTACAAATTCGTGAAAATACTACTACACCCTCCACCCAAACGAGAAAAAAAAGATCGTCGTCTACATCATCGGCATCTGACTGCTAGGCTCAGAGCTAGCCCAGGGTCTCCAGCTTAGCCTCGTCAACACGATCGGTCTTCTCCCCCTTAACATCGCTTGCCTCCAAGTGCGGGATATCGCTGACCTGAGACGACGCAGGTAACGAGTCCTCAGGCTCCGCTCTCGACGCCGTTCTTCTATCCCGCCAAAGAAGGATCTGAATGGCAGCCGTCACGAGAACTGTAGGGAAAGGACTTGTTAACGGCATGTCCAAAGCACTTCAGATAGAGGTAGGGTGGATTTACTCAGTAGGACTTGAAGGATGATAGACCAGAGGTATCCCTTCTTGGCGGCTGGGAAGTCCGTGGTCTTCCATACGAAGTTGGGTGCCTGATCCCCGTACATTAGGAGTAGTTTACACCCGCGAAGGACAGAAGGGACTTACGACCGCCTGCACGACATACGCGAGGTCGTTAGCCAGTCCAACAACTAACGCTCTCTTCTCCGTGTCATCCGAGCAAATCTCGTTGATCCAGCTCAAGATGAGTGGGCCGGCGCCGAACTAGTTAAAATTGGGTGAGTGAAGGCAGGGCTAGACAGACGAAGAACAGACATACCCCAAGTTGACTGAGCCAATATACAACCTTTCGGCCGTAAATGTTCTCGTACAGCGGCATCTGGCGCATGAGAATGCTGAAGATAAGCTAAATGGTGGGGAGTATCTGTCAGCAAGCACTCCGAAAAGAAAGAGACATGCGAAGGGCTCCAAACTCACGGTTAAGACGGCACCGGCGTAGATGAAGGGCCAGCGCGACCCGCGGCATGCGTCGGAGAGCCAACCCCACACGAAAGCCACACAGATGAAGAGACCGGTCGTGGTGAGAGGCACTGTAAAAGGTATTAAACGTGAGCTATGCCTCAGAGTCTCGGGGGCAACAGACATACGAGTGTTTATCTGCGAAACGGTGAAAGTAACGCCGGGGACGGGAGCAGGTGTTTCGTTGAAGCTCTTCAGCCAGTAGCCCATGGCTGCTTGCGGCCCACCGTTGTTCCACACGATGTACAGCAAGGCTGAGTTTTAATGGTCAGCACGGGCCTCGAGCACAGAAGATATGGGACTTGAAAGTACTCACGAAGGAGGTAAGTATGCCAGCTCAACAATATCCTCTTCACCTTTGACTGTGTCCATGGCTCCTTTCCCGCGCGTCCAATAGCCTCCATCCGCCTAACCGAGAGAACGTGTTCCTCTTCGGACGTCCACCATGTCTTTTTCCCACCTTGCGGTAGATTGGGAAAGAACAAGAAGCCGAGCAAGGCGAGCGGTAGCGTGATAATGCCGTCTATGATGAACAGCCATCTCCAACCTGCATAGCCACCCACGCCACTCAGGTTCGTGTAGGCGGCCGCCTGCAGGAAACCGCTGAACAGCTGCCCAATCGAGCCAGCTAGCCAAAATACCATGGCTCGCTTGCCAATCTCCCGAGGGGTATACCACGACCCGAGCAGGTAATGAATGCCGGGGTAGAAGCCAGATCTGTGCAGGAAACGTTAACCTCTGATCCGCTGAAGCAAATTTCAGGTGGTAGGATCAAGGGGATGAAGGCTTACTCGAAGAGGCCTACGAGAAACCGTAGGGCGTAGAGAGACTTGTACGACTTCACGGTCGAAGTACAGATGGTGGCGATGCCCCAGCCGACCTCAAGCTACATGATTTATGTCAGTGCTGTTGGCACAGTTGAGATGGTACGGAAAGATACGCACCGCAGGTATGACCCATCGCGGCGATACACGAGTCAGTAGCAGATTCGAAGGAACCTGCCCAATGACATAGCCGACGGTATAGATGGAGGTGCTGGTCACGAGCTGGTTACCATACATCTGCAGGTCTTCCTCCATGCCACTGAGGTAGGCATTGTTGACGTTGGTCAAATCGAGGTTCTTGAGGAAGTAGCCGATCTAAGCAGTTCTGTGTTAGAACATTTATATTCTTTATGACGGCAGCAGGGAACGTAAAATGAGCGTTCAACACCCGACATTCACCCGTTTTAGACGCTGGATGTCGGTGAAAATACCCATGCATCCAAAACGGGTGAAATCCATCACAGACAAGCGCTAGAATACCGGTTACATCGCTGCTCCTGGAGACAGAATAAGTGAAACACCGCTCAACGGGTGCAATTCACAGGTTTGAAGGACCCGTTTCGTTGGCCATTGGATAAATTAGAGACGGCAAACACTCACCGAGGCGAAGGTTAGCACGAAGGCATCCAGCTTGAACAACAGCCAGCGCTGGTCCTGGGGAAGCTCCCATGTGTCCCAGACGTAGCCCTTCCACGTCTTGATGGGTTTCACCAGTGGCTCTGGAGAGTCATTGCGACCAGCCTCCGAGTCCAGGCTGTATGCGCCAATCTTCTCCTCTGCGTGTCCCATGTTGATTGCCGATTTTGGGAGATGGGAACGACGCAGACCATCATGTATCGAAGGGTCAGTATATACGGGAAACAAAGCATGACAGTGGCCTCATCGTTTCTGTCAATCACACCATTCCATACCTCTCGAATCCGATAGTTATGTTGCTCAACTTGGTCCCTGTCGTAAGGCAGAAGAGCGTGGACTCGAAAGCGCCCTTCTCTGGCGTCATCCACGGAGCATTGCTGCGACAGGTCGCATTTATCATCACGCAATCGTCGCCATGTATCATACCTTCTCTATCATGATATTACTGCGGGTGCATATAATCCTTGTACAGAGTGCTATAGCAAGATTGGGCGTTCCTAGTACTGTAGCAGACGGAGGAGCGAGACGAGAACACGATGGAAAAGACCGCAATTAGCAGGCGCCGGCGGTAAATTCGTAGCAAGTATCTATGAGCTGCCGGCGATTCAAGCAGAGTAACTCGCGTCAAATGGTCATCCTGTAGAAAACATCGCCTGTTTGGCCATTTGGTACGTCCTCAAGATCCTAGAAGATTTATGTGAGTGCGGCGACTTGGAGAGCTCCAGATCCCCCAAGCCAACCAAAAGTTCGCGGTTACCCATTCCGCCGGGTTGTCGGAGATCGTCGGAGTCTAAAGAGCGTTCCCACTCATACATCCCCGCGACGCGCGGGAACTTGAACGTAACTGTCTTTGCAGAGGTCGGCCATCATCGATCATTGTTGTGTAGCTTCATCGTCATTACCATTCTCGTCTCTTCTTCTCCCTTTACTTGTCACACACAAAATAAGCTCTGTTCTTTGTCTGATTTAGGATCGCGGAAGCTTGGGCTCATTTCGCATTGTTCCATTGGATCTAGGTAAACGTGTTGTAGTACACAGCACGGGCAGTCTTTGAGGGACACTCGAGAGTTTAGTCGCCAGTGTGTACAACAGGTTTGTGCTACATAGCACAGTCGTACACGTCCCGGCCTTCCAAGGCGCATCTCGGCACCAATATTCAATTTTTGCGACTTGCCCGTACAGCCCTAACCTTTAGTGCGCCCACTTTTTATTCCTCCTTCAACTTCACCGTGAGACTAATGGTGATGCCCAGCTCTCGATAGCATTGATCCCAAATGACCGGCACCCGCTTTGCCGAAAGCTCTCAGACTGAGTTCAAAGACTTATCTGTACCACGACAGTCGACTTATGACGCGAGCATCGCTCCCTTCATCTCGACTTCGAAGGAAAGCTCTTCGTTCTGTTACATCGAGCGCATTCCGCCCGAGATCCTCGCCAAAATCTTCTTGCTCGCGAATGGCCAACAGGGCATAACCATCCATGACGACCCCAACCGCGCTTCTGATGCTCCTATGATCTTCTCGTCCGTCGACCGCCTCTGGCAGCAGATTGCCACTGAGACACCACAACTCTGGACATACATTCATATCAGTCATCGCCGACCCAACTTTCTTCTCCAGACCCTCGCTCACATCGAGCGGTCTGGAGATTTGCCTCTGGATATCACAATTTGGTGGCGTCCTTCCGACGAGCCTTTAAACAAATTTCGAGGGAAAAGAGCTGACAAGGCATCCACTGCATTGTTTCATAAGACCGTGAAAACGTGGAGTGGGGTCATAGAGGAACAACTACAGGCCTTGTTACGCTATACCGGACGTTGGAGATCGTTTCAGCTTATGCTGGACAGCCTTGAGCTTATGCACACACACTTGACTTGGCTGGTCCCCGTTTCCGCCCCAGGCCTTACCCACTTGTCTCTGGTATATGAGAATATCGTAAACCATATGGAGGAGACGCATTTGTATGAACCTGTCGGTCCATTGTTCACTGGCGGATCACCCCTAGCAATCTCCACCGTCATGGTTCACGGTGTTTCTGTGAAGTTGCTGCCGCATCCATGTCGCCACCTGAGATCTCTTCACCTTGGGCAAAGCGAGGACTGTCCGGTTTATAGCCCGCCACTTCCAGAGCTCCTTGACTTCATCAATGGTAGCTCTCTTCGCGATCTCCAATTCACACAGATTCTCTGCGAGGGTGAATTCACACCAAACTCCGATGTATGGCCTCACGAGGTCGTGCGCCTTCCATCCTTGGAGAAACTTCACATCCAGGACGATTTTACTTTTTGGGTCACGACTTTTCTAGCCCGAACCCACATTCCAAATCTGCGTATCCTGGAGCTTCGACTTGAGAAAGTATATGAGTCCTATGATGAATTCGTGGACACAATGGTCAGACCGTACCCCGATCTACAGCGTTCGATGCTACGCTCAGTGCAAGCTCTACAAATCACCAATTTACCGTACGAGCGGGACCTTTATCTGGATTCCCAGAGTTCTGACATCCCGATCTACCACGAGCTCGACAACCTAAGTGTCATAATGGTTGATTGCTCCTCAGGGAGATGTTGTTATGATGCATTTCCAGAAAGGCTCCTGCGTTTTACCTGCTTTCCAAGTCAGCTCGATTTCCCTCCAGACCACCATCCTCGCATTCCGCTTCCCCGTCTGAGGACGGTCGTTCTTCGCAATCCCAATATCCGCGAGGTCAAAAATTTAGTAACGGCCAGAAAAGCAGCCGGAGTTCCTATTCGACGACTCTTTCTACAAATGAGTCGCAGTAAGTCGAGTGTTCGAGGAAAGAGGTACATGGCTCTCGATCCTGCGGATGTACTTTGGTTCTCGCAGAATCTCGAGACGTTCGTGGAGCTTTCTTCTGAAGAGGACGAAGATTACAGAGAGTTCTCATTGGTGTCACCACCGGCCGATATAACGCTGGAGAGGCTGCTGGAGGCGGATTCGGCAGCGGAGAGGGTGGTTGTGTCGTTCATGGATGTGTTTACAAAATCCTAGGTAAGTCCTTGTCGTATTTTCACACTGTGGTATCATGTCGCTCACGATCTATCTCGTGAAGTTGAGTCAATATTCGTCTGTTTGTTCGGTCGAGCCATCAGAGTTTGTATAACTTTGCGTTCTGTACGTTTAAAACGAGATCTGTCTGATGTCCTTGTAACACAAAGAAGACCAAAACGAAGACCCAATAAATCATTTTAGGAAGATGAGCGTAAGTAACACTCGTGATGATACACGCCATCCCCGCGGAAAAGTGAGCCAGAATAAGGATACAAACGTGGAGAGGACAAGAAGCCGCACCCAAGCGACGGCTCTCTGATTAGAACCAAAAAGACTTGGGCGAGAAACAGAGTCAGCCATAAAAATTATTGTAATAAATATTCTGAGGTTGAGTGATGGTCGCTATCCTGAATTCAGGCTGTGGCAGCGGCAGTAGCGGCGACAGTGGCTGCGACAGTGGCATCAGCGGATGCAGAGGTGATAGAGCTCACGGAGGCCCTGGTGAGAGGTGCGGCAGCGGCTGCAGAGGGGAGGAAGGAGAAAGGAGGGTCGACCGGGCCTGTCTTGGTGGCCGAAGCACTCGGGGCCGCAACGCTGGAGAGGCCAGAAATCGCCGCAGTGGTGCAAGCGCCATCGTCAGTCCACACACCAGCGGCGCCTCCTGTGAATATGCGACTGTCTATGAGTAAACAAAACGGGAGAAGATGCAAGGGGACGTACCAGGTGTATCATCCTCAGTCCACCACTGGGCGGTCCAAAGATGTCCGTCATATGAGACTTCTTCGCCACCGGTGTACGCTACAGTCGAGTCCCAAGCACTAACGCCACTACATCCACTGCTCGAAGCAGTCGTAGTGGCTGCGGCGGACGTGGTGGTGGTAGTGATGGTGCCAGGAGCGCTGGTCGTAGTCGTGCCCGCAGCGGACGTAGTAGTAGTGCCAGCCGCGGACGTGGTAATAGTGCCGAGGGGGAAGGCCGAGCCGCGAACGGTTGTGATCCAGGATGAGAGGGCGTTAGGGTATTGCCAACCCATGATACCAGCTCCCTGTATAATTAGGTTTATTCAGAGCGTGATTCGTGCTGGAGATGAAGTTAAGCATACCCAGCCCTCCGACGTTGCTTGCGCAATACAGGTGGCAAGAGTAGCAGAATCCACGTAGCCTGAGTAAATGTATGTTAAGTAATTAAAGAACGTTCTTCTTGGACGAAAGAAAACACGTACCGTTGGTGGCATCACCTGTCGTAGCAGGCTTCCCGATGACTAGCTTGTCGGAGTCAACACCACTGGCAATGATTTGGAAGAGAGCCGTTTCAGGCCAAGTGCTCGACGAAGAAGTCAGGAGGCCATCGCACTGAGAAAGTTCAAGGTGAGACACGATAGAAAATAGTTCAAGCGAGAAGTCTTACTGTGGTGTATTCCGAGGCGCCCTCTGTAGGAGAAAAAGAGTAAATATGAGCCAATTGATGGTTTGTGATCGAGGTCGTACGCACGGTTGTAGAACTGTTCGCGAAACATGTTAATAGTCTCTCGTAGATCATCAAAGCAAAGTTACACACCTGAACATTGTACCAGTCAATAAGATCACCGACGGACTCGTGAACCTTTAAATAACCTCCTCCTCCCCATATGTCAGGAGCGAACCATGGTGCCAAGGGAGCGTGAGTGATGATGTAGGACCCTGAAGGGATGAGCGTGCGAAGCTGAGTGGTGAAGTCGATAAGCCAGGTCTCTCCGCTACCCGTACCACCGTTGAAGGCGGTCGTATCCTCGTAATCGACATCAATACCTAATGATTTCGAGTCATTCAACGAAACGTTCTCAATGGAACGATTGAGGAGACTGAACTACTCAGGACTTACCATCCAAGCCGTAGTCCAGAACCCACTGACCCATATAGTTGGCGACAGTAGTGGCATCACTGCCAGAAGTGGTAGCTGAAATACGAAAAAGAGTTATACATGTGTTCACTCAAAAGTTGAGGTTTACTCACGATAATCGGTCGTACCGAAGGCAGAGACGACAAGGCTGATCCCGGCGGCGTTGTACTGCGACTTGATGGTGCTACGTTCATCAGCCGTTAGCAAAGTCCACTCCTCAGCCTGGTCAGCCGGACCACCGGTGAGTAGGAACGCCATGGCACTAAGAAGAAAACAAGGATTAAACCGGTTCGCGTCTTCGGAGATGAGGATAAATACAAGACGTTATAACCGTTGAGGTCCGAAGTGGCGGGAGGACCGGTTTCACCAGAGATCCAAGCATCCCTAGGATCAAAGGCGGATTCAACAAAATGTGTGCATTCAATAGAAGGACTATACTGACTGGTAGACCACGAAGCGAGGAGCACTAGGGACTGAGCGACGGGAAATGTCACGAGATTGGACATTCTCCGTGTGAGATCCAGCGAGCGGGATGGACACAGCGCTAGAAATGGCGCAGAGGGCACTGAGGAACGCAGCCAAGCGAGCAAAAGAAGACACCATATCGAGGAGGCCTGTAGAAAGAGATGGACTGTTGTCGTGAGGGGATCTAGCTTTCTAAGGAGCAGAAGCTATGATTGAGATTGTACAATGTTCTTCTCGATTTTATATGCCTTGACAAATAATTAATTAGTATGGGCCATGCGCACCGCATGTACCTGGTTTGGATAGAGCACTAGGAATTTAGATGTAGATGACGAGTTGAATCATGAAGCATGCGGGTCTTCTGCTTCACGGTACGGTGTTCAAGGCACGCGCATATAGATCGTTGATCCTAGGTCTAGTCGATGCGGCCAGCGGTGTTTGTTAGTTCGAGTACAATATTAGTATTTCGGCATACTCACGAGGAAATAATACGAACAGGCTTCTCTGCTTATAGTCTACATACCCGATGCTGTCTTTCCCAATACCGCCAACTCCTGCATAAAACAAAAGGTCACAAGTCCCTCTGAGCTATTAGGGAACTTGATGCGCCCAACAGTCAAAATTGCAGCGAGATGGTCGGCGATTCACATAGCGAACCGGGGAGTACCATCAGCACGGCAAAGGACAGCCTTGTCATGTCATACACCTGCTCGTGTGAGCGTAGCGTTGAAATATCAGAGCATCATACCAACTCAAAGATAATCGCACATCGATGGACCATTATAGCGACCAGACCCATTCAGCCCCAAGTGTACACTCTAGAGTACCAGGCAATGCCAGATGGCCCGGCATCTCGATACTTGGAAGGGTAGGGACACCTGAAGCTTGAAGAGAGCAGCCCAGGCAAGCAGCGCGGGACACTATTGATGGAAGCACATGGCTGCCGTTTTCAGCAGCAGGGAAGGGAACACTAAAGGTAAGGTGCGTCGCGAATCAAAACCGCAGTCACAACAGATTCCGAACGTTGTGGTGGATGGATATTGGGAACTGAGAGATGTAGAGAGATGTTGGCGGCGACTCGGAACACCTTGTTGCCACGAACGAAAGCGTGGAAACATCCTGCGGAACTTGCCGGACGTAAAACTTGACGTGACTCGTAGTGACACGGTATACTTGTCACGATCCCCCTCTCTGCACGCCACAGAGCCATGGACGATCTTTTGGAGAAACCCCAAGCTAGTGCACCAATAACAGACCCTCAAGATGACGAGGCAGATCAGTCCTCTGGTGACGAAGATGGCGGACTCGATTGGACAAAATTACCGTATGCTTGACTCTCGGTGGCGTCGACGGGGTTTTCATTCTGATTGACCGTTTCTAAATTAGGACGGGCACATCAGCTCGCCCTGCAATTCCAAAACGAGGAGAGAAAGACTTTGAACCTGCAGAAGGCGGAGAGTCTGGATGGCAGCGCTACAACCTTGATCGAGCTCGCGCAGCTATGTTCGATGCTTTGAGGGCCACAAGAGCAATATCAAGGTTGGCATTTTCCTTCTGAACCCCTCCAAAGCTGACCCTAATATGTTCTTGAATCTTATGCAGTAAATCGGTGAGCTACGGTGTGTGGTATCCATCGCTTGGTCGCACCCATATCACTGTGGCGCGAGGTGGCCACTTTACTTCCATGGGCCACTCGGTCGCCCGTTCGTCTCCTCAAGCTCCCGATCACAAGACCCCAAAACGCTTGGAGCTCCTCCCAGAAGAAACGCTGTTTCTTGTGGAAAAGGGCGCTCTGTTTTGCTGGAAGAATACAACTGAGCTTCTCATTGTGGACTTCGGGGATCGGGAGGAAGCTCCGCACGGTGCACCAATGTCGGTGCAACAGGCATTTGCCGAGTTGCTCGGGCAAGAGAATCTCTCTCTGGAGAAATATCAGGTGCTCTACCAATTTTCCCCACCAGTAGGCGGTCGGAAGAACTGATTGTCTACCCTCAGGTATTCTCATATCTTAAACGACTGGGATATGTTGTTACAAGGGCCAAGCCGCCATCATCAGCATACCCGATGGCGGCCCCGTATCCTCCCTCAGTTACTTCGTCCTCTCGGCATTCCTCAATCTTTCGGCGAGTATATCACTATATATCCGGGAAATTAACTTGGTTGTTCTGCTCTCTGTTCCGCCCTACCTTCCACTGGTGGCAGCCTATAACCCACAGTCGATGGGCGCACCACAATATGAGTTACGGTAAATTTGTTCGCTTTTTGTCCAGTCGTATGTTTTGTTTTACTTACCGTCTATCCATGAGTATAGCTTCCATCTTCAAGTCTTTACGTTTCATTTCATCCGGGCACTCAGTCCCGCTCCGACCAAAGCCACCTTCGGAGCCAAAATTACCTTACGAAGTTTTTTGGCATCTCTACAAACCCTCGACAGCGTTCAAGAAATCCTCTCCACCTCCCCCTGATTTTTCTATCGTCGTAGTCAAGTAAGAAGCTCGTATAGCCTGCTTCGTGTTGCTATCAGTTCAAACTGACACTATTCTATCTCTTAATAGCGCGCGCACAACACCCATTCCAACGCTTGCCGAACTAACTGCTCTATACAGCACGTTACCTACATTACCTCCTCCGCTCCCTCGTCAGAGACGCCCGCCTCCGTCCGCATCTACTACAACTCCTGCCGTTTCCACGACCGCGCAGACAGCCCTGACGGAGCCTTCAAAATCCACCGCTCCTCTCACGACAACTGCAATAAAAACGACGCCTACCACCGAAACTGCTTCATACCCGAAGAAGAGTTCACCAGAACATGGTAGCCCTCCCACTGTTTCAATCTTCCAGCGCCTTTTCTCTCTCCTCCCTTTCGTCTCGGCACCAGCCACGACTACGCCCACAGTGCCCTTAGGTCCGCCACCCCGGAGAGTCAACCCATTTATGGCTCTACGTCAAGGCAACAAAACTGTGGTGATTGCAGCCGTGGACGCCGGAGTCATTTCTTTCTATAGATTCGGGGAGGGTAATTTCGAAGAGTGGCCTATGGTGTAGAGTATCACGGGGTCATGGTCGCGAACGCGATAGGAGTTCCTTCGAGGTAGAAACGGTGTCGTTTGTGACCTCTGATAACTTGAGAGAAAGGCGACGTTCGGTCCAAAGGCGTGGTGTAGTGGATGACAATCTGACGCCAATGGCTGCAGACCTGGCAAAGGACCTGGGGACCGATCTGAAACTTTATCTGCTGCCGAGATGTAGTAGAGACATCCAAACAGGTCATGAAGATTTCAGATAGGGTCTCTGGTGGGAGATGGCGAACGGAGCATATGATGGTAGACCAGCTCCTGACCTCAGCGCGTAGCGTCTCCCGCTGTGCGACAAGATCATTCATAGCCAATTCATAGCCCGACATATGTGAGTGATTTTTCGTCCATGCGAGACAATGAGAGAACGTCACGATATTCCTTCCGTGCCTTCGGGAGATGGAGGCGAGTTCCCGGTTCTGAGGGGCGCCAATCGACCTACGACGTTGAGACTATCCATGTTTCTTGACGTTGTTACCCCGGTGCCGTAAAAAATTAATGTCTGCATTCTATCTGCCAGAGTATACCATGTTTCAGACGGGTCGCTTACCGTTATGTGGAAATGCCAATAAGTGGAGTACTTATGATGCAATTGCTGCGTTCTCGCCATTGACACCGTGCTGGAAAGCGAAAGTGGATGGTGAAGTACTAAAATGAGCGCACATACCAACTGTCTGACAACAAGGGGAAAGTCTCGTACTTGAGCTTGAAGCTTGCTTCAATGATGGGGTGTCACACGGCGAGTTCAAGCAGGATCGTTTGACAGGCGCTCAGGAGATAGTCGGTACCGTAAGGCCGTGTCTTTCCGCTCCGGTATTTCCGGGAGGTGGCATTGAGCATGGATCACCGCTCCGCGCCACAACGCCATCCATACTGTACCTTAAGCTCACGCGTATGGAAATCGCTCTAACTCATGATGAAGATCAACAGTGCACTCAATTGCACACGTCAAAACAGCAAAACCATTCTCCATTACCCTTTACGGTACGAACTGTAACGACTGTCCGAACAAAACAATGATGACGCGATAAGTTAACCAGTTCGCTACGCTAGCCTATGTACAAGTATGTATGTAACAATGCCAGCCCACTACCTGAAGTGTGAACCGGTAAGTTAATCGCTACTACGTCTATCCGAGTCTGAAGCCGCCCAAAAGCCAACAAGGTGAGGATCGATATGAATCTATGAGGTACAAGGTAGAGGCGAGGCGCCCTCCAGGAGAGCCCGGAATAAGAGTAATAAATGTTAAGCTAAATTCCTAGACCATCCGCGCACGAAATTTATTGTTATGCAGCGATGGGGTGGATGAAGAAAATTCTAGTCGTACAATGGCACGGACGGACGAGTCGGATGACATTGGGTGAAGATGAAGACGAAGGATGAAGGGGAGATAGGAAAGGCATGCGAAGAAGGGTCGAAAAGAGGGTGAGGAATTGGTGATACATGGGAAGATGAAAGAGGAATCGCAACGTGTAGGCAAGGGCGCCAGTAGGACGCGAGCATGCATATGCAAAGGGACATACCGGACGCGAACTACCAATATTTGTCGCAAGTCGGTCCAATGAGGAGAATGGAGTAGCGGCCGCACTGCGCGGGCCACAATCAAAAGATAACGACCATTATGTCGGAACCACCACAATGAAAGAAACGCAATCTGTATCCGCCATGACACCCTCTCATTCATACACCACGACAGGAATCAACGCGCAGAACACGATGACCGCGCCGACTAATGTGAATACCCGAGCGAGATCACCCCAGATGAATGACTGGTAGTGCTCGCCAGCCTGTGACAGCAGAAGCAGCTGCCGTTGCGAGCTCGATGCCGAAAGAGTCGAGAGCGGTGGTGATGATGAGGGATAGAAGGGCATATCCGATTGATCACCGACGGGGTCCTCGTTGTCGGAAGACGTGTCGGAGCTGTCGACGTCATAGGACGTAGTCGACGAGGATGAACTCGAATCCCTGTCAGGACTGGTGGAGCGCGGGCTCTCTTCCTGTCCAAGGGGAGTGAAGGTAACAGGTACTGAACGACGCGCATTGCGTGGCGAGCGCGACCGGCGTCTGGTAGGCTGCGGCCGTGTGAGTTTCGGGGGCGGATGGAGGTAGACTGTATCGGTCTCGAGCGAACAAGGTACGCGGCATGTTGGGCAGCGGCCGTCAGAGCCTTGTGCGGATAGCCACTGCGGGTAACGGGCACAGGATGTTAGTCAATGAAACCGATATTACATATCGATGAAAAGATACGCACATCAGAGAGATGTTGGTAACAGAAGAGTTGGCCGCAACACCTTGCCTTGTTGGGCATTACGGCAGCTTCAAAGCTGTAAGCAGCCACGACGCGAGTAATGAGAATGACGAACGTAAGGGAGATCATAATTTGTCGACTTACCAGATGCCACAGCTCTCCTTCAATTCGCTACCGACGCGGATGCCCTTCTTCCCATTCCAGCCATCCCGTCTGTTCTCCACCTTGTTCCTTCGGGGAGGCGTACCAGCGTACATGACAGTCTCCGGTTCGCTCCACGAGAACTTGACCCGTTCGAGGGCGGGAGTAGATAGAGTAGAAGAGGTAGCAGTGCTGGGAATGCCATCCTGGTCAAAAAGGCCAAATGAGTTGTCCCCGTTGTGTGATTCTTCTGCGATACGACCCAGTGAGAGGCTTGTTTTGATGATAGGACGCGAGCTTCGACGTGAAAGTCGGTTGGATGAAGAAGGCGAGGGACGAATTGGGCGAAGAGGGACCGTTGACCTCCGTGGGGAAGTCGAAGGCGAGGATAAGGGTGAAGGGGTGCCCGACATGATGCAGCGTCTAGTATGGGTCGAATCAGATGTAAAGATAAAAGACAGCAGTCGACATCAAGTGTCGGGGGGTCAAAATGGGAGGAGGGAGGTGGTGGTACGAGCGAGGGAACGATGAAACGCGAGGGAGACTAGCAATTGTCCGTGGGGGTTATATGTATTGCGAGCAGCGAATGAGATCAGGGATCCTCCATGACCGCTCATCCGAACCAATTGGCGATCGTACGACAACGACCAATAGCCCGGAACCGCCACCCCGGCCTCCCGTTAGCGCAGAGCACGTCACGTGGCCCTCCCCGATCACTCAGGCAGATTGCAGAGCTGCGTACGACCGCCATGATTGGTCGACACTCGAGGGGCAGGGCTCGCCTTGTCGTTGACAACAATCAGTACACAATCCAGAGACCATACATGGACAGCGGCCGTATGTACATCAGTTCTAACGGCCTCTGCTGTGCGGTCTCTCGACTCGTCCTGACTCTCAAAGAGGACTCGACACGCGGCAAAAGTGACTGATATGTGCGTCTCTGACGCTTGTGCATAGTGACAAATGAAACGAGAAATGAAGCCTTGGGTGAGACAGTCAAGGGAGGAGAATGAAGAAATACAATTGAGGCTATGGATGGAGAAGACTCTTCGGATGCGGACAGGGGCCCCCGGGAGAGCGAAACGAACAATAAGCATTCATGTATATCTGCAAGCGCGAAACGAGTTAGTCTCAAAAGCGGCCTCATAAAGCTTCATGTCTTGAAGTGTTATACAACAAGGAGACGGAGAGCTCCTACACCATTACAATTGTCTGAGGAGCGTGGCAACTATAATGTTTCATGTTTCATCCCTCCTTGTGGGTGTGTGGCCCATAAGCGCCGTCCGGCATACAAAGCTGGTCAGTCTGAGACAAAACAAAACAATGTCAACGATTCAGCTTTGCGAGCTCCGTCAACAGTTTCGCCCGTTCATTCAGAAGCGCCAAAGTATGCTCAGTAGGTGCGGTGTGCCTCGTCAAGACGCGGTGTCCGTGAGAAGCACCAGATAATCTCGTCGTGTTCGTGTTCTGCTGCGAAGGCAGATTATCGTACAAACACGTTTATATCCGTCAGCACATGGATAACAGCATAAGAACTCCCGAATTGCGTTATGCGCAGATAGGTACAACAGATACAACACTCACATAACCGTGCGTGCCAGACGTATGCTTGTTATCGGAAGCTGACCTACGCCCTGCCGTGCCACCGCTTGCACGTCGATTAGCCTCGTACTCCTGTATTTCCGACTCGTCATCAACCTCTTGAATCCATCCGTCGTGACGTATCGGTGGTCGTCGAGCTCGAGACGTTGCGTATGGAAGATGAATGTCATGCTCGCGATCGTGGCCGTGGTTGTGGTGGCCGCAATCGTAGAACGAAGATGTCGAGTCGCTATCAACGGTTCCGGACACAGTTGAAAGCTCGGACGCGCTCTCGTATGTATGGTCCATTTCGTTCTCCGAGACGAGGAAGGATGGATCTTCGATTTCATGTATACATCGAGGAGCAGGTCGGTAACGACTCGAGGATTCTCCCGGAAAATGAAGATCGGAGATGGTAATAGCGGCGTGTCTCGGTGGCGGAGGCGACGATGCCCGGTCGTCGTCTGGAATGGACGACAATATTGTGGTGTTCGTGTTTGTATCGTGTGTCGTGTCCACAAATAGAGCACTTTGCAAGCTGGCCGTCAACGATGACACCACCGAGGGTGATCCTGGGCGCACGAAACCGCTCGCAGAGTCGCTAGTACTCGGGAAATCTCCCTCTCTTGACCCAAGACCGGCATCCATTCTCGAAGGCGGGTCCTCATAATGTCCTTCTTCATCCTTCAGAAGCTCCATCTTCACCCCTAACCAGCACAGCAACTCTCCCACGAACACAACTTCGTCCCATTCTCCGTACGCCAGCTTCCTCGGGTCGACATCACTCAAGCCGACATCATCCTGAATGACATCGTTCTCCAAAACGCCGAGGAATATCTTCATGGCTTGGATTTTATCAGGGGTGTTGCGAGATTCCCGGACGGATTGTGGAATGGGGAGGCGAGACTCAAGGATGGATTCCAGGATAGCTAGGAGAAGCGAGGAGGTGAGGTCGTAAGGCGTCTCCAACACGAATGGAAGACCAAGAGCAGCAAGGAGCTCATTTAGCGATGTTATAAGAGGGTTGGACAATTCAGCGGTCGCCAGAGAGCTCGAGGGAGGCATCGTAAGAGCAACAGAGTCGTACTATAGAGGCACTGCTAGAAATCGAAGCATGTGATTTCGCGAGTTCGAGGTTGCGGTTCGTCAGTACTTTCTGAACCACATCCTGCTTTAAAGTAAACTTGCCTTCCAAAGTCAAGGAATCCACCTACTCGATATTACCGTTTGTTGTGTGCCTGGTTGGTCGCCTCAGTGGTTCGAGGTCGTTCGTTTGTGGCGCTCAGTGTTTGATTACCAAATTCGGCACTTGCCGTAACCGATGCGCGCCGTGTCACTGCCGTGTCAAATTAGCTTGCTCTCGGTCGGATATCTTTTTCGATACCACACTAGAATGGTTTGCAAGGTCACCTCCAGATTCTATCTTTGTTATCGGCCTTTCTACAGAACGCTGATACCTTCAACTGAGCCGAGTCTATCTCAAGCAGCATCATCAAGAACCTCGTTCCGAATCAGCCGTTACTATTAGGCGAGCGCTCGTGAAGGAATGCTTGGTTCTGTTTGCTTGATCATCTATACACGCTTGTACTACTGTCGAGTTTACCACTTCTTGGAGGAGACCAAACTCGGCGATATCTTGCGCTCGTGGACCTTAGCCCGCTAACTGAACGCGCTTTGAAAGTGCATGTTTTGTTTTTCTCACACTTAGCCGACCAAATATGACGGAAGATGGCTTCCTATCTTCTTTCCCCCTGCGTTCCTATCATAAATAACGGCAAGAACAGATCTAGACAACAGATGGGTCAGCCACATGTCAGCTCTTCGAGGTGATCCTGAACTCAACAACGACACATATATAATCTGCGCGGTCCTGACTGCGAGCCACGAGGCGTCTATATCTTCAACTTCCCTGCAACTCGCCTCACGTTGGACCTCCTCGGACAACGAGTCCTTACAGATCTTCTGAGGTGCATATTGCTCCGACGATGCTTTCCACCAGAAAAAGTCAAGACTCGAGCTCGCAGAAGAGCCGTGTTGACGAGACGGTCGTACCACTTGACAGCCGTCAGGGAGTCGAATTCTATAGAGCCGACTTGGATAAAGTTCAGAGGCGTTTAGATGGAAGACACATCCAGATGTAAGTCGCAGAACTCATGCAGCTAAGTCTGCCTCCTGTTCGATATCGTGTTCTGTCAAACTTCTCCTCTGCACTATACTTACGTCCATGACAGGTTCGCGGTGAGCTCACTCATCCCTACAAGTACTACTGGTATTTTGAGTTCCTATCGCTGACAGTCCTTCTAGATCGCTAGTGTGGTCGGAACGGGACTGTTCCTTGGCCTCGGGAGTACTCTCTCTTACACGGGGCCGCTCGGGCTTCTCTTGGTTTTTCTCCATGTAGGGACTGTGGCGTTTTGGTGAGTGCCATTCCTCTGTCAATGTTTGAGCTGGAGTAACAATGATGCTTGCGTACCAGCTCACTAGCCTCGATCTCCGAGATGACGGCCTTTGCGCCCGTCTCCGGCACTTTTTCTCATTTCGGTGGGTCCTAGTTTCCTCACAAAACACATCGCCACATCAACATCAGACTAACAGCTCGTCATGTCACTTTCCATCTCTGTTCAAAGCCGCACGATGGGTCGACCCCGCTTTGGGATTTGCTGTAAGCCCCTTTCGACCCTGACGCCATAACGTCCTCTTTATTGATTCTCTGTATCAGGTTGGATGGGTAAGGTTCGACTCTTACTTACGGTTTGTGGTGCTGAACGTCACATCTGCGCAATCATAGAACTACTTTTATGTTAGTATGTCTCTCCATTTTCCGCACCATCATATCTGATTTTGAGTGATTAGACCTGTGCGATTGCTCTTCCCGCGGAAATCACTGCCGCGGCTGCAGTCATCGAGTTCTGGGATAGCAATGTGAGGACTTTCCGTTCAGTGCATCCGTGGAACATGCTCACATCATGTCTTCCTAGCCAAATCATACTGCAATCTACATCGCCGTATTTATTGTCCTAGCCTTTGTGGTCAACCTGCTAGGGGCACGGTAAGTCACGGTTCATTCGGTGGTCAACCTAGAATGGACTGCTCACCCTTTGTCCCTATAGAACATTCGGAAACAGTAAGTGATTATGCACCCAGTAGAACTTTTGGGGCTCACTCGTGAACGTAGCGGAAATCGTATTTTCGGCACTGAAACGTGAGCCAGTTCGCCTTCATTATCAAAAGCAGCATCTCACATGATGACACAGTCGCGCTGGTGGCCATACTTGTCGGTCTTTCCTCTTTTGCATTCCAAGGATACCGTCTGTAAGGGTTTAGCTCTATTTGTAGGTCATAGGAGGTCTCGTCATCGACCTCGGAGGCGGCCCTGATGGACAACGGTGCGTCATATTTGGATATAGCCTGTCAGCCCATTGCTTACCGGTCTTTAGACATGGATTTGAGGTGACTACGACATGAAATGAGAAACAAATACCTAGCTGATGCTCCGAACTGGGTCTTAGTACTGGCGCAACCCAGGGCCCATGGTCTCCTGTTCGTACACTCCCTAGGGCCTTTACATCCGCCGCGTTTCTAATCGTGTCTCTATCTCAGCGCTCGCTTCAGGTGCAAGAGGCCGTTTTATTGGCCTATTGTTAGCTATTACGCCAGCCGCATTTGCGATGTGCGGAATGGAGATCGTTACAGTGCACGTTTGCTGAGATCCGACTTTTTTGTTGTTGTGCAGTATCGCCTGACCTCTTCTTTTGTCTACAGTGCCGCTGCAGAGACCAGGAATCCCCGGAAGAATATTATTATAGCCATGAAGACGGTGTTCTTTCGTATCTTCTTTTGCTATGTGCGTATTGGCCATCTCAGCGCTGGTCCTAATCGTACTATCGCTCCCACGTACTGTTTTGGGGAATCTACCATACGGTTTCTGATCCTTGGGTATACAGATCCTTACAGCGCTCCTTGTCGGGATGCTTATCCCCTCCAATGATCCCGACCTATTCACGTATGTTCTATCAGGAAATTGATCAACTCGCAGCAGCAACTGACTTGTGGAATCAGCGCACATGCAGGCGCTGGGGAGTCCCCGTTCGTCCTCGCGTTCAATCGCGCAGGCGTGAAAGGCAAGTAGCTGGTTTGCGGCCTTTTCTTGTCAATTGCTGAACTACACGGATTGTTTCTTCAGTACTCCCTCACTTTATAAATGCAATCGTCATGACGAGCGCGTTCTCGAGTGGAAATGGGATGCTCTATAGCTCGTCTCGTCTTCTATACTCTCTCGCAGTGCAAGGCCAAGCCCCAAAATTCTTCACTAGGGTCACATCATCTGGCGTCCCGATATATGCAATCTTAGCTGCTGTAAGTAACCTCTTTGTGGAGCGAGAGATATTTGAGCACACTCACATTATTCTCGTGTACAGGGCTCATTTGCTTTCTTAGCGTTTCTCAATATACAAACAGAAGCAGGCATCGTCTTCAAGTAAGTGCTAGTGAATAGTGTGATAGTCCAGAGAAAAGTACAGTCCTGATTTGTTCACAACAGCTGGTTTGTCAGCATTGTCACAGTAGGGGGACTTCTCAAGTGAGGCTGCACAAGGTCTTGGTCGAAAGTTTGCCGAATTGACACGTCCGATGTAGCTGGTTGATGATCGGAGTTACATATCTGCGTTACTGTGAGTGCTCTCCCGGTCTTCTGTTTACGACTGAGGACTGATCATTCGCAGACTATGGTCTACGCGCGCAGGGTATCAACCGTAAGATTGATGGAATTTACCGTTCCCGTCTACAGCCCTACGCCGCTATGTGGGTGATTTTCTGGTAAGTCATTCTCTGCGACTCGCTTTATCGATGCATAATACATAGATTCTGATGTCGTCTGTAACACAGGGCTATCTTCTTCATCCTCGTCAGTGGTATCTCGGTCTTCTTTTCCTGGAATACCTCCAACTTCGTCGCTGCTTGTGAGTTATACCCACCTTGGCCCAGCCCCGTCTTTGCTCTAAGGGAATGTCCGCCTTTGTAGACGTCAACCTCCCGATATATGCTGTGCTCTACTGCGGGTGGAAGATCTATAAAAAGACGAAGATCGTAAGTATCACGAATCTATACATGCTTGGTTGGTGTCTTTGGTCCCTTCGTTCTCCTAATTGCGCCTTTTGTACAGCTGCCCCTCGCAGAACTCGACTTTGTAACGGTACGTCACCCTTGTCCACTATCGACTGCTTACTAGATGAATCTAAATGGTCTATATCACTTCTGCGTAGGACATCCCTTCGATTGCGCAGACAGAGGATGCCGGCTTCGTGGAGAAGATGAGTGGCGCGAGGAAGTTGAAAGAATTCTTGTGATATTTTAGTGCTTCCCGTACATGGATATACCAAAATACATTCGCCTTCCCTGATAGCAGCTTGAAAGTGTCCTTGTTGCCTAGACTAAGCAAAAGCAAAAGGAGACCGACCACTTGAAATGCATTAAGAGGGAATCGAACCCCCGGCGGGTCGATGGCAACGACCCAGGTTACCACTACCCCATTAATGCTTGCATGAAAATCATATTCTGTGTATTATGATGCCAGACTTCAACTGTAAAGAGACTATACCTCTTGAGCACCTCCAAATCGCAAATGATACAGATAATGTTCCAAATTTAGGTCAGGCATATGCAGCAGGGTTGAACCATATCCTACGTGTCCACCGTCTCCTCCTCGTCATACCCCCTGCAGCTTTCCACTCCTCAAACGGAGCTGCGTGGGGCTCGAGCCACGCATCATTTGTGTACACCCATCCATCTAATAGGGTCAGATATGCCAAGTACACCACAAAATCGTACCAGTCAGCATCAGTAGCAAGGGTAGGGGCAGTAGTCACAAACCATCGTCAGCTCCCACAGGGCTCCAGTTTGCTTCCACATCAGCGCGCCAGTCTTCCGTCTCCACGAACGACCATCCCAGATCGAGCTTAAACGTGAGGTTACTGCTGTGTATGCATCAGCGTTTCTCGTCAACACCCACGCACCACCAACAGATACATAGAGTCGGTCCAGATGACGAGAAAGGAGCACGGACCTGACATCACCACCCCCATCCACAGAAATCCCGCTCCATCCATCCCTTCCCCTCGTCCACGCCACCCTCTCTCCTGCTTTCAAGTTCGCACCGCTCCATGTTCCGCCGCGTGTAGCCTCAGCGCCCGTTCCTGCGATCCATCTCTCGTTCTCAAATAACTCTACTTCGCGGAGCTCGGCGTGCCATTTGTCGTCGTCTAATCGGTCGTCGTCAACGAGTCTGCCTAGTTGAGTGCGGAGACGGCGAAGCAGGCTCCCAAAGGGTGCGATAAAGAGGGGAAGTGTGTGACGTGTATAGGGATGGGTCAGGACGAAAGGTGTGAGTCCAAGGACGAGGAATAGGGGCCGGAGGGGTACGAGCGGGAGGAGTGGGAGAGCGAGCAGGAATGTCATGATCGTGAAAGTGAGGATATGCGGCGTGTATGAAGTGGAGTAACTGAGATGAAGGACAACGGGCCACGCTGCGTCATAACCGTCCGCACTGAGAACAATCACATAAGAGTGATATCTGAGGTTTAACGATGATGGTGCTCACAAAGCGCCCATGAGATTTTGGATGGCTTGGATATTAGCAAGCCATTCGGCGCTACCTTCGCGAGCGTTGGCACGAGGTGGTGGGAGCACGACGTACGGCGATAGGGAGGCTTGCGGGTCCTGAGTTCGCCTCGATGGATGTGTGGCGAGGAGAATGCCCAAGATAATTACGTGGGGTAGAAGGAGAACTAGCCGTGGAAAATAGCCTAGCCGATTAAAAGTCTCAGAACCAATAAAATGCTGAAATAGCATCACAACTCACAGAGAAATGCGTAAGCAGCCATCCACATCCCCGTAACTTTCCACCCTTTCCGCCACATCAATATCTCTTCCACACGATCCTGTATCCAAAAAACTGGCCCCACCTTCCCGACGAACTTCCGGAAGTTCACGGTGGTGATTGGTACAGACAGCGGATCTCTCGTCGACAATAGATTCGTGACATTCCTCGGATTACTTGATCCTGCGGGCGTGTGGGATGGGATTTGAAGGGTGGATGCAAGCAACATTCCCGGTAAGTTCCCAAAGGTGGACCGCGTAGGGGAATCCGTTGCGCTAGAAGACGACGTTAGCTGTTTGGGAGGGATGTTGACGGAATTAGTTGCTGGAGATGTTTGTGAAGGTGTCGTTGGATGTGGGAGAGCTGTCGTGACTTTCGGTTGAGGTCGAGGGCTCGGGGACCTTGACTTCGAGGAGGGGGGTGGAGAGGGTAAGCGGGTAGCGTAAGACGGTATTTCGACATAGTCAAGAGAAGCCATGGGTAGACGTCGAGATTGTGGTGGTCTTTCACGGAGCGCTCAGGTTATTGGGGCACGCAGAGTAACGTTAATTCCGTGCTTGAGTCCCAGCACACTGAGCCCACAAAATAAGACGAAGGACCACAAAATTTCCAAGTCTGAGTTCAAGAAAAGCTTTGTGAAGACGATTCTGCGATGGTGTGTATGAGCCTGGTGACGGTTCGTGGCACGAAGAGTTCGACGAAACGTCAGTTCGACCATGCCGAATTCACATGAAAGGAGTGTGGCACCTGATGCGGCACCCTGCGAGTGTGGCCCACAGAAGAACTCCCTCATGATACCGTCTTCCTCTCGCTCGTCCGGGTCTCATTCACGATTAAAGTGTAGTTATATTTTTACAAATCTCGTACTTCGTCTAATAATACACGGGTCCGTATAACCAGCCATTTCGAGAAATATTATTCGGCCATAACCACTGCCACTCTGAGGGTTGCATCTCCATCTCAATAATAGGAGGTCGTCACCTCGTAATCACGCATACTACTACTGTTTCCTGAGATTGAACCTCTCCACCACAACATTGACGATGTCGAGCCATTCGTACATGGCGCCTACCCCAACATCCCCACATGCAAGGCCTTTCGATATAGGCCCCAAGACGGTGTAGCCAATGACATCCCGTACGACGCGGAGATGTTGCTCTGTAAGTGGGTGTTCATACATGAGTGTGTTCATCGCGGGGAAGACGTAAGTTGGTGTTGTGGGTGCCAGTGCTCGGAGAAGAGATGTCTATCGGTAAAAAGCCATTTTTTTGAGTATGAGATCGCAAGGGGAATAGCAGTAACCGTACTAACGACCACATTATCGCAGATACCATTTGCTATCTTCGCTATGGTATTTGCAGAGCAAGGCGCAATAAGCACAATGTCTGCCCACCGACGGAGTTCTATGTGCAATATGGGATCCCCAATGCGGTAGTCTGGCTGCAGAGCTTAAGATCAGGAACCCGGTACATATCATATAGGCGACCAGACACAGTACTGACCCTCCACTCATCTTCATCCAACCAGACGTTCACATCTTGTTTGCAGATATCCTCTTGATTGAAAAATGTCAGAGATGGCTTCGTCGCCACCACCTGGATTGAGACGTTCGGATACTGCGGCGGGATTCATCAGCCTCCCGGCACAGATGGAATGACACCAATACGGACGGTCAGTAGTTCGGATACGATTTGAGGTGCCTTTATCGCGGCGACACTGCCGGTGGTAATGAGGAGTACATGAGTGTGGCCCTCTACGCGTGAAGATGATGCGAGGAACGGAGAGGACGGCATGGTGCTCTCGAGCCCGGCAATCTAAAAACCATTCATATATCGTGTTCTCTCCCTCAGTACGCATTCCAAATAGACATCTAGCCTGGAGGCGAGGCTTACCAGTGGGAGGGATCTGTCCATATGAGTCTACTCGGATGAGTGAGCACTTGAAGGTTTATTTGGCATTGTTTGATTTCGAAGGATCAGGTAAACAGAGCCAAATACGCATTCGGATAAAATGGGGATGTGGACAGTGTTTCACACCGCGCACTCATCATGACGGCTGATTTTTCCCTTCGAACGAGTGATCTGCACAGGTCGAAACTTATTAGGCTGATGCATATGACGTTCGATGTAAGGTTGCTCGCTCAAAAATTTCACGGTTATATGCCATTTCGCTTCCGTCTCAGGAAATTCTGAATCTCCAGCCGTCCGCTGCGTGTCACGACGGCGGTATGTACGGCATCGGACAGCCTATGACTGAAGATTTGTCCTTTGATGGACTTGAATCGAGTGGGCAGCCTGAGCGCCTCTCAAAAGGTATATTCGTAACAATCAGGCGCTGGTGTGGGGGTGGTTCGCATATGGGGATGACCGCTCTGCACAGGTAAGCCTTGGGCGTTACGGCTTATGCTGACTTCCCACTGATGCGACTAAAAGGAAGTGAGCGACCGCCGACGTTCACGGAACTCTCGCCATGGCGGTGAAGCACTTAGTAAACATCATACACTTCAATTGAACCCACCTCTGCAACCAACTAAGCCTTCGACCAGGTTACACCTCTTACTATCAACTATCAAGTACCGCATCTTGTTTTTAGCGCTTGGATCAAGTCTTCCGCCCTCTAGTCTGCTCTTTCTCCATCTCGCTATCACACCTGCTCATACAAGGCCGCGACTTACCACCTTTCGGCTAGCTCTTATGAAGTCCTCCGAAGTCGTCGTTAAAGTCGAGAAACAAACGAGGCGACACTCGCACAAAGGCAACAGGCCTTCGATTCCGCAGACGAAATCTTGTCCGATTTGCTTTGCCAAGTTCACCCGCAATACCCATTTGACCCGTCACCTTCGAACGCGTAAATACCGAACATCTTCTGTCTCGTCTTTCGCTCACCCTCCTGCGCGTTCTAGATTCAAATGAAAGATTGCATCGCTGCGATGTATGTAAGCGTATTCTCTAGAGCTTATATTATACCCTAACGAGTTGCGCAGATATGTCTCTCCCAGTTCACGAGAAGTGACCTTCTCTCCAGGCACAAAAGAAGCTGTGGCGACCTGTACGTATCCTCTAAGCCGATCGGCATCTTACTCACTGTTTGACCCATCTTTTGCTCCTGCATCTCCAGGCTTAACAAGGGCAAGTCGAGACGTAAATCGTGTGAAGCTTGTGCAGAGTCGAAAATACGATGCGACCTGAAGCACCCATGCTCGAAGTGCACCTCACGCGGACGGGACTGTGTCTTCGTCAATGACCCGGAGACATCGAGGGAGAAGAAAGCTGCAGCAGTCGCACGGAGGCAGAAGAAGTTATTGGACAACTTGGAGGAGGAAGAGGAGACTGAAGAGGGGGATTCTGGTGAATTTTCTCAGACTCCTTCGACATCAAACATCTCCCCTTCGAACGACTCGGTCACCGACTTTTACGAAGGATCGCCACGGTCGGCTGGTTCTGCACCTACCCCTCCCTCCGCTGTCGACTATCCTAACTATACCGCCGCGCAAACAATGACCCTGTCGTACACGCAGACACCAACGGGATCAGCGAGCGCCTCTCCCACTTTGTTCTCACAATCAGTGGAGTCGTCCCAAGCGGCCAACTTACGCGCTTTCGATGAGCTCACGGCCAAAGTCGACTATGTCGAAACGCCATATCAGGCTTCTCTTGATGACCCCCACAGGTTGTCTACGTCGCATCAGGATGTCCACCTCATGAAGTTTGGACAATTCCTGTTCACCAATTCCCCTCCCCCGAATGAAGATGTAACAAGCATTATCCCTACTGGATGGGACGTGCGGCCGCCTGACATGGCGACTATGACCAGTGTCACTCCATCGCACGACTTTTTGAATCATGACGGATTGTCTCCCGACTGTTCACTGATTCTTTTCAATCCGCTTTCTATCGATGCGTCAATACCACGGCCGACAGTTTCTATGAATACTCTCGATGAGCCGACCGAGACTGAACTCCGGCAATACCGTATGCCCGATTCCTCTTTCGTACCAGTCCTTTGCTGAAAACTCCCCGGACAGTAATCACTTTCTTCACGGCTTTCTCGCCACATGTCCCGATTGTGCACCATCCGACGTGGAGACTCGAAGACTTGCCGCCTGTGCTCATACGAGCTATGCAAGCATGCGGCGCACTGTTCACCAAGACACCACAGGCGAACGAGTTCGCCGCACAGACGCTCGCGGCTACACGGGAAGCGCTTCTTGAGGAAGATGTAAGTCGTCTTTGTCAAACATCAGCCGGTAGGGTCATTGTGCTGATGTCGACGGGATTGTAGACCCGACATAGTCCTTTCGAGCTACGGGAAGAGTTTTACCTCGTCATTTCTGTGTTGCTCGTACAAAGCATCGGAATGTTTCACCAACGCTTCGAGGATCGCGAGGCCTCGAATATATATCATCGCATAATTGTTTCGGTACGTTGAGTCAGGGTTTTGTCAGAAATTCGATAATCTTGACACATCGGTATAGATGATCCGCAGGCGTCATCTCATCGCGGAATGCTCGAGTTGGACACCGCCCGATTTATCTGACCCGTACACACTTGAGGCGGCATGGCAGGAGTGGCGGGTACATGAGATGGTCAAACGGTTTGCACCTGTCATTTTGAAAAGCCATCGCCTTGCTAAATTCTCCTCTGCCTCGACAGCGGTCTCATTGTGTCCTACGTGCACGATGTTGTGCATTGCGTTTTCTTCTCACTATCCCCGGCTTATGAGATGGACGAGCTGAACATCTGCCTCCCGGTGGAGGACGAGTTATGGCGTGCGAGCTCTGCTCAAGAATGGTACCTCCTCCTGCAGCAACCGTCCCCCTACGGTTCGATACCCGCGCGACTCAGCGGTTTCAACATGTGCAAGGCCCTCGCCATGCTAGCCACCTCATCATCTGCCGTCCTTCCTGTCCCACCATTCGCAAACTTCGTGCTCGTGCATGCAATTCTCCGCCTCGTATTCGACCGAACTACTGCCCGAAGCGCGGCTACGGAAGGCGAATTCGCACTACACATTCAGGTCCTTCTCCAGAGTTGGCTCCATAATTGGATGAACGCACCCGACGGTCCGCAAACACAATCGCATTCGGATGAGCCACCATTCATGCAGCACGCCACGCCATACTACTACCTTGCGCAAGCCTCGCTCATGCCGTTTCAGGATGGCATGCCTGCTATCGGGGGACCACATTCGGCACGATCTTATTCGCCTGAGGTTCGATACCGTGTCTTGACACAATGGTTATACTGCGTTAGAGCGTTTCTGAAGACTGGAGGACCCTGGCAGGGTCCGACGACGTATGCGTTTTTGAGGGATTTAGTGAATATGGGAAGGCAGGAAATCGTTGATTCGCAGGGTGTCGGGGTGACCGGGGCTCTCGACGGAGAAGAGATCAGGAATTCGCATGATGTCTCGGAGGCGCTGAACCGCTCGTCATTTGTAAGAGCATCGTAGCGGCTGAATGTGGCATCTGAAGTCTCGCTCACATGTGTAACGGTCGCACTGGTTTATTTTTTTCTGCATATCTTGGAAGGTCAATCTGCATATGTACATCAATGGCAATTGGATATCTTTAGTTCGTGGCATACTTCGCGATCTGTATCACCCCGGATCGGTAGCAAGTGTTGGTGGGAATGAGACATGGTCTTACGACCTACGTCAATGAACTGAGTAGTAGGCGAAACGATGTAAGCGAGGCTAGTCCTGGAGACGTCTGTCCTGGAGTATGCAGTCACCTGCGTCTTAGACCTTATGGGATGGATGGTAATACGAAAGACAAGGATGAGCTACTTCGTTGAGCGATTGTTTCGCAAGCTATAAAATCCATCAATCTCCGACACCACCACCTTGGAATATCGATAAAGCTCCTTTCCGTTTTCCTCCACGACTTCAAGGCGATGCCACTTTCGACCGATGCAGACGCAAGGTGGGTAGTGAGGAGGAGTGCTTTTTTCCGAAGTGGCCGCAGGCCGTCGGAATTCCCGCAGGCGTACGATAAGGCGGTCCATGAGGACTGTTTCCGGGGCGTCTTGCTCGAGTATACGTAGAAAAGATACCAGAGCGACGGAGACGCGAAGCTCATTTAGATGAGGAAGGGACGACACAGCGTCGAGGATAGCGTCCTGAGAGGATAGACAACGTCAGACGAGATGAGACTGCAGAAAGTGTGGCATAAGATACTTACGATGTCCTCTTCCACGTTTCTTTTATCGCCAATGCTTATAGCAAGTTCTCTCAATTTCGTGCAGCGCTGAATCCCTAATATCATCTTCTCGTTATAACACCACACTCCCGCGTCCTGGGGAAGAATACTCAGCGACTCTAATGTCTCGGCATGCCCTGGCAAGACCGTCGAAAAGAATCGGTCTGAAAGGCGATCGTCGTCGTGTTGGCAATGCAGCCATCCTAGTGCTAGACGCCTCAGCCCAGAGGGCGGTATGAGATGATTCTGGCCTCCATCGATGCGGTCGAGTTCCAAATTTTGTAGCCCGTCCGCGTCACGGAACGGGATGGAGTCTGCCTGTGCAGATGGCGGACGTAGAGCTCCGTAGAAGTTGCTCTTCAAAGTCTTCAGCGAGCGCATGTGTGGGACTGTGACCTCGTCTAGAGTGACCGTGACTCCAGTGAGCTCCAAACGTTGTATGGCGAGAGGCTTCTGCGCAGAGCATTCCGAGAGAATGTCTCTGAACGTGGGTAAGATCTGCTCGTCACGGTATGGTGCGTCGTGGATGTCAACGACCAGATGCTCGAGCTTTGGGCATTTCGCGACGATACGAGCGAGTTGAGAGCTTAGCACGGTGGGTGGGTTCGTGGGCCTGGAGGGGCAGCTCCGAAAGATGAGTGTGCGAAGATTGGCGAACAGGGGGAAAGTTGGGAACTCCACGATCCTCGACGTGACCAAGAATCGGCAGGTTTCGACGTGCGGGAGCGAGCCGAGGGCCTCAGCTATCGCCTCATTCAGTCCGTCTTTAGAGTACTCTGCGCCGAATTTCCACCTGCGAAAGTGGCTGTCAGTATTTCGACTACCTGACATTGGGTCATGGAGCCAGAGTTCCGACGTACGTGAACGATCTCAGAGCTCTCAGCTGACGGAGCGCAGTGAGTACGAGCTGAGCATGTGTCGAGTCCGCCGTAGTGGCTTCGACGGTTTCGTGAGAGGCGCAACAGTATGGAGGTTCTATGAGGAGTTCCCTGACGTAGATCGAAATGGGTGATAGTCCAGAGGCGATGGCCGCCAGCATCTCACGTAGTGGCGAGGAAGCAGCGCGCACACGGTCGAGATTCAGCGTGAGATGGTGGAACATGTCTCGCTCGATGGCTGCGTTAACTTGCTTGCAAGTGAGGCGTAGACTACCCTTGAAAGCTCGACTCCTCTGACATGCGATGTCTGAATACTATCGAGAAGTCAGTAGGTGAGACACGGATTTGATAGAAATATATAGCCAACGCACGAGAGGCACGGAACCGATATGGTGTGCCTGCAACAAACATTTGGTGCGAGCCTGCTCGAACGCGTCTAGATAAACCTGCCGCGCGGCATCGACGCATATGGGCGACAGAACTTCCAAGGGAAGAGACAAAAGGCCTTTGGGTTGAAAAGTCATCGAGAAGGACGCGACAAGAGATACCGGGAAAGCCACTGCGAGCGCAAAGTCTGTAGAGCGACATTTCTAGAGACGTGTTTTATGTGCCGCCGAAGGCGTCACTCGTGTGAGGCTGTCCCTCGAGTGTGAACCATCCTGCGCTATCTTTGGCGCCGAGAGAGCAAGATCTTGCCGAAGACTGTTCTGAGTACACTTAAGATTTGCGTTTGGTATACGGAGAGCCAAAAGGATGCTCGGAAACCTCAGAGGAAAGACACGCAGCACGAACAACGCGGTCATGGTGAGAAGTTGTTGGACTTGCGGGGACCGATGGAGGTCACGAACTGCTGGCACTGCACCTCGTTAACACGACCTGAGCCCAAGATAGCCTGGAACACTTGTTTGACCGCAAGCAAGAGTGAAGGGTTGCATAAATAGCAGGTCATGAAAAGAAACATTTCAGAATTTGAAATGGGGCTCGTTGATTGAGTTGTCTTCCCGGAGTTTGCCGAAGGTCTAATTTAAAGGTTGTGTGGCACCGGTGTGGCTTCTGCGTGACTATAGCAGATCGATATCGAGGGGTATAGCATCATCAAAATTGTAGTAATAATCCAGAAACACAGCCAAAAATTATATGCACAGATGAAAACAACAAACGCGTATATGTACGTCCAATATAATCCATGATCGGGTTTGATATAAACTTCACTGGTTCCCTGCCCGACACAACGTCACTCCAAACTCCTCCTTCCGACGCGCGCTCCTAGATACCACCTCAACGCATTGAGAAAAATGGCATCAGATCTCAACCCTCCAGGATACCCATCTCCTTCCACCTCTCCCACAGAGCCCCGATGCCCACCTGCCCAGGCAGTCCAGAGCCTGACGAGCTCTTGTCAGATCCCTTGACATCCTTGATATCAAGCAACTCATATTCTCTGCCAAACGCAAGGAAGTGTGCAAATAAGGAGTTAAAATGAGGTTCGGAACGTAGATGGAGGATTGCGGAATAATGAGCGTGATAGATGTGAGCAAAAACACGGAGAAGTTGGCGGTAGACATGTTTCATAGTCGCAGGGAATGAGGCAGGGAAGTCTTGTCCTGTGGGATGTAGAACAATAGGTTATGAGCAAGATTACGGTCAACGACAAAGAAACATGTGGTAAACCACGACTGACCAGACTTGGTGGGGAATGTCGTCTCGTCGTCAATGACGTTTTGCACCCATGTCATAACGTAATCGATATAGGTCGGGGCGGGTAACTGCACACTTTTACGGTCCTGATTGATCCAAGTGTAATTCAATCTGGGGGGTGGGGAGAAGCATATTCAATGATATTCCTCGGGAATGAGAAGTGAACAACGTACTGGGGTCCAGCGGCCATGGCGGGACATGATTGTTGAGTGCAGCACTCCGAGATGACACCATAGAACATGTTGAGGTTTTGGAAGAAGTCAAAGACTAGATAGACACGTAGGGAACGGACGGGACGTGAACATCTACATCTATCTAATACCCAAGGGCAAGCTACTTGGCTGAATAAAGGAAAATAACTCACCATTCACAGCGACCCATTCTGTTACATCGACATACTTGGGCAACATGACAATTGTTTTGAAGTTACCCTTGACGAGCGCGGCCTCTACGAAAGGGCTACACAGATACAAAGGCTTCTGTGGGTTGGAAGACGTAGTGCTTGGTGAAGGCGGTTGATTGACGTCGCCATTTCCGCCCGAGTTGGGAAATGTGGCCGACGTAGGCGTCGGAGAGCGTTTCGGTCCTCGAGGACCCGAGCGCTGCATAGAGCGACTGAACATATTCATGGTCGTGTTCGGTGTCGAGTTGCAGGACCGAGTGCGAAATGAGAAGTTGCGTTGCGTGAACGAAAGCTATGAGTTTCGAACGACGTGGACGCGATCTGATGGTTGCAACGCACCCTATGGAATTGAAGAACGACATCGTGCACTAGTATCCGGCCCAGTAAGCACTATCGATGGCGAGAAGGGGGCTAAGAAGGCAGAAATGGATGGAACGGAAGAGTGTCGAGTTGGCTGCTCTCGATAGCAACGGAAAACATACCAACCACCCAAAGGGGCTGCCTCTATACCGCACTTCCCCCACGTGATGCAGACTTCTCTCCTTCGCGTGGCGGCGCCGAGCGGCGTGGCCCATCTTGCATTTGTCCACTTCAGAACAGGATCGTTCAAGGCGATAGATATGTGGTGAGTGGTCAATTGTATATGATTTTGGCGTCATTTGGCTCATCTATGTCTAATCTCTACTCAGTAAACACGTACTAAACGCACAAGTCTCCATCCGAGCTCCTTGCTGCAAGCAGTGGTACGACTGCCCCGAATGCCATGCAGAGGCACAATCCCATCCACTCGCAAAGGCTACTGAGATGGTCTTCATCTGCAAAAAGTGCAAAAAAGCTTTCAGAAAGGACATGGCTGAGTATGATGAGAGTGATGAGTATTGTCCTCATTGCGATAATCACTACGTGCGTAGATGACCTTACGAGTTGTGTGGCCCATCGACAAAGCGATGTTGACATCGTCCACATTTCGTTGTGTTCATAGGTGATTGATGCAAAAACACCGCAAGCAGTCATCGGCGTCGAGGGTGACGATGCTCGTGTAGACGCCCGGTACGAATTTTATTCCCGCATCTAATTATCGCCAAACCCACTAAATTGTACCTCTCTAGAATGCTCAAGGACGAACGAATCAAAGGCGAAAACGAGCGATCACTATACCGGCAGGATCAGTCTGATCGACTAGGCTGATTTTTGCATCCTATATTTTGTACATTATCGTTTGACCTTCACGACCCACCGACCCTCCACGGTCGTCCCCGATGCATTGGGACCAGCCCTTTGAACCTCTCCGCTCTTCTCTCTCTCCGTGAACCATCGTTCGACTGTCAACTCTGTGTCATTCCCTGATGCTTTCCCTTCTGTGTTGGACTTCTCACTATCGAGCGATAGTACACGGACGAGCCACCGTCGTGTATCATCAACCTTGCCACCCCCTTCGCTCCCGCCGCTAGTCTTTCCTTCCGAGTGTGGTGCGTTCGGTCCAAGATCGAACTGAGGATACGCACTTCTAAGTACCTTCCATGCGTCGTTTTTGGCTTTTGACCTAATCCCCCTCACCAGTGTATACAGTGACATTGTTACTGTTTCGCGATCGAGGTTAGCCTGGGTGTCGCTGGGGAACATACTGATGATAATGGCGTCGACTGCTTCCGGGCGAGTGAGAAGGTTCAACTGAATTAACATATGCCTCCGAAGGGCTTGTGCAATGCGAATGACCCAGTCGACACCAGGGTGTGAACTTGACGTCGATGCTTTAGAATGTGGCGTAGGTGCGCGAGCAGTGGCACGAATTAAGTCGAAGTAGGCTGTTTGTGAGGGATGGTGGGCGATCAATGTGTGAAGAAGGCCCAATATGACTATCCAAGGTTTTGCGCTCAACGATGGTCTGTCATCGCCAAGTTTGAGCAAGGGCGCTCTCGCTGGCAAAAGATGTGGCAGGATGGCAGTTGTCTGGGCGGGAATGGAGAATATGATGGAAAGATAGAACGATTGCTCGTATACTGGCATTATATAAAAGAGTGAGCCGTTGCTGCGTGCTTGTCTCATGCCCCCAGGGTGCATGATCCAGACGAAAGCTGGGCGCTGAACTTACTCGATGTGGCGAAAGCGTCTGTGCGTCGAGACGAAGATATCCCTTCACGTAGTTTCCCTAATAATTCGTAAGAAGAAACCTGAGCAGTGAGATTGAAGGGAAATCACGGAAGAAAACTGACGAAGAAGAATTAACAAGTTCCCTTCAACTTCCGCTCTTTGTTGTGTATGGGCCACATCTCGCTCATCTCGAGTTCTGAAGCGCCAGGGGTATTTATTCCAATACGCATTAATCTGCCCAGAGAATTTAGGTCAAACCGAGACATAGGTCCTAGGGTTCGTACCTACCTTCTTTTGGATAAACTGCCAATAGTCCTCCTGAACTTTCCAGTCCTTCAACCTAATCTGTTTTCAGTCAACGGCCATGCTCCAGTACAACGAACTGAGGGAGATGCCACCTACACATCTCCTCCTTTGTCTAAACCGCTGCTTCGACTTGGAGTGAGGATGTACTCAAAATTTATAGTACCATCTTTTAAAAGACCTGGAGTCGAATGAGGGGGCTTCAACCTCGAGCCAACATCAACTCCTGGGATGCTGGCCCGAGAGTGTCCGCCGCCCGTCGTATTGGGAGAGGGGCGGTTGGTGCTTCCACGATTCTCGTCATGCCCCTGTCTTGCTCCTGGTGGACGATAAACATTTCTTGGGGGCATATTCAAGCTGCGGTGGTTGTGAGTACTAAGAGAACACTGAAGCGGCGTGCGATCTAACACAACGCCACATCGGCTTGATCCGAGCGAGCCACCTCCTGCCAAAATTGCAACGATTGCTGAGGATTGCTGCCTCTCAGAGCCCAGCATCGTTATCCGACATTGCAGTAACACAATCTACATCCACACATCTCTGCTTCTCAGGATGACAGTGACAGCTTGGACTGATTCTAATAGCGGCTCAAAATCTCTGAGTCCAGATAATGTTCCACTTGGCACAGGTCCTCCTACACGAGAGGAACTTCTCGTCTATTACCCTGCAAAGTTCACCTTCCAGCAGCTGAAGACATTCATCAACTCTGGGTGCGCTCACCACGTTGTTGGCAAGATTTCTTGGAGATTTATTATAGGCTAGGGACCTAGGCCTGTTAAAACGTGACAAGACACTTCAAGTGAGATATAATGCCTGGACGAAGGGAATCAGGGAGGAGTACGGTTCAATGGGTATGTTGCTTCTACCTTGTTATATCTCCCTTATCCTCTATATACGTGGTCACTTCTATACATGCATCCTTTTCACGTATTTATGATCCATATGTGACTCAGGATTAGATGCTCATGTTCTTCACTACCAGTGAACTACCTAGTCACTTACCGCCTGCAATGGGGCAAACAGGACTCCCTCTCCAAGCTCACTTCCCGCTTGAATAAAAGCGAACCGTCGAACTCCGTAGTAGAAACTACAGATAAATCATCCAAGCCCGTCATTACTTTGCCGATTCCTGCGCCCGGCACGAAAGGCTATTTCACGGCCGATATACCACGGGAACTCGTCAGTATAATCCAGAACGACTGGCCATATTCTGGTGGGTCTCCTCACAAATTCTGTGCATTCCTATCTCGGTGCTCGCATTGATCACCTCCTTGGTCAGTTCCCGCCCACATCGAGCATACCCTGATCTGGACAGTCCTCCCCATCTTCCCTCCTCTCTCCCATCTTTCCAGCAAGCTTCAAGCCCGTCTAAACCAAGACGGTCTTTGGGGCTTCACTGGTGTCCTGCCATCCGACATTACCTCACATAAGGAACCACCATCACCGTCACTTCTCCCTACGTGTCTTCCTGCGCTATCCGAATGGGGTGTCACGGAAGACAAACTCATCCGAAGCGAGAAGGGAACCGAAGAGGAAGAGAAGATTGTTAAGGAGATGGGTAATGAGGTCAGAGAGTTTATCGTCAATGAAAATTGGAAGGAGAGAGAATGGGAGACTGCTTGGTTCGTAAACCCACCCGTAAGTTTCCCTCTCGGTTTTTTCTGTGAGTATCATCGATTCGTAGATAGCTAACTGCTGCCCCGATGCTATCTGTATTGCTCGTGAGAATAGAGACTACAGAGCGTACCTGGTCTTGCCCATATCCACGTCTTTGCGAGGTACAAGGACCAGGCGGAGATGGAACAGTGGGATGTTGAAGCAGGAGCCTTAGCGTAAGGCGATCAGGAAGGAAAGCACTACCCCGGCTGAGCGGGTATCTAAGGAATTTATAGCACAGTGCATACCTCAAGACTAGAGAGGTATAACTAGAGGATGCATCTACGACTCTGCACAACGGACTTATTTAACAGGACTAAATTTGCTTAGCTAAAGTCTGCAGGATGTCTGAGATACTGAATAAATATGGGCAGTACTCTGACGGAAACGATGTAGTGAACCGTGACGCAATCCATGTTTGCCCGTGTGGACCTCGGGCCACACTGCGATGCACGCCACAGACACAGCCACGGACGCGCTTGACACAAGGTTTCACGTGGTCGACGCGTCAAGATTTTCTGCTTACCGTGAGAATTATTCGCCTTGACCTTCATCACTCATCTTATACCCGTCTCATCTTAGCTCTGCAGCTCGCTAGTGCTCGTAAACCGTTATATTCTACTGCTATTGTATCATCATGTCCATCTTTACTCTTCACGGACAAGGGCTCAAGCTCGACACCAGAGCAGACATCGAGCCTCATCTCGCCACCCTAGACCCTACAACGCTAGAAGAAATACATCTTGGCGGAAACACTCTCGGTGTCGAGGCTTGTGAGGCTCTTGGAGAGGTTCTTGCGAAATGTACAAATATCAAGGTCCGTATATCTACTTCAGTATCAGATCACATTATATCTGACCACGATCATGCTCATCCCTTTCGTATGTTGAATCTTCAACTCTTCAGATCGCAGATTTTGCAGACATCTTCACCGGTCGTCTGATCTCAGAAATCCCACTCTGTCTCGCCGCCATCCTCACCCCACTCATACCCCACCCTCATCTTCACACCCTCAACCTCTCAGACAACGCCTTCGGTGGACGATCCGTAGACCCCATCACACCCATTCTCTCTCAGTCGTCTTCCCTATCCACCCTCCTACTCAACAACAACGGCCTCGGACCGGCAGGAGGCTCAGAGATCGCCTTTGCCCTTCTTCGACGCGCGCAAACCGCAAAACAAGAAGGCAAGCCCTCGAAACTCCGGAAAGTCGTGTGCGGCAGGAACAGGCTAGAGGACGGAAGTGCGCCGAAGTGGGCTGAGGCGTTCAAAGAGCACGGTGGTTTGGTGGAGGTTCGGATGCCGCAGAACGGGATTCGGATGGATGGGATCGTGAAGCTCGCGGAGGGTCTTGGCGCGTGTCCCGATCTCGAGGTCTTGGATTTACAGGACAACACGTTCGGAGTGGAGGGTGACAAAGCTTTCTCGGAGGCTCTGCCCAAACTACCCAAGCTCAAATTCCTGAACTTCTCGGATTGCGTGCTTTCCTTGGAGGATTCAAACGAGGAGCCACCAAAGACGATTGAGGCGTTGGCGGAGGGATCGAACCCCAAGCTCGAAACGCTGCAGTTGCAGAATAACAACCTCACGGGAGACTCTATCCGGTTGTTGGCGGACTCGGTGGGCGAGAAGCTGACGGGGCTGAAGTTTTTGGAGGTGCAGTGGAACGAGGTTGAGGAGGACGAGGAGGGCGTGCAGACTTTGGCGGATAACTTGAGGACGAGGGGTGGGAAGTTTGTCATTACAGATGAGGATGAGGAAGAGGAAGAACCTTCGATCATCGAGGAGGCGGAGGCGGAGGAGGCTGCTGAGCCAGTTGAGGTAGAGGGCAAGGCGCCACCTCCGGGACTGGAGCCCAAGGAGGAGAAAGCGAAGGAAGAGACGAAGGAGAAGGGTATGCTGGACAAGGCGACGGATGCTTTGGCCGATCTCATGAGCAAGGTCTCTATTGGAAACTGACCACCATCAGCGATCGACATGACATGTATGCCTCACTTTTGGGTTTCGCGGGTTTAATGTAACGGGTAGATGCATCTGGTTCGCTTGGGTTGATGCGCATGGAAGTTCAAATGATATAAATGTAGCATGAATTGATTCTCTTTATTTTTCAGTGATACCCCAGTGTCGACAAACATGAGACCATGATGAAGACCATTCTGCTTCTCGCCTTGTTCGATGCCACGGAGTCAACCATCATCAATATGCCCCATTTCTATGACTTTCTGTATCCGATCAGGTAAGCCCGCCTTGCTCTCTACTGATACGCTGGTATACCCCCGGAGCGATGGTCAACCTTCATGAGCACGCGTGACACGGATGTATCTAGACGCCCCGCTACGCTTCCCGTCCCCAGGGCGTAAGCGTCGCATGGCCACGCATTTTCTCATCTTTGTTTCAGGCTAGCGCTGCGTTTTTTTTTAGATGTCTCACAGCGACCGCGATACCCGGCTAGTAAGCCTAGGCTACATCTTCTTTGTCGCTGGTTCTGAACTGTCACGGTCATATCACCTTCATTCCTGCCCCGATTTCGTCGTGTCCTTGTATTTCTCAAGTTCATTTGTTATTCATGGACCTAGTGGCAAGTACAACTGACAGCGACGTGACGAAGCCCGCGAGCACCCATTCCAAAGAGGCGTGGTGCAAGTGCCCAAGGCCGGTGGGTAGGAATCTTGTCGTCTGCATCGATGGGACCTCCAATCAATTTGGGCCGAAGGTACGTTCCGCGGCTATTTTTCGGGAAAAGGTCTGGTCTGGTCTGGTCGATGTACTGATGGCGCCAATTGTAGAACACCAACGTTATCGCTCTCTATAGTCTTGTTGAAAAGAATGACACACAACTCACGTTCTACGACAGCGGTATCGGGACTTATGCAAGGAAAGGGTGGAGGCATTACAGGCAGATGTTGGATCATAAAATAGATCTTGCTATTGCATGGTACGCTAGCGGCAACACCAGTAGATACAGTTTACTGATTATTCTTGATGTCTTTTTCAAGGAATTTCGAGTAGTTCTCATCGCGTACGAATGGCTGTCGGAGAACTATCGGCCCAACGATAAAATATTTCTTTTCGGTGCATATCGACTCAGTGAAATGTTGTGGCAATGCTAAAGGCTCACGAATCCTCTTGCCCTAGGGTTTTCTCGTGGAGCGTACCAGGTTCGATGTCTGTCGGCGATGATTCACAATGTGAGAGCGTGAGGTTTTGTCTCCGGTGACTTCCTTGATCTCGCCCTATGATTCCTATACCAGGTGGGACTCATCTTCAGGGGAAACCAAGCTCAGATTCCGTTGTAAGTCATACAATTGCAGTGGCCACGGACGGTACTAACGTATTCTTAGCGCCTACAAGCTCTACGCAGACATCAAAGACGTAAGCAAGGCCGACAATACTGCCCGTCACACACCTGCTCATAGCGTGGATCACCACCCTTTTTTTCACAGGACACGACGTCTAAACCTGATGCTACGACTCATGATGTTAAATTCACTCCAAGGTCGAGGTCCAGGATATTGACAGACGAGTTCAAATCCACCTTCGCAAGAGAAGTGAAAGTCCATTTCGTGGGAGTGTGGTAAGTAGCATGAAGTGATGTCACTGCGTTAAAATCTAATATTGCAAATTTATCTTTTGAAAGGGACACAGTGTCTTCCGTTGGCATGTTCAGGAAGAAGGCCCTTCCCGACACCACCATCGGCATGAAACATGTTTGTTTGTTCCGCCATGCCCTAGCATTAGACGAAAGAAGAGTCAAGTTTCTACCAGAATACGCGTATGGAGGGACCACGCTTCCGAAAGTGTCTTCCGGCGACAGTAATCCAGATCAAAACATAAGTGATACCGCCTTCCCACATACCAAAGAAGTCTGGTTTGTTGGCAGTCACTCAGACATGTAACGCCTATGTTTTTGTTCAAGTCGGCTCACGCTTATCGGTATTATAGAGGTGGTGGAAACGTCAAACATCAAGAATTACACCGACCCGTTCCTCCCCTTCGCTGGATGTGTTACGAAGCTACTGCTGCTGGCTTGCGCATGAGACCTCTCGAAGCAAAGTGGGGTACCACGAAGCATGCCGAACATCACCCGTCTCTCACACCTGGGTGGTGGCCTTTCGAGCTCATCCCTTGGAAAAGATTGTCTTATCGCACACCACATAGCCTTACTTGGTGGTGAGCGTTATACCATATCGTGAATACCCTTTTGGATGTGAGCTCAGCTTAGTGATAGGCCTCACCTAGGTGGAGGCCGTCGCATCCTTCCAGGACAATTGCTCCATAGTTCCATTATGGAAAGCGGAATTGGGGCTTCGTATATTCCGCGGGCCTCCTTCGAACGTGACAACGATTTCAGTTCTGGAACTTCTTTCACCGCTGACTGGAAAGGAATATCGGACATCAAGCACAGAGAAGTAGAGTTGCCACAGTGGATAGAACAAGACCTTTACCACCTTGCACTTCGACTTATGAAGGATATCAGGCGATTACTTACCGACCCCAATCAGACGGACCGAAGGAGGCCGCTGCAACACATGCTGACGACTCTGATAGACTCACGTACGTCTATCGCATCTTCATTGAATGAATTTGTCCCTGATGTTGATCCTAGCGCAGGGATTTCGTGCACTAGGAGAGGTGCCCGAGCTCTTCACTATGCTCAATAACATATTCGCTGGTGCAACGAAATTCCAAGGCTTCCAGCTGTTCATCTTGAGAGCTATCATGCACGGCTTCCTTCGACATGGCAGTTCCCAGCTGCATAGCTTGATGAGATACCTCTCGATCGAGGCAGCAGGGCCTCTTGTCGACAAACTTCTAGCTATGAGTGCTCAAGATCCTGAAGCTCACGAAATTGCACTCTGGCTTTCTCGTATGAGAGCTGGTCAGCGGCATTTACTTTATACTGAGGATCTGTACTTACTTTCTGTGGAATGGTATAGCGTCTAGCCCTGGTGCAACATGGGTCGCCAAAGATAATATCTCCATCGCCCTCTCTCCCGACCAGAACTACCTCGCCTTGGGATCTTACAAAAGCAAGCTCCACATCTACCATGCTCGACCAGGCTCAGACTCGCGGGAGATATCCTCAGGACATACCCGAGGCATCACAGCTCTTGCGTATTCTCCGGATGGAAAACACATCGTGTCAGGCTCGTACGATTGCACCATCAGTGTCACAGATGCGAACACTGGCCGCATCATTCGTCCATGGCCGCTTACAGGGCACACTCTGACGGTCTGTTTGGTGTTATACTCGCCACAGAGTGGCACTTATATCGTCTCTGGCTCTCATGACGCTACGATCCGCGTCTGGCATGCACAGAAGGGCACTTTGGTCGCAGTACCTGACAAAGTCCACGATGCAGCCATTACATCGGGCGCGTTCTCTCGAAAGGGACAGTTGTTCGCTTCTGGTTCCTTGAACGGCATCATTCATGTGTGGAATTTCACGGCCACTAATGGCAGTCTGCGGCCAAAGACATCACTCAAAATACGACGTGGAATCGGAGCCGTCCTGTCATTGTCGTTCGCGCCCAATATGGAACTACTCGCCTGTGGCTCGTACGACAAGAACATCTACATCTGGAACATAGAGAGTAGACAACTCCTGCGACAGTTTCTCGGTCACGCAGACCGCGTCAGGTCTATCGTGTTCTCCCCAAACAGCCGGTACCTTGTATCGGGTTCAGATGATTTCACGATTCGTGTCTGGGATAGCCGCACAGGTACCCTCGTCCTACAGCCCTTCAGCGGCCACAAGGATGGCATTTGGGCAGTCGCATACTCTTCCGACGGGAAACGCATCGTCTCTTGCTCGATCGACGGTACTCTGCTTGCATGGAACGCAGAGACGGGTGCATTACTAGCCCACCACCCATTCCGAGGGCACACCGACGATATTACATGCGCCGTCTTCTCTGCTGACGGACACTTTATCGCATCCGGGTCTAAAGACAACACAGTTCGTGTGTGGAACGCACACTCCGGAGACCACGTCCTCAGGCCACTCATAGGACACCAAGCCGAAGTGCTGTGCGTTAAATTCTCCCCGTCCGATAGAAGATTGATCGCCTCGGGCTCTGCAGACGAAACGATACGTCTATGGGACGCGAGTACAGACGCACGGCTTTTTGAGCCATTGCGTGGGCATTCTGGAGGGATTACATCTATCGCGTTCTCCCCTGATGGCAAACACATCACATCCGCCTCCCAGGACCATACAATACGTGTCTGGGACGCACAAACGGGCGAAAGCCTTTTCCAACTTTCTGGACACAATGCTTCAGTCACCTCCGTGGCCTTCCTTCCAAGCGGTAATAACATAATCTCCAGCTCGGCTGACAAAACAATCAGACTCTGGGATGCAGCAGAGGAACGCAAAGAGCTGCAAGGCGAGCCAATAAAGGCGCGTCGTGCAACAATGTCGCCTGTCGTTTTCTCCCTCGACAGTACCCATATCGCGACCGCGGGAAGAGACGGATCCATCATCGTCTGGACGCAGTTGTTCAATTCCGCGAGTGGTTGGTCGAGGAAAAATATCCCTACACGCTCCAAGAGTACCAGAGTCCAGGGCGGACCTACCGCTTTGGCGTTCTCGCCTGCGGGAAACTATATTGCGGCTGCACTGCCGGATAAGACCATTCATATGTGGGATGTCGAGTCGGAGGAGGAGGTATTACTTACGCCACTTCAAGGTCATTCTGGGACGATGTCGTCGATCGAGTTTTCTATTGATGGGAGGCGAATCCTCTCTGCGTCGCTTGATAAGACAATACATGTATGGGACCCGAGAACGGGCCAAACTATTCTGTAACTAACTTATACTTACACATTCCGATCGGAGATCCTATATCATCTAGTTTTTATGGCGCAGAATATATGAGCGATGGACACCTCGTGGGATGATGGTCGCAGGAAGTATCCCCGAAAAGGTCAGCTCAACTGGGTCGATGAACAGCGAGTAGAGTGGCGATAGCATTATATGACAACATAACATAAGACACACATAAGGACGAACCACAGACAAGCCCAGCGTCACGACCCCCGTATCGTGCACCAGGACTACCTACTCGTCAAAAACCTAAAATTCCTCTTCTCCGGCGGCACCCACCCCATCCCCAACTCTCTCAAAATCCCCTCCTCCGACTCCCCCTCAACCAGCTCCCACCAGCCCCTCGCATTCTTCCTCCTCTCTGCCTCCTCCTTATGTCTCTGCTCCCTCTCCTTTGCGTACTTCGAGTTTCGACGTACGAGGTCGGGTAAGGGTGGTGGCGAGGCGGAGTCATTCCATCGCCAGAGTCCAAACTCGTTGAGATGCATGCCGAGCTTGATGGCGTTGATGCGGCATGTGCGGACGAAATCGACGTCGCCGGTGAGAGCGAGAAGGGCGGCGCCGCGTGAACCCATTGGTGCGAGACTGGTGTGCAAGCACGTAAGTGTCAGTCATCCTAATCTTCGAAATGCAAAGGAAAAGCAGGACACATACTTTAGATCGAGTCTGCGGTATATACCCCGCGTAGCCCTGATATCTCTCAGCCTCTGCCCAGTATTCTGCCACTTATTACCATCGTCTACATCGAAGGCCACACTCCCGTTACCATGACCATTTCCACCCGTCAGTCCTTCCATACCTTCCTGACCGCCATTCCCATTCCCATGCTCCATCACCACCTCCTTTCCCTTCCCATTGCCATTCCCGTTTACCCTCCCATTCATCCTCCCTGGTATGATAGTCACGCCCTGCCACTTCCTCGGCCCCCCACTCAACGTCGCAGCCAACAACCCAGAATCCTCCAGCGGCCTCACGACATCCATCAACAACGGACTCGCAAGTCTTTGTTCTTTCGTATGTGACGTGGACCGAAACGGGACGGGGGCGTTGCCGCGCGTGAGGGAGGATGGTCCGACGGATGTGGAGTTGATGGTGGAAGGGTCTGGTGGGAGGACGTTGGGAAAGGGGATGTGGACGTATGAGGGGTGGAAGAGGAGGATGTCGATGTCGGAGGAGGTGAGGGCTTTGCGACGGCTGTGGTTGCGTGAGTTTAGGAGAGGGATGAATGATGAGGGGACATACTAGCTTCCTGAGTGGACGATCTCGAACTTCGAAGAGATGTGATCTCGGATGAAATCCTGAGATTCACCCGATGAGAGTATGAGATTATCGTTCAGTCCTCGAGAAAGGGCAGGGAGAAAGGCGTACAGCAACACTCTCAGACTGTTCTCGTGTGACCGGCATGTCCAAATGATCGATATACATCAATCCTACCTTCTGAGCGGGCGTGAGCATATCAAAGTATTCCGGTTTGCGCATGTCCTTGATAGAAGTACATCCGGCGTTCACTAGCTTCATCGCCGTCGCCTCGCTGAACATAGTGTCGTTAGACTACGTTCACATGCTGGAAGAAGGTTAACCACATACCCCACGCCCGGAACGGTCTGAAACAAGCTCGCAGCCTTGGTTTTTTTCAGGGCTTTAGCCTGCGTTTTAGGTCCCTCATCCTATACGCCGTGAATATCGACGTAGTCATGGCCGAGAGGTTAGTTTGACCTGTGGATGGAGCGAAGAATGAGCGATGCCTACAGACATAGACTTTCCCGTTTATGAAGGCATCTATTCGTGCTGAAATCTTCGGTCCTATTCCCCTCAACTATTCATACCACCAAAGAGATACCAGAAAGCTGTTAAGTTACGTTGCTCCTCGAAACAGGAGACCGCGACGCACCTTCTCCGCCTCCTTCCCGGACTTTAGAGGATAGTCCAGGGTCTTGATGACATTAATCGCGGTTTGGAAGGACCGAATTTTATATGCATTCCGGTTTTCGAGTGAGGACTCCTCCTGAATATCTATTCAGTGTTCAAAGTGAGTATCTAATCTTTTTCTTCCGAGGGTGGGGATGCAACGCACTATGAGTAAGAAGTTTGATAATGCCTTCGTTCGGACCAGGAGAGTTGCTGGTCGAATAAGCCGGCTGTCGTATGCATAATTTTAAGGATGTGGGGCGAACGGAGCGGCTGGACGAGGCGAAGGCCCGAGAGATCATGCCAGTTGGAAAGCACGAAGAAAAATCGGCGGGAAAGAAAATACACGCGTGGGAGTCGCGACTTGGCGGCGAAATTTCGACGCGACGCGTCGGACACGTTCTGCTCTCCTCCAACCTTCACTTCCTGGAGACCGACTGGCAGAAGAGGTGAGCCTGCTTATACCGATGGATATTTTTTCGAAAATTTGACGCGCACCTCCAGAATCGGGGAACCTGAGAGAACACAGCAGAGTTTGGAAAAGGAACACAGCTCTGGCGTAACGTAAACGCTGACATCAGGCTCGGTTCGCGTATATAAGTAATGGCCTCGAACACGAACGGGAACATCCCCACCGTCAACTTCACTGGCATGTCCGACTCTCAGCTGCGTCAGACCATCAATCAGCTATCCAATGCAGCAAATTTTGGCGGGCAGTATCAACAAACATATGCCGCACCGACACCGGCACCAGCAACGCCTACGCCACAACAGAGCAGTAGTTCGTACTCATTTCTCATTTCTTTTCCTTTTACTTTCACCCCACAACCCTCAAACCATGTGACGTGACTTACTTTGGCTTATTTTTCCTTGAATAGGATACCAACAAAATCTGCAAAACTGGTCCAGTAGGTCTACACCGCCGCCACGAACGAGCTCTCGTCGAAGCAAACCCACGAAAAGTAGCAATCTCGCGCCCACACCCCGAACACCAACACCCATCGCGCCAGCACCCATAACAGCATCTCAACCGCAGTACCAACAACCAATACAATACCAACAACAACAGACACAACAGACATCATATTACGTTCCTCCACCCGCGCCAGCCCCTCCCCCTCGTCCTTCATCCCACGATGGCCGACTACGCACAACCGTTCCCACCGCCACGCAGGCTCTTCATTCCACCTATGCGTCCCGTCTTCGCACTGGTACCACCCTTCTCGTCCAACCGATTCTTAACAACACCTCCCTTGCAGCGCATGTCGCTGCCACAGGCACCAGTTCCGGCAGACCTCGAAGAGGGAATGTAGTGAGCTATGCAGACCCGGGATCGGGAGATGATATTCCGGATGCGGGAGAGGTTGACTCTGATGGGAGTGATTTTGTGGCAAGTGGGGGGACGAGGACGGCGTTGAGGACGCAGAGAACTCAGAGGGGTCTTACGGGGACGCCGGTGCAGTCGGCCAGAGAAAGGGAAAGGGATAGAGATGGACGTGGAACGGAGTTAGATCAGAGTTATTTGGGGTTGGTTCCGCCGGGTAGATTCATCACGTCGAAGAAGGTGTACCCGACGCTACATGAGAACTTGTGCGTGTCTTTTGCTCTCTTGTGGGGTCTAATATTGCTTTCACTTACTGGTGGCCGCTTTGGCGTACATAGCTCGCAGGACTCTATGCAGGAGCAGTCACGTCTTCCTTCTGCCCTTGTCCCTATCCGTGTCGAATTCGAGACAGACACGCATCGTATACGAGACTGTTTCGTATGGAACCTGCACGAGAAACTCGTCACGCCCGAATCGTTCGCACGGACATTCTGCACGGACCTGGATATTCCACACGCACCATGGGTGGAAACAGTAGCTACCCAGATCAGAGCTCAATTGGAGGAGATGGAGGGCGTGGGTGGTATGGACCTCGCTGTGGACGTGCTTGCGGATATGGATGTAGACGGAGAGGAGACATACCGAGCAGACGAAGTCCCAGAATGCAGAGTTGTGCTCGCGGTGCGTAAACGTGCATTCTGCATCCCTCCGCGTTTAGTATTGAACCGGTTCTCTATCAAACACGCTCCATCGTTACGGCAGATCGATGTTCAAGTAGACAACCACCATTTGACAGACCACATCGAATGGGACCTACGCTCTCCCCTCACACCTGAAGACTTCACCCGTCAACTCTGCCTCGACCTCGGTCTTTCAGGAGAAGCCATTCCGCTCATTGCACATGCCATCCACGAGGAACTCATCAAGCACAAACGGGACGCCATCGAATGGGGCGTGATCGACTCTGCCGCCTCTAACAACGCCGCCCTTGCTAACCACAATCAACCACAAGATGCAATGACAAAAGAGCAAAGGGATAAGGAACGTGACCGGAGTGGGGCGGGGTTATTGAAGGATAAAACGGGACTGGGCTTAGGATGGGGAAGGGCGCCGAAGCAGGGGAGGGGGCCACAGGTGTTGAGGAGTGTATGGAGAGACTGGCAGGAAGCGGAGGAGTTTGGGACAAGATGGGAGGAATTGACGGCAGAGGAGGTGGAGAGAAGGGAAATTGAGAGGGAGAGAGCGACGAGGAGGTTGAGGAGGGAGACGTCGAAGTTTCAGAGTTCGACGAGGACGAGGCGGAGGTAGGTACATTAGGTGGTTCGGATATAATGTTACGTTGGTGGGCCTGTTTTTTTTCTTGGCTGGTCAGACTTATGGCAGGGACGTCGTTCTGTTGTGCTGAGTATGTCTTGCTGCAAGAATGCTATTCTTTTTCTTGAACACTTCTTCGTTGCTGTCGCGCCACAGTGGCACCATGACTTTGAAGCGCTGGTCCAGACGAAGATGATGATCAGAGTCTCATATGGACTGGCTATGATGACGAGATATATATTAACCATTGGCAGTAAGTAGTAGGAATAGTAAGATCAAGAAGTGTAACGCAAAATACCCAAGAGCACATACAGTAAATTAAGCACCGCCCACCATCAGCCAGAGAGCCGGCTGCAGTCAGTAAGTTAGTTAGTACGAATTCAAACCTTGATTTATACCCTCAATACCAGATACTCCTCGTCCGATGAGCAGGGACGATCTCATCCGTCTCCGTCCCCTCGATTCTATCATTCCCGCTCTCTATTCTCTTCGCCAAATCCCACAAATAAAAGTCAATGATCACACTGCTCACTCTCTCCTTCTCTGCCTCGGAATTACCTTTAGCAAGACTAGACTTCCTTCTCTCCTCGACAAGCCTCTCAATCTCCTCCCTCACCCTCTCCACCGCCACGATACTCCCCGCCCTGATACTCACTTCTTCCCTCGACCCGTTCTGCAACGGTGTATGCATCTTGAGGATATGAGTGAGGGAAGAAGGATATGTGAGGATGCGGAGGTGGTGCAGGATCTGAGGAACACGGTAGTCTGCGAACATTGTGAGTTGATGGATTCCCTTGGGGAAAAACGGGTGCGCGGAGGATGGGAGGGGCGATGGAGGGTAGAATGCGGCCCAGGTTTCGGCGACGAGGATTTGGGCGCGCTTCCAGATGAAAACTGGGGAATCTCATGTCAGTAAGCACGATATGGCAGAATGTGATGAAGGATAGGGTGATATACCTCGTCGTCCATCCAACCATGTTTCGTCACGGAATGAGGGAAATGTTTCGGTTACCATTTGGACGAGTTGGAGTGCGGTGCCTTCGCCAGTGTGGCGACGCTGGAACTGTTCGAGAAGTCCTTGGAAAGAACCGCCAAAACTCTGATATTCTGACGTATCAGTGCGAATGAATCGCATTGGAAGAGGATATTAGACTGACTTCACAAAGGATATAACCGACTTCACGCAGCACTTGGATCCGCTCTCGAATGAGTGGCACCGTTTCCGTGGATTGTGGCGCCGGAGCGAATACCTCCTCGATGAGATCGTCCGGGCAGAGCATCTCGGAGCAGTAGAATGTTGGGTCTGTGATTGGGATACCATCTTCCAGCGCTGTAAACACCAAAGTGACCATTGTATCATTGAGTCCACGGTCTCCATGTGATGTCAGATTTGGACGAGAATACTTACCTCTGTCCACAGCGGCAACAAGACTCCAATATCCCGTATGGACCTTCCTCTTCTCGCTCCCCCAACCTTCACGCCACTCTACACCATACCTCTCATCCGTACCCTCCTTCTCAGACCAAAAACTGAAGTTGAGGGCCGAGATGAAGAAGACCCAGTCAAGAGTGGCACGCGTCTGGGGGCTGAGCGGATCGTAAGGTTCGGGCGGACAGAGGTGTAGGGCGTGCGTGCGCCATGTACGAGGGCTGTAAGACTCGGAAATAAGACGTTCATGAACCTGTTCATAAAACATATCAAATAGTTCAATATGAGATGAGATAAGGTCGGAGGAACAAGAATGGAAGCCTGACATGTTGTGCCGCAGATCTAACACCTTCTGGGTTGATCTTAACGAGGTCAGTTTCCTGTAATGTACAAATGTAAGCATATATATTCACCAAATATGAGGAAGTCGTGGCGCACCTTCAAAGCAAATTCTGCGCTTTCAATCACCGGATTGACCAGCTCGTCTCCATCGTTGGCCCACTGACAAGCCTCCGATTTCTCATTCAAGGGCACGGCCTCTAATGTTTCAATCTCTATAGCCATAGCACCCTTTCCGAGGCCTAGCTCAAGTTCAAGCACAGGAGTAAGTCGTTCAAGCTTTGGTGGTAAAGGGCAAGATGCTGAGAAGACAGGAGACCTGTTGGCAACGGCATGGCTGTCAACAATGCGGTGGCTGACTTTTTGCGGGCGCTTTGATCGAGAATCGCGGACCCGATTCGAATCTCGGTGCCACCAAGCCCATGCTTAAGCTTATTTTACGTCTTCGCCTTGCTTCTAATCTTCGTGGGCCACAATGAGTTCTCGACAGCGATGCCACCTACGCAAAATTGATTGAGTCTCCCCGTCCTTGAATGTGAATACGAACATATAAGTACTGGGTAAATTTTGTATCTACAATTGTTTATTGTGGCTTTAGCCGTTTCGTTAACGGGCTAGTACAGAATCCTTTGGCTTGCCGCTACAATTTTGGTGGGAGATATCATCATGCAATCTGTCTAGGGATATAAGTCCAAGCACTTTGCGAAACACTCTACGTAGAAAGGGAAAATAACCTGTGACATAAGGCAAAGCATCAGCATCAAGGATGCACAAAATCTTGCATATGAACCAAACGCACCTCGCACCCGACATCGTTTTCCGAATCCCCACATCGAAGTTGCCTACTCGCAACGTTTACTGCCGCTCCTCGGGATCTTAGTCGTCACCCAAACAGCCATTACAACTCCCGCAGAACAGATCCAAAATACTAGCGTCCCTCCGAGTATATGCTTTTCAACGCTGACCGCGAAGAGCGAGGTGGCGAACACGGGCGCTAAGGACCTTAATGATGAGTTTATCATCTGTCCGAGGGCATTGACTGTAGCGAGCTCTTCATCGGTAGTATGGTCGATGAACAGCATGTATATAGTCCCTGGAGAAACATTCATAGTTAAGTCCTGTTCGGAGACAGTGGGACGGTAGAGAAGAGAAGAAAAAATGAACTGACCGTAACAGGCATATGGCGCGCTAGCGCAGAAAAGTTGGAGGACTAGTAAAGTCCATACAGACCAATTGGCGTGCCCTCCAGCCCTCACAGCCAACCAATTCAGTAGAGGATATGCCGGGAAGACGAACAGCATCCCCTTATAGGCTGTTGCATAAACCGTCCTCGCCCCGTACTTATCCACCACCCTCGCAAGAAACATGGAGATGATCAATCCGTTCGCAAGCCCCATACTGCCCATGATGAGACCGATAGTACGAGGATCGAAGCCGAGTCCACCGAGCGGTACGGAGGTAGAGAGCATGAGGGGAAGGAGGACGTCCTGGCATTGTCCCCAGAAGGCAAGGAAGGCCATGTTGAGGAGAAGGATCGCGACGTTGCGATCGCCGAAGACTTCGCGAATTGACGCTGAGCGAGGTTCGTGTTCGGGGGTAGGAAGAGTAAGTGGGAGGGGCTCGGCGCCGTTGTAGTGGAAACCCTCTTGGTGATCAAGCAAGTGGCTGCGCTCGGTCTCGATGGGTGTTGAGGACGCAGATTTTGACTCGCGTGCCTTGCGCCTGAGAATAATGGGAGACGTCTACAGAAATAACCGTGTCAGTAATGGTCTAGATGTCTCAAAATAAAAGGCTTAAATACCTCTCTCAGACCGATGAAGACGATTATAAAGATAATGAAGACCATTAGGCCCATCACGGCACAGGGAAGAAAATAAGGGTGGGTTACGAGGAACCGATATCGACCAAAAAGCGCCGGCCAGTGATCTGCTGGGTTCGCAAAGTAACCACCTATAAAAGGACTATCAAAACAATCGTGTTAACCTCACGTATTGCTAGAAGCAATGTTGCCGGGCCACCCACCCAATAGTAACACCAATAGCCCACACCAAAGGAATACCACCGAAGGCCCTGGCACGGTTGGTCGAATCTGTGGCTTCAGCCACGACCGACTTTGTAACGCCAATATTACCATTGGCAATGCCTTGTATCAAACGACTGACGAAAAGCTGCCAAAAGGCTTTAGAGGCGCCAAAACTGAACAAGGATGCTGCGAGGATGAGCTGGCCCCAGAGCAGGATGGGTCTCCTTCCGTAACGATCCGAGAGTTTGGCCCAGGCGACGACGGAGATCATCTCTCCTACGAAGTACAACGATTCCTGTCGTTGTCACATTCAAAAGAAAGTGTGTTGAGTGTGACGATGAAAACGGACAGCAGGTAGAATATGCCTTACAATCACGCCGGCATAATACCCCGTCTTGGCCTCGTCGCCATGAGTGACACCGGTCTCGCGAACGAGAGCGTTGATGAACGGATAGATGACCGTTCCGCAGATGGGCTCGGCCCACATTATGAGTATTACAAACCAGAACTCTCTAGGCAGAGGGTTGGAGGACGGCTTGGATGGCTTGAGAGGTTCATCTTCGTGTGACTCGTCGTAGCTGGGAGCCGCAATCGATTCCCCCGAAATCTGTCTTTCGCGAGACTGTGAAGACATGGTTGTCGAATCAGTGGTCCGAAGTTAGAGCCTGAAATTTCTCGTCAGCCTGGCGACTCTAAGGTTCAGAGGGACTGTCGATCGAATGTAGGTACTTTGTATGAAGGTCGAGAGTGGCAGAGTCTTGTAATGAATGACGGAGCATTGGAAAGAGGTGGTGGCAGATGACTTACCTCGTGCGACCAGCGAATCCACGAAAGAACTTTGCTCTAGAGAACGACGCTGCGAGAGGTAAAGCTTTTCCTGCTTACTGTTCTGTAAGCGCTAGCGCTCAACTTATGTATCCGCTGAGATGTTCTTCGGAGAAGCCAGGTTAGCCGTGGCGACGTCGTCCTCTGCGACGTCTTCGACTAGTAACAGCAGGCTCTGGCACTTATGCAGTAGCGCGCAGATGATGTTCAGTTTACAGAGGCGCTAAATCAATATCGACCTTTTATATGAACGATAGGAGAAGAACAGGAACGAGGCTTGATTTTCAAATTCAGATTACCCGGGCCCGCAGCTTATCCATAAATTTGAATACGATCCACGTGAATCCTTTGTTGAATGGTCGAGCCTGTGGGGAAAATAAACCGGTGTACATAGTGGATGGTTGCGCGCAGGGAACAAATTATGTTGATTCACCGTGATTAGTGCTAGCATTTGGACTGGCTGCAGGAAGGAAGGAAGGGCGGATTGAACGTATATTTTCAAAATCCATCCAATGGCTTCGTGTTTTGTCGCGCGATATTTGTATAAATAACTGAGTACGTCTACAGCACTAGTCCAACGGCGGTACCGGGTCTGAGGACGAGGAGAAGCAGGGGCCGTACTTCTTGGGGAAATGAACAGTATTAATATACTATGACAGTTTGAGAGGGACCGGAGACGTCGTTGGAGGCACATAGACGAGCAAAGATAGTCAACACTACTCATCAAGACCATGCATCCTTGAAGAGTCAGGTATTATCATACCTAGATGCAAGATGGAAATGGGTGCGGAAAGGTAAGAAAGAGATCGAAACCGGAATTATCCGATTGTGGCGAAGGGTGTTCATTTCATCGACGTCACCGGCGCTTAAGTGTTGGCACTTGTTTCGCTGACGTCACTCCACTCGCCACAGTACTTATACCATCTCCTCCAGTCGACTTTCGCGAACAAGCAACGAACAAGCACCTTCAACACCATCCCTATCAATCGACACCACCAGTTCAACTCATCCATAACTATGACTGCCCAAGCCCCCGCTGACCCTTCCGCAATGGTTGTGAGTACAAGGCAGTGTGCTGTGTGGCCCCTCTGACAACTTTCTCTCCACAGATGCCTCCTGCTCCAGAGCGCATTGAGTGGTACTGCACTTCTGGCCTCAAGCCAGTTATTGATACAACAGGGACGAAAAAAGGGAAGGGGAGAGGAGGCCAGCAGTGCTACAAAGAGGACAACAAGAGTTCGAGCGAGTGTGATGCAGCGACGGAGAAAGCAGGAAGTGTACCAGTAAACGAGAGTATAAGTAAAAGCGCCGCATTTACTGCAGCAAGTCCATATATATTATGGAGTTGGTAAAGTGTGATTGGAGAGAGAAGAGCGTGAAATAAGAATGAGGGAAGAGAATAATTATGTTTAAGAACGAGCGATGGGGGCAGGTGCACAAGGTGCGGCACGGGGAGTAGAAGAAATATGTTCAAAACAGACCTGAATCGATCGTCAGTTTGTAATACCGCCATATCGGCCAAGTCAAACTCACATACCAGTTCACGCGAGCATCTAGCCAGGAGCCAAAGCATACGACTAGTTACTTTTAAATCCACGATCCGGAGCTCGCGCTCGTTCTCCAAGAACTACTGACGTGGGCTGCCTCCGGTTGCGCCACAGTAGAGCCTTGCACACGCTCATCTCGCCTTACCATGTCAGAATCCTCTTTATCAGCCATACTCGATGACGACACCGAAGACGAAGCAGACAACCACCAAGCCCTCGCCATCCCCGCTTCCTCAATTGTCGAATACGCCGAAGATCTCGGGCTCCGCGCTGGTTGTGACGATGGGAATGGGATAGACGAGGTTGGTGAAGATAGGGCTGACATAGATTTCGAAGAATACGATGCGTAAGACGGCGGAACTTCATCAATAGTGTAGAGTGGGACGAGGGTAGACTGGGAGTCGACGGAATGATGGGAATCGCGGTGTTGGTGGGCAGATGGAGGTGCGAGCGTGCATGCGAAAGGGTCGTCGGTTGCGAATATGGCTTGCGCGGTGAGTGAAGCGTGCCGCGACTCATGAATCGTGCGTGTTTCTTTTGTATTCAATGGATCGGCAAAGTTAGTATCCTTGCGGTAAGTCGATGGCAGATGGAGGATAAACATACTGTTAGATTTTTGCTTTTCATTGGTGGGAGAGCTAAAGATGGTGGTGCTGTCGCCCCCGGAGGTTTTTCTTAGTTTGAACTCTCGGAGTGAGGACGGTATTTTTCTGTGAGATTTCGGAGGTGTGAACGTCGTTCTGGCAGAAGGATTATGTTGACCGGTGCGCGTTCTTCGCCAACGTCGGAAACAAGAGGTCCTGTGTACAAATACTAGGACAAAGACGACAGTGGCAGCTATTACGGCTGAAGGTAGTGAATCAAGGGTCAGCAAATGGGTCTGACCGTCCGCGGGGACCCGAAATGTGCAGATAGGGCGTGACAATGTGGTAGCAAACACTCACAAAGTATGACTACCTCAACCCAACATCCCGGGACAGAATGCGAGAAGACTTTGCACAAGGACGATGGGTCATCATCATCGGTTGGTTCTCTCGAGGAAAGGATATATGGCATAGCACACTCCAAGCCAGTACTCGGTGCGAAGTCGTAGCCGAAAGATCAAAGCAGAACAACAAGAGGTTGAAAATGGGGGGGAAGAGAAAAAGTCGTGAACATTTCGTGTACCACGATCTTTTTGTACAGCACAGCGGCCCAAACGTACACCATTAACGCAAGCCCGCTCATCTCGCTACTATCGAGACCTCGTGGCTTCGCGAGGTGAGATCCCCCGACGTACAGGCAGCGCAACTACGTCAGAAAGACCGGACAGTAGAGCGCCTGGACCGTCGGGGAAACAAGCGAGACTCATGTTTTAGTCTGTTGAAGATATGTTTTGTCAAATTGCACCGACCGTGATCCATATGGACCTATCATAATGCATGGAAAGAGTAGAAGAACGTAGTGTAAAGGGCGGCAAAAGGCGGGACATAGGATTTGACCACTGATCGTGCGTGGAGTCTGACAGGATAAGTTTTAGGTTTCAAGAGATCTGGGGGACTCAGATTTGGCCTTCGGAGGGTCTTCTTGGCAGTACAAAGGTCAATGGACAGATTCGAGGAAGTGTCAGATAAACAAGAGCACGCAAAAGTCGACCACTACTGAGTGAGGCAGGACTGCACAAGAGTAATCTGCAGGGAAGAACGAGTTTCAAGCGAGTTTATAGCCTCAAAGCTTCAAACTCAAGGGCCTATGGCCTATTGATCGAGGTCACCTCTGCCTTCAACCCGGTCTTTGTCTCGACGCTGTCAAAAGACAAGTTTAATTTCAGTCAGCAGGAACAGGAACCTCCGATGTGCCGAATGCCGTTGTAGTTGAATCTAGTTGAATCCAAGAGGCGTTCGGGATTGAAATCCAACACGCCGGATCATGCCTGGATGTGGTACGTCATCTCTCCCTTTTCAGGAAGTTCTGGCACGTGCCAGAGTGATCCGAATATCGAGTTATTCTACGCCACATTGCTTTTGCAAAGTTTGGAGGGACAGACCTGTCGGTTATCATGCTAAAAGCATTGAAGCACGAATACAGACTTATTCCTGACCTTGTTTTTTACTTTACATCAGAGGGGTGGTCCACGACAAAGGCTGGGGTGGTCGCCACAGCGTACCACAAACTTCCAGATATGGGGTGATTACGTACCACATCCGTGCACGAAGTTGTTGGCGTGTCGGATGATCCCGACCGCCTCTTGGTTGAATCCATACTGGCACACAAGATTCGTTAATTCGAGCGTTCAGAGAGGGGGGTCTAGTAGAAGCTTGAAGCTCACACAAAGTGGGAGAGAAAGACAGAAAGTCTAGTCAACGGCGGGCCCGGGCGAAGCCGCCGAGGTCAAAATCGAACGAGTCCTGTGGCGTGTGGCCCACTGATCATCCCGTCTGAGTACATAGACCCAACCAAAAATGGGCGAGACACATCGTGCGTAAAGGCATTTCCCGCCGAGGACTTCAACTTCTGGTTATTATACACCCTCTATTCTCAACGGACAGACAGGGCCAGCTGAGTCTGGTTGCTGTGTGTCATATCGTTCCTTAAAAAATAAAATAAAATAAAATAAAATAAAATGGGCGAGAAAAACGCGAGCAATATCAGCGCTACGAAATCGATTGTATGTCACTGCCTCAAAATATATGTACAATATGTAAACATATTCACGAGGCACACTGCAGGTTAGTACTTACTTCAACGGAGCACCACATAGTGAGATCATACTTAGGCCTCTAGGCTCCGATGTGCACGAAGTTCACCCATCGGTCAATGGGAACTTTAGCCCTGCGTAAAGCCTTGGTTGCAACACGAAGCGCCGTTGCTGAATCTCTGAAGTCGACCCTCTGTGGGTCACCATGGCGGGATAAATAACCATAGAATGCTTTTGCCACACTCGGGCCATCCGTGTCCGCCATGCCCCACAGCGTCCCAACGACGCTTTTGAACCCACTAAACTGCATCGCAGCCGCGAGGTGGAGGACCTCATCGGGGCTACCTTGGCTGTCTACTGCAGCACTGTGGCAAGCAGAGAGGAAGGCGAACTCCGCGTTGGGCAAGCGAGCTTTGATGACGTCTATGACTCGAAGACTAGTTGCGTTGTGAAGTCTGAAGGAGGAAGCAAATGACTGAGGATCGAGGTGACCATGACAAGCGAGGTGAAGCCAAGGATGGTCTCGAAGAGCTGCAACGACGCCATCGGCAGACGCATCCTCTCCGACACGTAGACGAACGAACTGTGCGACATTTTGAACCACATTCAGCTCCTCTTGGACGCGGGGGAGTGAATCCTCTATTTGTCCGATCGCAAGGAGGCACCGCCTATCGCAGCGAGACGCCTGAGTCGATGATCTAGCTGCGATCAGCGAAGATAGGGTAGGCGTGTAAGAAGACGTGTAAAGATCATGAATGCCCGACTGGTCATTGTCGAAGGGCTGGGCGGCGTGAAGAGGTAAAGAACAAAATGCACCAGTAGGGCACCACCATATTCGGGCTCCTCGTTGAAGTCCCAGGAAGAGGAGTTGTTCGACAATGGGGTGGACAATAAGTTCCCACAGCCTTTGGAGAACATATTTAACACCATCTGCACGACCCTCCTCGGCGCTCTGGGTCGAGAAGATGTGAATGAGGGAGGATAATCGACCGATGGCCTCGGGAAAGTTTCCAGAAGAGGAGAGGGGCACCACTGTCGGGTCTGATGTGGCATCCGGAATTATGATTGCGTCAGAGCGATAGATGGAAAGGTTGAGAACGATGACGGGCCCCTCGACGGCGGCTTGTCGAAGGCTGTGAAATGATGGGTGCCGTAGAAATCTCGAGTAGCCCTCGATGCGTCGAATTATGTCGACAGCGTTGTCGAAGTTTACCGTCAGCTCACGATGGCGAAGTGCGAGTGCAGCCTTTCCACGTCGACCGAAGGAAGTCGCGATGCCCTCGAGCTTGTTACATATCTCCTCAAAGTGGTCGGCAAGTGTACGATGGGTCGAACGAAGGGTCTCGATGGGGTATCTATACCCTCGCATTCTCGACCAAAGCAGCGCCCTTCCTTGTTCCAGAAACTCTACTGCCTTCCCGAAGTCGTCATCCTCAATGGCTAAGGACGCAGCGTCCATGGCCAAAATGGATGAGTTGCGCGGGCTGATGAACTTCTGTTGCAATTCCAGTGTTGGATACATGATCGTGCAGCGATCAAGGAGGACGAGCGCCTTGATATAGGCCGTTGAAGCAGTGGGATGGCTATATTGCCGTGCATAGGATGCCCAGTTTTGCGCGGCTTCAAGGGCCACTGTCGGAGCACCGTACGGGTCGCTGATAGCATCCTGGAATAAACAGAGGGCATAATGAAGATCCACGGCATCTTGGCGTTGCTCAAATCGGGCTGCCAGCGCCTGTCCAAGGGCATCGAGCGTCATCGAGCGCCTTGCGTTTCCTGGAGGTCGGAGAATGACGGCCTCGCGGAGGAAAACGATTGCCTCGTCAAGGTCTTCTACATCGCCGTACTGATCAAAACGTGATCTCAGAGTGAATGCAAGTTCGCTGACGGCCTGCGAGCGGTCTTCGCTCCTAGGAAGCCTTCTAAGGTCCTGGCGAAGGTATGTGATAACCCGGTCGGTTTGACGATTCAGAGCTCCGCGCAGTACACTGGTTGCATGTACTGTGGAGAGCTGATAGGTAATTGCCCTCTTCAAGTCCTTCCTTGCACCGAGGAGTTGATAGCGGCTGTGCAAGGCCACCGCAAGACTATTCGAAGTCGAGGGAATGGCCGGGTGATTCTCAGGGAGCAATGAGAGGACCTCGCGATGGTATACGATAGCTTCAGAAAGGTCATCGGCCTGACCCATTTCTTCGAAGCGAACCTGAAGGGCGTAAGCGAGAGGACTGAGGAAAATGTAGCGGAGACGATCCTTGAGCACAGGGGCAGTGACAGTATCAAATTGTGAAAGAAGGTCTCGATAATATGGAATGTCAATTCGGTTGTACTGATCATGTTTGAAGCGCTTGCGCTGCATGGTCAAGGAGTTTGTATGACCCTCCAGCTCCGCGCGATGGTTTCGCCTTCTGACGTCGTCCGAATCGTGCGGCACAGGGGCATGGCGAAGGGTCGATTTCTTCTTGATGTCCTCAGGGAGGTATTTTGCTCTCAAATAACGCCGAAATCGTCGCAACAACTTGTGATAGTCCGCGTCACTCAGCTGTGATCGTTTCCCCAGAAAATCCTGGGTTTCTCTTGTAATCTTGAACCTAAGATTGTCCGCGCTTTCCTGCAGAGAAGATAGTCATGGAGAAAGACATCAAGTATGAGTTCGTATTAGCATAGAGAGTCTTTGAAAGATAGAGACATACGACATCAACACTCCCAGGGTTGTTTGATATAGTTTTCGTCGTACACGGAGGTAGATTGTCTGATAGTGCAGACGCAAGCTCACTCTGCGCGAGAGTCAGGAGACAAAGCCAATAGCAACATACGACACATACCTGCAATGCATTAGTCATCCATGGAGGAAGAGCATTTCTTAAACGGAATTCCTAGCCATTCATGTCTCGGGTCAAAGACTCAACCTGGACGAGGAATCAGTTTAACGCTTACTGCGACTTGTTCTAATTCGTCATACGCGTTCACGAGCATCTGTTGGCGGTGGGTGGTTCAGTTTGGGTGCTGGAACGAATGAAGAGGCGATCTCACCGGAGAGTACGAGTCGGTGGCGCGTTCGCGGTCTGGCGCCGACAACCCATCCATCTGTGGTGCAAGCATAGACTCCAATGTCTTGCTCGCATAAGGATTGTCCATAGAAAGGGTAGGATCCTCAAAAGACATAGTACAGCGCGATCTACCTTCGAGCAGTGTGCTAGTCGTATAGGAAGCGCAGTGATTATTCAGAAGGAGGATGTGCGCTCACTCATTTACTACTTATGTATTGAGAGCTGAGGCGGTGCGTGGCTTGTGCAGCACGAGCGTCCCCCAAGTAACACCGTAGTAGCCCTCTATACTAGTCCATCAGGGAGTCAGAATAAGTTCCAGCGCACAGGAAGAGAACGCACCTGACAGCCTCTGGCTGTGCACTGTGGTAGGTCTTGACCAGAGGCGATTCGCGAAAAAAGAGTAGGCGTGGAAGTACAGCATACTATCATTGGGTTCCATAGATCAGAAATACACAGCAAAAACGTAGCACCTATTGTTAGCTAAAGAGAAACACTACGTGACAGCGACTTCGACTGTGAGCAACGAAAAGCCAAACAGAACAGTAGATAATACAAGCAGATCAGTGTATGATAAAGCGAGAGCAACGAAATTGGGAATGATATAGAGGGGAGCATGACCGAGGACGGGGGAAAACTTGATGGGTGGAGAGTACGTTGTGGTTTAGTTTAGAAAGTAATGGTGGCGAGGAAGCTTTGTGGGAAACTTATATATGAGGCAAGCAACTCGTCTACCGCGAAGGAGCTCGAAAAATCGGGCTTAACGGTTGTACCCTGCTGGGTACTGTCCATACGCACCCTGAGCCATCGCCTGCGCCTGTGCCGTCTGCATATGCGCCATTTGCTGCGACCCCGTATGTGCATGACCAGTCATCTGCGGCATCATCTGCTGCTGCTGTTGTTGTTGTGGATGTTGTCCCGCATTTGCGTAGACCTGTTGTTGCGGGTGTACATGCGGCATATTCTGGGCCGCATGCGTGGTGGCAGAAAATTGGAACGGCGGCGGTGGGGCCATGTTGGGCACGGGTAAGACAGGCTGTGGAGGTGGTGCCATGCCGGCGGGTACGTTTTGTGGGGGTACGGCGCCCATGGCTTGATAGTTGGTGGTGAAGTAAGGATGTTTAATGGCTTCGGCTGCGGAGATGCGCTTTGCGGGGTCGAACTGAAGGAGACGGTCGAGGAGGTCACAGGCTGGTCAAATGAGGGCATGTCAGTGACGAGAATTGATGAACGAATAGAGTATGATGACAGTACCTTGCAAGGAAGCCTTTGGAAGAACTTGCTGGAAGGGTAACTTCGGGTATCGTGGATATTGTTTGATTTGGAGATCAGGCTGTTGAAAGAAGATGTGGACCTTCCTACTGTGATTCAAAAGAAACGAGGTCACTTACGTTCTCTGCAGCCATCTTCCGCAACGTGCGATCTTCTGGTGTTCCTATGATACGCATGATGTGCACGAGCTGATCCTGTGCGTCACGGCCACGGAAGAGAGGGACTCCAGATATCATCTCCGCAAAGATGCAACCGCAAGACCAAACATCAATGGATGTGCTGTATGTTCTTGAGCCTAGTAGAACGTCGGGAGCCCGATACCACAAGGTCACCACCTTGCACGAAACGGTTTCAGAACAAACGTCACGAAGAGTCCCTCGTTGAGCGAGACGTACCTCATTCGAGAAGGTATTGACGGGGACTCCGAACGCCCTTGCCAATCCAAAATCACCAAGCTTCAGTTCTCCCTTCCGGTTGATCAGTAAGTTCTGTGGTTTCAAATCTCGATGCAGCACTCGGTTCTCGTGACAGTATGCCGTCCCCATCAGCAACTGGTAGATGAAGCTTCTAACAGTCATAGGATCGAGCGCTCCGTGGTCTCCGTTCTGATCCATATACTTTTTGAGGTCGCGCTCGCAATATTCGAAAATGAGGACGAGCTTTGTCTCGGTGTGGATGACATCGTGGAGCCGAAGGACGTTGATATGCTTGAGCTCCTTCATGAGAGAGATCTCACGGATAGCAGTGGAAGGGGTGCCCTCTTCAGCATCGAGATGTATCTCTTTGAGGGCGACGATTTCGTTGGTTGTGCGCGATCGGCCCTGGCAGTGGAGATGTCGGGATGGTGGTGGCAGAAAGACAAGATAGACTACGCACCTTGAAGACTGTGGCGTACGTTCCTTCACCTGTTGAATCGCCGGTCAGAACCCGTTCTACGACAGAAACTGCAAGCTATCTACTCGCCTAGCTTCTCTAGCTATTAAACGCGAGGAATATTAGGTTTACTCGGAGCAAAGGAAGAGAACAGGCGCACCTGGACATAATTCATTGTAGCCACTCGTATTCGATCCTACTTCCAAATGACCTGGTCGGTTCTGCCGATTCGTTCAGAAACAAGAGTACTCCAACAGAAAGGTGGAAGATAGCGGTCAGAAGGAGACGAAGATATAGGTTGTCAGTACAACAACAATCAGGATCCTTCGAGACCCTTCGGAGTTTGGAGAACAAGTGACTCGGTTAGGGAAGTGTCTGCCACGAGGAAGGTCAATGCTATCAGATCCTAGTTCCAAATTCGGTCACAAAAGACTCAAGAAGTAAACGGACTGTGCTCTGGATTGGAGCACAATGAATAGGGGGGGTGCAATTGGGGTGCAAGGTCGGGCGTTGAATTAAGATGATATACGACACGATATAAGGGCACAGCTAAATCATTTTCGGTACCGGGTCGACCCGTGGCTACCGTAATAGTGGAACGGTACTTGCTCGCGCCACTGTGGCCCAAGGCCATGTGTAGCGGCGTCGATAGTCTTCGGGAGAGCTTTGGATAGCCCACCGTTTTAGAATCTTAGGGAACCTTGTACTTCACCGGTACATGGTCAGTATAGATGTAATATTCAACTCGTTATGCCTCGCAGTTGATCTGATTGTCTTTGGCAGCAACTTGAAAGAGCGGCCGAAAGAACTCGGAGCTCGAATTATGCCTCGACTTCACCAAGTATTTTCGCACAAAGCATAAATTTCAATTGATCAACCTCGAATACAGACGCAGAAATCAAGCACAGACGTCAAAGCGGAACGAAGGAGGAGACAAAAGTCAGAAACACTCCGTTGCCACCATCCGGAACACACATTCAAAAGCAAACGTTCGAGATTCGTAATAACCGTCCACCCAAAGGAAAGGACCCGCTACTCCGGCTATTCGTACACCAAGAAAAGAAAAACACAAACACCTCACTCCATAGCATATACATCCACACTGAGATTTTCGATGCAACGCTGCCACAAATGATACGAAAGGTCGTAAAAGCACCAGTTATCGTGTACTGATCTGAGCGCTGCCGAGCGCTACATGCCCTGAATCGTGATAAAAAAAATCAGTACACAGTGCAAAAAAAACCCCCCGCGAGTTCGGACAGACATCAGGCATACCTCTTTAGGCCGTCACGGTGAACACCAACCAGTAACCCGTGCCACCAAGGCTGATCTTCGACGTGAATTGACGGTCAATGGTCGCGGTTATAATGTCACCGTCGTTCAAGCCAAGCGACAGGGCCGAAATGGTGAGCGTGCTGTCAGAGTTGAGGCTCTGCTGTCCGGCCAGGTTGCTGATACTGCTAAAATCGACCTCCGCACTGCTAGAGCTGAACGGGCCCGCCGGGCTAGTCGTGAAGGATGGCGTCGCGGTGAGGGTAGAGGTGAAGTAGTAGACGGTGGGATTCTCGCCTGGTTGAGAGTGGTGGTGTAGGCGAATACACTAACGAAGGCGCTGTAGTCCGCGAGGGACAAGACGGAGCCAGTGATGGAGTTGGTGGGCACGGTGGACTGCGGGGTGATCTTCTTCCAGGTTTCTTTGCCGCTGACGTTGGTCATGACCTTGACGGGGGCGCCTTGGATCAAGGCTGAGATGGTGGTGCTCAATTCATATGACTGTATCAATCTGTGGAGAACTAATCACTGTCAAGTGCTCGATGAGAATATACAACGACAGAGAAACTTTATAGATGGTAGAAGCCAAACGGAGTATATAACGAGCAGAATTGAGATGCAACTCGTTCTTTGGATGGTTACACCGGCACACAAGGACAATCGAAACTACTACAGCTCGTTACATCTATCGTAATCTGTTGTCAGCATCATCCGGCACGAACATAACTTTGAAGACTGACCAAGACCAGCCGTTCCTTTTGAACCACTGCCACTCTCCCTCAAGAACAATTCCGCGTTGGATGGAAAGATGCTCTAGCCTCCTCCGAGACTGTGGTCTCCAATGAGGGTAGCTAGGCTGATTCAGATCACTACCTCTCAAATTTTGCTTTATAATGATGTCCTCATCTCCAGGACCAGCACTGGTCTCCCATTGATCCATACACAGTCTCGTCAAGGTGGGCCAGAGGTACCCAGAATTGTAGAAGCCGTCCTCGAGCCAGTCGCAGATACCCTCCGGGGTATCTTCGCAGTTGGCTAGAGAGAGATACTGCAGGGGCGACGAAAGGAATGGCCTCAGGAGTCTGGCGAGCCTATTCATATCATGGCATAGCGCCAAATCAGTCACGGATAGCGAGGTGAGCTGGGGAAATGTGATGATACGAGGACTTTGACACAATCGGAAGGCCAACTTGGGGAAAAGCAAAGCGTCACTTTGGAGCGACACAAGGCTTTCCGATTGGGACTTGAGTAGGACGTGCATTGAGTCGGCCCATCGACATTCCGTGGTCAGAGCGCATACATGACCTCTATGGCGCTGACCTTTCATATGATTGAATGTCGTGATGCTCTCGAGCCTCTGATGTTCAAAAGCTCGACGAACCCATTCTGGGGAGAAGCACCACGAGTCCGGAAATGTTATGTGTTTAAGGCCAGTGAACGTTTGAGAGAACGTGCGCGAGGAGTGAAGGGAGAGTGTGGATGTCGTGGCGAGATCGAAATGGACGGATTTTACTGAAGGAAGATGTGCCTCTCCCCGCAGGCCGTTCGAAGCGTCTTCGAAGTGAAAACCGTGGAGTCGAAGGTCGACTAGTGAAGGAGAGAGGGCGGTACACAATTTAGCCCAGCCTATTTTCTGGAATTTGCCCATTCTGACGGCCGATGGCTCGGAGGATAGTCCAGTACGATTGTCGGTCTTTCTACGAACTCCCCACGGTCCTGGAGAATCCGGAAATAGGAGATCAAGACATAGGACTTGTAGAGCCGTAAAATGCTGGCATGCATCGCGGAGGGCATGGAAGCGAAGCAGAGGGTTCATATCCTCATTGATTACAACTGTCAAATCCTCGCAAATGTGTCCGAATGGCCTTGCCAGCTCGAGAAATATACCCAGACGACGAGAGGATGGTCGGTGTTGGGCAAAGGAAACGGTCGAGTAAATGGAGGGGAGCAGGATGGCCCTAAATCTTCGGCAGCTCTGGGCCAGAGAGTATAGAAGGCGGTAACACTTCTTGCGTTCTTTGACATCTGGATCGATGGTGCTTGGTCGTTGAGCGTATGAGAATATTGAGAGGAGAAGCTCGTCGGGCAGATATAGCATCATGCATCGGCGTTCCAAAGGCATGAATGCGCCGATCTAGCAGCCGTAAGGACTTCAGATCAATTCCTCAAAACTTTGTGGACAATTATTATAGGAACGCACGAAGGATGCGCTTGCCATGGTTTCTGTTGACTGTAAAAGGGCAGTCACATCAACGAGTAAGCAGAGCAGGTCGACGGTGAACCTTCGAGTCTAGTGACATTACCTTCATGTCAGGACAACTGCACCACCGCAGGGGAGTTTATCAGCAGGACACTGACAAACAATAACAAAACTCTGGCCTGGTGGACGTGGACGAAGCTGGATGCGGGTGCAAGGTCTGCAGAAGCGGGTGAGCAGCTGGCATGTAAAATTAGGCGCCCGTTCGCCACAGGAGTTCGTGTGGCGAGTTGCAGAGCCTACCATCATTCGCCCACTTTAGGACAAGATATGTAGTGGGTATACATAAGAAAACTATGTAATCTACCTGGACGAATGCTATATCGCGCATGGATGAATATGCTTAGAGTATTATAAATTGCAGTCTCGAGCTTTTTCCAAAGGACGCTAACTGAGCTGGTGGATGTGACGGTGAATTATAGTCTAATAGGTATAGTATACAGTGAAAGACGAGAAGATGTGAGGAGAATCCATGATTGTCTGAGCGAGCATATCAAGAATGTAAGTAGATCAAATATCAAATTTGGCATTGCCACACTTGTAACAAAATATCTTTCTGCAGGATGAGACGACAGTTCGACGCTAAGGACAGAGCGCACTAACCCACGATCAACCATAGCCTTCCCACCAATTCCATTCTCCTTTCAAAGAAATCTTGCGTTTGATCGCAATACTTTCAAGGCTCTTCCGCGCTTCCGGTCCCCAATGGGGAATGTCAGGCTGATCCTGCTCCTCCCAGTCCATCTTTCCGAAGATATCCTCGTCTCCGCGCCCACTGCACGTCAGCCACTGGTCGATCGACAGTGTCCTCAGTGTCGGCCATAAGTACCCACGACCACGGTACCCTTTCTCCAGCATCTTGCGAAAATCTTGTGGAACGTCGCGGCAGTCATCCAGGTTAAGGCTCTTGAGGGGAGATGCGAAGAAGAGCCCCAGGACAGCTCGGAGGGTATCCACGTCGTCTCTGAACTCTAGATCGGTCAAGAATAGCGTGGTGATGTTGACAAATGTGGAGAAGTAGAACATCGACATGCCGACACCACGTACTAGGCGAGTCGCCCCACCGAGGAAAAGATGGGAGTCCGCTCCGGAGGCTTCGAGGGTGTCCCGAGAACGGAGAAGCGTCTTCATGGACTGAAACCACTGTGAGTCTGCAATGCGACCCTGCACCACACGCTGGTACGACTCCGAGCCGCTGAATGTTGTGACACTTTGGATTGAGGTCTCGCGGAGAAGGCCGGAGTCATCAAAACTCCACAGGTACTTTTGGAACCACCAGGAACTCGGAAAACTGATATGGGTTAAGTTGGGAAGTGTATTGGTGAAGCGAGTAGAGGCCTCGGAGAGGGGGAAAGTTGTCGCAAGGTTGAAGTACGCTGTCCTTATGGAGCTATGCGAATTTTACCGAGGCCGTGGGCGGCGTCTTCCCATTCGAAACCGTGGAGTTTGAGTTCTGTGAGGGAAGATGGGAGGGAGGCACACAGCTTTCCCCAGCTGGTCTTTTGAGCCGGTTTCATTTTCGTAGGGAGTGGATTCGCTGCGAGTCCAGTAGAGGAGGTAGTCTCGCGACGAGCACCCTTTGCATCGGGAGCGCCGGTCGGGATGATCAAGTCGAGACGAAGTGTTCGTAAGTTGGTGAAGTGGCGACAGGCAGACCGGAAGGCGTCGAGGAGTGGAAGGAAGTCTGTATTTGACTGAGAGTCTCCTCCTATCTGGATGGTTAGGTCTTGACAGAGACGACCGTTGGCGGCTGCGAGACCGAGGAATGACTTGAGGCGAAGGGTTTCGTTCAGGGGGCTTTTAACGAAAGAAATAGTCGAATAGATCGCGGGAAGTATAATCGTTCTGAGTCTTCGACAGGTCTGAGCCAGCGAGTACAGATTCCTGATAGCCTGCCTATGTTATTCTGCGTTTGCGGATAGGTCAACGTCGTGACTGAATTTGGAGACTCGCAGGACCAGCTCGTCGGTCAGAGCGAGTATGGATTTGTTTTGGATGTTCGAGGAAATCATCTCGTATCCTATTATTTTGGGTCGACCAAGATTCATCAGAGTCGTACGCGCAACTAGATGGGTACAGTGCGTGGTGTTGCTCCTTACGGTAAACCTACGAGAAGTTCACAAGGACAGGCGATGAGCTTCGACTCGGATGTTCGGCCTGTTTGACTATTTACTTGTTATGTAAGGTTATGTAGCGGTCTCACTAGTGGGAAAAGGTACACACCTTCGCAAGGGCAGGTTCCTGGACGCAGTGTCAGTTGGTGTCCGCCGGTGTGCGTGGTGTGTCAGCCGTCGGAACCTCTCCGTGTCATCGACGTCAACGGCGATTAGGCGCTGGTGATGGACGTGCGGTGTGGCGAGTAATAATGTGGCGAGTTGCCGCAGGCGATATCCACCAGTATCCACCCAACCGTACGGTAAGTATTCATTAAAGTGTCCGGAGCCAGTCATAACACTGCATATCTATATGGGTTAAGTATGAACGTGCGGAATGTCTACAGCTAACTGGCCATCATCTGCCTCCATGATCGGAGTCCGAGCCTACTTTACACCACCGTACGACATGCCAGCTACGATGGGAAGCAGCACTCTAGACAACTCCTGGCCAAGAATACGGTGGCCTTCGACGGTAGGATGTATCCCGTCAATCGTATGCTCCTGTAACAAGACTGCACCGGTGTCCCATGAATGGAGGGTGATGTCCTTCTGAGCGTGTTGGAAGTCTCGGGATAGTGTTTCCAGAAGTTTAGGGAAGCTTGGTCCAAGTGAGGTTTCTGGGACGTCACCGAAGTCCTTGAAAGGATGCTGGTGACCAGGTGTATCATCAGTTTCGGTGCAATGTGACACACGAAAGGGACGGAGCTTACGATGAAACAAATGTGCTTTACACGGTGGGCGCTCGTATCGGTAACTAGCAGTCGTGTGACGAAAGCTCGCATTGTGTTTATGAAGTCTTCTGCGGATACCCCCATAGCTTCGTCGTTTGTTCCTAATGGGCAAGGGACCGTGAGCATGTATTTCGGTAGAATCGTGAAGAAGGGCAAAGAGGAACACACCGAGCGCAATCACGATGACAGAAGGTTTCCTGCCCGAGTCTATAACTTGGTCTAGTCCATCGTTATCCCAAGGGAATGCCTAGCAGGAGAGTTCACCGTGAGATGGTTGCGTCGCGAGGACGAACGTGGATGAGTTACCTTGAAAAATTTGTGGGCCATACCCCTCACAACCGTAGTCTTGTCATGCTCATCTGGGTGGTCTACCAGCGTCACTCCTGGTAATGCGACGACGTCGACGGCGATGTTCAAGCTGAGATAGCTTCTTAGATCTCGCCAAAAGAGGTAGGGAAATGCATCTAGGCATCCGTTCGGGATTTGTCTGGTACCGTCGGTGAAACCGCAGAGCATCGAGTCTCCAACGAACAGGACCTGCAGCGCTTGGGCGTCGCTGGCTGGGACAATTGGCAAGTCTCCATCTGCCTATGCACGTATTCCGTGCATGAACAGAGAGGAAGAGAGCCAGGTTAACCTGGTGCATGAAAGACAGAAGATGAGTGTACTCACTGTCTCGAACACGATTGTTTCCAACTCAAGCACCGATGCCCAATCTATCATCGTTATTGTCACATCCAGTGTCCCATCCTTCGACACCCCTCGTAGCAGATCGCTCTCCTTGAGCAGCGTGAGAACCGGGTCACCACAAAGTGGTTCGCGGGTCAATACCAATCGCTGCCCATCTGCGCCCGAGACACTACATGCAATCATGGGTGTTCCCCCATTCTCCCTGTCTTTGCGCTGCGTCAAAGCACCCATTCGAATGCGCACCGCACTCGTGCTGCTAGCACGACAAGTAAAAGAGACAGAAGCCCCAGACCACGAAGCTATCAGCGAGCCAGTGCTGGTTTGAGTCCATCGGCCAGAACGACGAAACAGAGGGTGAGATGGTGAGAGTTCGAGCATGGGTTGCGGAGGGAATAGAGGTTCAAGCGCCAATCATAAGTTATGGGCCGCGGTATAAATAAAGAGCGGGTCCACTAAGGCTGTGGACAGTTTGCTGTAAACAGCGGCTTTAGAGACCTGACGAAGCACTTAAGTGGACTCAGTTGAGGTGGTGTCGGCCATTTTCCCGTAATGCCGAAACTCATGGCCGGAAAGGAAATAGAGGCTGACCCGTCAGGGCGACGGCTTCGGATCCTAACAAGCACAAACATCCTCGCCCTCTTTAGCGCGCACAGGTCACGCAGCAAAGTGGCTGCTCAGCACTTTCATCATGGCTCACGTTGTGTCCTCTAAGTTCAAGGAACACATTTCCGACTCATCTATGGATATGCCAGACGAATTTCACTTCAAGGAAGAGCTCGACGAATCAGAAGAGCGTCAAGGTCTTCTATCCGGGCGGACCGATACTCCTACCAGGGAATCTGGTGGATATCCAGCCCAGAAGTCAGACAATTCTTCATGGTCATGGGGGAAGATGGTCGCGGTCGGTGCAGCCATTATATCGCTCCTCTTTGCGTCCTACTCTGGGGCGATATATTACATGCGGTACAAGACCGTGGAGAGAGCAAAGGCGATGCATTTCGACGGACAGACGGTACGGTCGAATGGGACCCATGATTTCAAGCGGACAGTGCTTATTGTATCAATTGACGGTTTGAGGTGCGTACACTACTCTAAACAATCTCTCATGGGACAGTCTTGTACTAATGGGTCTGGTGGGCAGGGCGGACTACTTGGAGAGAGGGTTAACCCCGCACCTGTTAGACATCAGCCGGCAGGGAGTACGAGCGAAGTACATGAGGCCTATCTTTCCGGTAAGCGTCACCTCAGCTTCGCCCTGACACGGCCAGCTCACCTTCATGCTCACATCTGCCTAGACTCTCACCTTTCCGTGAGTGCATCACGTCTCGCTTAATGCACTGTATCACGCTGAACAAACCGGTGGCTACGAAGGAATCATTGGGCTTTGATGTGGGTGTCTTTGCTCGCCTCCTCATTCGCCGTGTGCTCATATTTATCTTCAATCAGGACCGGGCTTTACGCCGAATCTCACGGCATCGTGGCAAATGTATGGATGGTACCTTTCAATAACATCTTTTGGTACTCACCTCTCCAACTCATATAGAACTTCTGGGATGCCGAGACTGACACCGAATTCCACTACAACCGTGAGGAGTCTTCGTGGAACCCCCACTGGTGGTATGGTGAACCTGTAAGCTTCGCTCAATTGCCTCCCATCTCCCCGGCAAAGCTGAAGGCCATTGCATTCGTCTGGATGGACATACTAGATGTGGGAAACTGCTAATAAAGCTGGCGTTATCAATGCGAATCTTATGTGGTACGTATCCTCACCTGCCGCTGTCCCGTCGGAGGGCTTATAACGTCTACATTCTTTAATCTAGGCCAGGCCCACCTAAAACTATGTCAGGGGCATCGCCTACGCACTTCTTGCCGTGGAAAGTCAGTCAGTCAAAGCTTGATATCAAAGTTATGCGATCAATGGTCTTATTCGTCTGACACGACTGCAGGACAAGGTTCCGCTGGGCGAGAAGCACGATCAAATCATGACGTGGATTGATATGCCTTTTGCGGACCGACCTCAACTCATCATGGGTCGGTGCTCACTTATATCTCCGTTGACCCACCTTCTAATATTGCGGCTATCATAGCATATGAGCCTTCTTTGGACCAAGCAGGGCATCTTACAGGCCCCTATTCCAAACTCGTCAATGTGGGGTTTCCTTCCACCCTTTTCTCTTTCTTGGGGCTTTATACTGAGCGCAGAATGCTCCTACAGGACACGTTAGGATATGTAGACGGCTTCGCGAAGGACCTCCATGACAGTCTCGTTGCACGCAATCTGACCGAGATCGTAGATGTTGTTTTCGTGAGTGACCATGGGATGACGGACACGAGCCATCCCGAGCTTGTCTACATGGACGAGATACTAGGAGAAGAAGGTTGGAGCCAGGTTGGACATGAGGACGGTATGTGCGATACACGTACTCTCATACTAATCCGCCGCCCATGGTCTTGATCTTCTATTTGATAGGTTGGCCATCCATGGGTCTCCACTTCAGGCCGGGCGCAAACGTCACCCATTACCTTGACATTCTACTCGATGCGGCCGCCGAGAACAGCGACAAGTTCGATATTTATACACCTGAAACCATGCCGGAACGGTATCACTTCGCACACTGCGCGAGAATCGCTCCTGTGTACATTGTTCCGAAGATGGGTTATGTCCTGACGACGAGGAAGGAGGGTGACGTTGGATTGTCCAAGGGAGTAAGTGATGTTCGTCTTGGTCGCAAGGTATATTATCCTGACCGGAAGCCGTTGTAGAATCATGGATACGACAACAACGACCCATCCATGCGTGCGATGTTTGTCGCTCACGGGCCATTCACTGCTGTCGCAAAAGCACTCCACCAAGCCCGCTCGCCATCGTCATGGCTCTCCTCTTCGTCTCTAGTCTCGAGAGCACTCGGCCGACCGAACAAGGGATGGAACCATATCGGAGACGATACCTACGTGATGGACCCATTCCAGAACGTCGAGATCTATGGTCTGGTGATGAAGTTACTTGGGATCGAGAAGTGGGCGGCCCACAACAATGGAACGGAGGGCTTTTGGGATCCGTACTTCTAGTCGTGGTGTCCATAAAGGGCCAGGCTCTTGTTTCTGTGTTGGCTGTGGTGTATGGGGACTCCCATTTTCTGGTGCTTGGTGGATATATTCTGCGAAGTGTGGACACTTTGGATCGGTTTCGACTATCTTACTGTATATAATTGCCCTCTACGTAGATTACTAGAATTGATTTCCTTTATCTCATCGCGCTGCTCCTCTGGCGAGAACTGTGATTCTGCGATGCGGCGGATGCCGACACGCGTCATCAGCAGCACAGCAGCCGCGGTGAGCCATCTACATCAGAGCCACAACTGCCTCCTCATCTCGTCCGTCTTCCTCACTCTCACCACTGTATAGTCTATCGTATCTTAAACCCATTTTCGTTAGCGAAAGTAACCGCTTGTCATGTCCATGCTCAATAAGTTTCGCGCTGGGGCGCAAAAGGCAGGCATTCAGGCCACCGCTTTTATGAAGGAGGGAGGTAATCGGGTGGCCGCAGGATCTCAGAATATCATGCAGGGGTTCACTTTGCCTGGTGAGGCGGAGAAGGCTGCGAAGATCCTAGCCAGCTTTTTGGGTGCGTGGATCTGTTTCGTTGGACTCTGTGTTGTCAATAGCGGGTGGCGCCTACAATAGCGACTGATCCTCGTATTGTGTATTGCAGCCGACCCAGAGAACCCAGAGAGCGCATTAAACTCGATACCCAAAGCTGTCTTGCATAGAGCGAGAGGTGCGTCTCTTAATACTGTATTATAGCTCAAGATGCTGACCATATTGTCTTCACATCTTTCATTTCATTCACATTCCCATCATAAACACATTATTCTCTTTTCACTCGTCTCACTCTTTCATAGGCCTCGCTGTCTTCCAAGTCCTCAAAGCTGGCTTCGTCTTCTCCGGCAAAGCTGGCTCAGGTCTCGTTATCGCGCGTCTCCCCGACGGGTCCTGGTCCGCGCCCTCCTGTATCGCAACAGGGGGCGTCGGCTGGGGTCTCCAAATCGGAGCCGACATCACCGACTTCGTCGTTGTTTTGAACAGTGAGGATGCGGTGCGTGCGTTCTCTATGGGAGGAAATGTGACGATAGGAGGCAATGTCAGTGCCGCTGCGGGACCTATTGGAACAGGAGGGAGTGTGCAGGCTAGTTTGGCACATCCTGCGCCTATGTTCTCATACTCGAAGTCGAAAGGTGAGTTCCGCGTTTTATCTAGCCCATGATTCCCTCAGAGTATTCTGCGACGCCTTCATGCCCGTCTATGCGATTGATGGAGTGTGGCACCCATGCATGTGGCCCAACAATATACTGATCATCACGTCCATTCGAAATCAACAAGGTCTCTTTGCCGGTCTTTCCCTCGAAGGCACTGTCCTTATCGAACGCAAAGACGCCAACCGCGACTTCTACGGCTCACCCATTCCCGCACGTGATATCCTTGGCGGCCGTGTCCCTCCACCGGAAGTCGCGTCACGGCTGTACGAGATTATCGAAGCAGCGGAGGGATTGGACGAGAGTGGGCTGCCGGAGCAGGCGTACGTGCCTACGGAGACCGGAGAACATGTCCCTGTCCATGGGCAAGGGAGTCATATGGTTTTCGACGCTGAGGGGCATTAAATCGCATAGGTCATCGGTTCTGCGGATGAGGGCGAGGCAGGATGGAGTTATATTTCTGGTCTTCTATATTTGAACGCTGCGTTTCTTTTCTTTTCTGTCATATCCCTTCTCTATCCTTTTCTAATTGTCGTTAAATTGGCTTTCTTCTACCTCATCCTACTGATTTTTCTTCGTCCATGGATATATTCCCCTTTCTCGTTGTGTTATATGTGCTAGGCTGAAGTGTTGGAGCAGATTACCCTCACCTTTCGCCGTGTAGTTCGGAGGTTTTTATGCGTTGCCAGTGTACGACGAAGAGAATGTTCATGATCTTGATGCGCGTTTACATCGTCTTTTTCTTCCAGTTTTCGACGGCAGACAAAGCACTCTGCACTGCGCATACCCGCTCCCCCACAAATCGTGAGGGGCAACCCATCATCTTGTCAATATACAATCCCGAGGATGCATAACGTCCCTGTGACCTGCCTGCAGCCCAACTGTCATCGTTGACGATGCACTGCCCCCAGGAATCGGGTCGATGGAGGCTACTGCTGATCATAGCAATAAAGAAAGATGATAGCATTGATGAACATGCGTCATGACGCTGCAAGCGAGCTCCCTAGTACATGGATTAGGGTTCTTTTACAGCTTAGACGCCGGTGCTACGACGCTAGCTGATATAAAAGCCAGGACTTCAGAGTTCTCATCGCTATACAGCTTGAAAGCGTTCTATCTTTAAGCTTTCCATCACCACATTGCGCCTTGCCTACCACTCCTGGTACATCGCTCCTCAACCAGCTGCCTTCCTATGGATCTCGTCGTCGTTTCGAATGCCCAATACGATGTCCAAGATTGCACCTTCGTCGACTCACGAAGCCAACAAGCGATCTACAGGGTCCACGCGAAGAGGTCTTCCATCTTCACCCCACCCACGACTTACATTACTCGATCTATGATGGCTTCTAGTGAAGTGGACGTCGCTATCATTGAGTGGGGGACGTTCGGGAAGGCAAAGGTGCGGTGGCCAGATGGAAGATTGGTGGACAGCAAGGAATTGCTTGAGAGACATGGTTTAGGAAGGTCAGTGTCTTCAGACTATCACGGTCACTCTACATTCTTTTTGGGTGACAAGCTTATACTTCTTATTTGAGGCGCTACACATTCACAGGTCCAGATTCCCGAATGTATGAATGGAAATCTGACAGACATGGTTGTTCGGTACGTACTCTTCGACTCTTTGCATTCATCTTCAGGAGCTTCGCGATGGACTTTGACCACAATCATCCTTTGTTGCACTCACAGCTGGAAGCAGATGGGCACGTTATCGCGCAATATCACGAGAAACGCAGAGGTCTTGGCGGACTATTTTCGAGCGGACCTAATGACTCGAAGTTCACCGTGGCAACACCAGCTTTGGGCATGCTTGACTTGATTGTGTTGACATGGGCTATTGTTGAGAGAAGGAGACAGATCAGAAAGGAGATGTCTAAGAGTGCTGCTGGTGGGTAGACCGGCTTGTATTCAAGGAGACTATTTTCGTTTCGTGCAGGAGGCATAATTATGACCGATGAAGGCTAGAGGTCGCCTGCTTGTCAAGAAGTGTGAACAACCCTTGGTCGACCGTGAGGCCTTGAGGTAGGCAGTAACCAAAGAAGGATTACACTTTGAAACTCAAGATAGCGCGGTCAAGATTTCACTTACGTTAGAAGCGAAACGAACTCACCAGGAGAGCTATTCTTTCAGCTAGGGCGCTTGTCAAGCTTATAACCTCCTTTGCACCCTTCATTGCTTTTCAAACTTGGGTGAACCTTGGTGGGCCATGCGAGGTATGATCATGCCGCCAACGTAGGTATCGAGCACCACACATCGAAGTGAGCACGCATAATGGACACTTCTGGTTGTCTGCTATAGTACATATTTGGTACAGTTCTTGAAGTACTTGATGACTTCGGGAAGGTGAGCACCAGCTTGTCTTTATTTCCAGATATCGTCCGCAACTGTCGTCAACAGGTTGACCTTCTTTCGCAAATCCTAGTAATAAATATGAATCAGAGCGTGTGGATGATACAAACTCAATCTAACTCATATTATCGCTCCGGCACATAGTACGCCCCCAGCATATGCGCTCACCGTGCCACTGGCCATTGAAGCGAGGCTCATGGAAGTAACAAATCTATGCGTCATAACACTTACCTCTTGAGAGACAAACCGGTTTCCAAGCATCACAGACGCAAATCCACATTGCGGACTGATGCAGATCCTGTTCGCCGTTATAAGTATCGCTAGCAAGATGCGCATTTTAGTATATGTAGATCGAAGGAGAGCATACCTATCCAACGCTTGCTCGCGCGTTTGGCCAGTGCTCTCAGCCATGATGTCTGCAGCTTCGTATATCCTGCGTTTTAGGTCATCTGGTCGTTCGAGCTACAGAAAAAACATAGAAAGACTCGATAAACCCATGGCAAGTTTAGTGGATAAGAATCAAGATCAAGGCGGTACCTTAGCGACTTTCGTGCTGATCACGCCAAGCACGAGCAACTTGTTTGGAGGGAAGTGTCGGAGCGGCTGAAAATCACCAGAGCGCTCGTTGTCGAACTCTAGCTGTTGGTTTCATAGTCAGTTGTATAGAGGGAATCAGCGGCGAAATGAAAGGGTGGTATATCTGCTATTACACGCACGTAGAATACGTCTACGTTCAACTCTTTGAACAGTCTCGCTGCTAAAGTTTCATAGGATCCTGTCGCATAGTATGTTCCATCCTGGTCCGCAAGTCATTTGTGATTGAGTGACGAGCAAGCGGGTCAGTCCAGGGTCACATCAGTAGAGTGTCATATATTGCGAGATGCCTCACCGTTGCATTCCCTCTGCACAGGTGAATTCCAACGCACATGTCTTCCTTTCGACCTTCAAGACATCGATTGAGAACTTGGATCATCTTGCTGAGTTGATCCTCTGTGGAGATATTCGCAGCAGCCATTCGCTCCTGGAAGCTGGGGTCGGCAAAGAAAGTCAAATACGGATCGTCGATCTGGATGACCCCTAGCATAGATGGCGGTCAAGTGAGCAACAGGAGTGTCAAGTCAAGCAGGATAGAGACATACTGCAGCCCCTCTCGTAAAGGTCCGCTATCTCCTGGCGGTATATTTCGATGACATCCTGCCAGTATTCACCTGGAAGGCAAGGTAGAAAATTTCGTCAACGTCAAGTCCCGCCTCTGCGTGCACAGTGAACATTATGAGCATGAGCAAGCGTGCTGCGCATACCGTCATGCTCGTAAACGCCTTCAATATACTTTTTGTCTCCTAATGACCATTGGAAGTAAGATGGCGGGCTAATAGTCATCTTGATGTTCGCAACTTCCTATGCAATATCAATAAGTTTGATGAGAGAAGGTAAGATGCCGAGGGAAAGGAAAACAGAACTTACATCCCGGCCGACAAGAGTCTTGAGATACTCAAACTCAAGGCCAAGAAGAGCTTTGGTGCGCCTAAGCTTCTCCTAAAGATAAGGTAGAGAGAAGTGAAGGGAACTTCGATATAGGCAATTCCGCGTGAAAAATGCAGCTATTTCACGAACCGTGCAAATCCAGGTGTCTGCCGGCTGCGTCTTGATATATCTCGCTGGTGCCATTTGCTGTATGGGTACGGTTGTGTTACGGGTGCCCTCATAATCTATCTCCACAAGTTGACACTTACCGAGAACTTTTCTGGAGGGTCTATTGCGCAGATACTCCGTCAGCAAGAGACATTCGAATGAACGAGATGCGACGAATTCACTCTGGGGGACGAAAGTCATGCCGTCCGCTTTGTTGAGCATTCCTTCCCAGAAAAATTTCCTGATCGAAGACAATTGTGAGGGGCTTGATCAGCGACGATTCATCAAGCTGAAGAAGAAGGAGTCTACTAGTACCTGCGGAACTCGCCATCCGTGATAGTGCGTAATCCCATGTCCTTCTGCAGCTTAACAACCTCTGCGATCGCCTCGTCCTCGCACATTGCCAGCTCTGCAGACGAACACTTCCCTTGCTCATACTCCTTCCTTTTGGTGATGACCGCCTCAGGTCGCTTGAAAGAGCCCAAATGCTCTGCGCGAAAGGGAGGGGTGGTACGTTGGGCTGTCATATCTAGAGTGGAGAAGGACACCGATCTTGGGGCCTGAAAGTATCCGTAGCGCCCTGCCCCTAATGGTATATATATGAGTGTTCGTGGGCATGTGGTCTTCCAGCCGTCATATCCGCTTAGTAGAGCATTACTGAGAATCACTTGTCTTGGAGAAGCTTGAGATCAGATGTACTGTGTGGGATGGTCGATAAGTACGAAGAGCGCCAAAGGAATCTCGAAAAACATGTGCTGATCTTTTACTATACCTTCCAAATCTTACTGTAAGTTCTGGCCGTGTAGCCCGGCGGAAATAGCACGAGAACCTACTAGAGCCTGAGGGAGGCTACTTATTTCAGTGATCTGCAGTAAGTAATGTAAGTTGGATGAAAACTGAATGAAGAGAAGGTAGAGCAATGCCGAATATCCAGACCCTTCATGATGATGCTCTAAGCAGATGCGTTGTGTTGCGAGTAACATGCCAGTTGGGTTCCATGATCAAGTGCTTCGTAGTTCGAAGGGAGCCACAACCGGTCCTCGGCGCTCCTCGGCGTGAATCTCTTCTTGTTTGGTTTAAATCGGAGCTACCAGCTGGGTTTGAATACATGCCGGGCGACGAAATCGCCCTCCGAGTCACTGCCGACTACAACACAGCCCCTTTCAACGAACACCCCCAATTGGCATGAACCAAACAGCAATAAGTTTGGACAAAACAAGCGTCTTGTACGGCTGTATGATCCCACACAATGCCATTCATCGATTCTTGTGGTATCGGATGGTGTTTGTCGGCCTTGCGAAGTTCGAACGTTCTGGCGAGCCTGAGATCGTCTCCCACCGTATCGGGCGTTGTTTGTTCTACATCAAGTATGCGATGTTCGGTACACAGAAAAAGAAGAGTGGCGTCTATCGTTCGGAAAGTGGCTGTAACACTACCAACGTTCAACGGACTCTGCAGGTGAGTTGTGAATGCACTTAGGCCCATTTCATATGTTTTACTGATTTACCGTCACTCATACATCGGTATGGGTCATTGTACAGTATTGCATGATCCAACGTTAGACTGACTGGCTGGTCTCTAGTGACTCGGACGCCACTGGCACAAGTTGCGCTCGAAGGTATGTTGTCCGTCTTCGATTATCAACAACGTCTGTGGTCACCGAGTTGACACCGAGGATGGCCACCGACGATCGGAACTTGATGTAAAAAAGCGCCTACAAGTCTGTGATCATTTCGTTAGCCTCGTGTGCACAGAGTGTATCGTTTCTTCCCCTCTCATCACTGGTACGGATCTGTATACAGACGCCTAACTCTGCTCTTGACCCCATCATCTTGATACGTCCCTCTCAGATTGTGTCCCCTCGTCGTCGTCCTCGAAATCGACATCACAGAATACAGGACCGTGGTATCGGCACGTCGTAAGGGCGGAAATTATCGCGGGCGGCGACTGGGTCGGGCGTCTCAAGAACACATTTCAAATCTGTCAGTACCATTTGTCTTGACCTTTCCTCTCCATACTTAAGAGCGGGCGGTCTTCAGTTGTTCCACTTCTTCTGACTGCTTGCTTCTCAGAAACGCACGTAGCTCTTGACGTCTGGGTGTTTTGAAACGGGCTCAGCGCGCGAGGGAATACTTCCTTTGAGACGCTCGCATCTACCGCAGCTGCTACACGCGATGCTCGCAATGCCGTCTTATCAGCGTCTCTCACCACCCTTCCGCGCTGAGCAAATTGGCTCATTCGCACGACCAAATGCTCTTCTACTCAAACGCGCGGCGTTCGAACAGGGAACATGTAGCCCGGATGAACTCGCGCAATGCGAAGACGAGGCCATAGCGGGCATCGTAAAATTCCAGAAAGCAGTAGGAATGAAGTCTATCACTGACGGGGAATTTCGTAGGTGGGTGGTCACGTCTCTTTTCGTGCGAGGCTTGTGGCGTCACAGTCATGACTATGGCACTTATTTACTGGTTTTTTTTTGGTGACTAACGGGTCTTTCAACAGAGCGTCCTTCTTCGATGGCTTCTTCAACAAACTCGAAGGAATGAATTTCGACCCAGCATGTATGTGCTCCTCTGGCATCCTCTAGCGCATACTGCATCATTGATTTCTCACACATCGTTCCTATGACTCCTGATGTGTCTTGCTGTGTCGGATTACAGACCCCCCTGACAAGTTCTCCGTGAGTGCATGTCACAAAAATATTGTTAGTCTTGCAGGATCCGTTAGTTGACAGGGCATTGTAGAAGCTATCGCCGGTGAAGAGGACGGTCCCTACGCCCACATGGGTTTGCACGGTTTGTCGCTCCACTATTTTCAACCGCGCTATCCATGTCTCATCAGAGTTCTGTATACATGCTTTACCCGCGCTGCCTTACCGCCACGAAGGGGAAACTCAAGCGGACCGTATCCATCTATGGGGCTGAGTTTGACGCCCTGAAGAAGTTGGTCAACGAAGAGGTCTCACTTCCGTTCTTGAACTTTCGAATCTCAAATCGTCTGACGCCGCCGTTCTACACCACCCTTCGCAGGAGGTTCGGAACATCAAAATCGCCATGTGCCCTCCTCAGTGGTTCTACTACATGTTGAGAGAGAACGTATACTTGGAAGGCGTATACCCTTCTCTCGGTATGTCGGCCGCTCTATATCAACGGTACTGGTTTGTTTCGCACTGGACTAAAGCGTTTATCATGGTGGACTACCTTCACAGACGATTACTTCGCTGATGTCATCAGAGTCTACCGCGAAGAGATCACAGATCTGTATGGAAGAGGCTGCCGTATGTGTTCCATCATCTCCGTTGTGTGTTGCCCCAGCAGGGATGGCTCATAAATATATTAACTAACACACAGGAAATATTCAATTCGACGAGCCTGTCATGTCGTTCCTTGTGGACTCCAGTGTACGAACGCGAATGCAATCCGTCGACGTCTCACCCGACTCAGAACTCGACCTTTACATACGGATCCTGAATGCGATTTTGGAGGGCAGGCAGAAGACTATGGGCGATATGTGCGTGGGGATTCACCTGTGTAGGGGAAACTTGACGGTACGTTCGTTGGGCCCAGTACTTCATCGTGCTTCTGAACCCTGTGAACGTATTCAAGTTGTTACTTTAATTTGCAGGACGGGAAGTACTTCGCCTCGGGTTCGTACGAAATCATGGCGGAGACGTTGTTCAACAAGCTTGACGTCGACGTATATTATGTGAGCTCGCCAATACTAGATCTAGAGTCTACTGGGACCGACCGATCCTCCAATTTTACGCAGCTTGAGTACGACGACGACCGTTCAGGAGACTTCAAGCCTCTTCGCTATGTCCCACCGAATAAATTTGTCGTCTTAGGCCTCATTACGACAAAACACGGGCAATTGGAGGACGCAGACAAGCTCAAAAGGAGGGTATATGAAGCAGCGGACATTTTGGCTCGTGGGTCAGGCAAGACACGAGATGAAGCGCTGGAACAGTAAGCTTTCCTTCAGCTCCCTCAACAAAGGGACCACACCCGGAGTTGGTCAATCTGACCGTTATAACAGAATCTGCATAAGCCCACAGTGCGGCTTCTCGCCAACAAAGGAGGGAAACAGGTTCATCACTCAAGGGGTCCGTCTTTCATTTCATTCTATCTGGATCCGTTATGATAGGGAAATGTATATTGAGATATTCTCATTTGGGATTCGCAGGATGCGAAGGCGAAATTAGAATTGTTGGTAAAGGTGGCGGGAGAGGTGTGGCGCTGAATGCTCGTACCTATTTTAGCTAGATCAATGAGAATATTACCCGTAGTGAAGGAACTGGAGTCATCCTCCTTAGCTCAGCGGTAGTAGCGCTTCACTAGTACTCCGCCCAAGTCGAGTATGATATGAAGAGGTCAGTCGTTCAAATCGGCTAGGAGGAACATACCAAAATAACCACATAGCAAATCTTTTTTGTGGTCCGACGCAGTGAGACGCAGAAAAATGTTCTCTCGCGCTTGACAGTTAGCGGGGGCCTGCAGCTGCACCGCAAGGTCCATCCGAGCCATTACAACGCCCCTCAACACACGCTCCCCCCATGGTTCTAGGTAGAAAAGGGTCTACGAGAATTTATTGAAGTTCGGGTGATTCGTTTGTGCGACTGCACACGATACCGCCAAGTATTTCATGGAAAGAGATTGCATATTATGAACATCCTAATAGTACTGGTGCAATACACATCTATTCATACAAAATATCCAGAGTAACGGCGCTCCTCTTTCATACACACACTGAACGCGACTATAGCAATATACCTTGACGTCAATAAAGGTGGAAAATTGCAAGGATAAAACAAGCTTCACACACCAATCAAGTATATGGTATTACAAGCTTCTCACTGAGAGGGACCGAGGTTTAGCATTTAGGCCTTGGGCGGGGGCTCCCGAGCAGTGGTCTCGCCTTGGAGGATCTGATCTCCGTGGTCCTTCAATCCGTTCTAAGTTCCAGCGATGAGATGAGACTACTGCAGACAACCTGGAGGATATGGAGGATATGGGACGTACCTTTCCAAGCACAGTTCCCCTCGTTTTCTGTCGGGGATGTGACAATGAGTGATCTACGATGAAGGTGACCGAAGACCGGGGATCATACCTGTGCGTAGCCTAAAAGTGAGAGCGAGGCTTAGGTCAGATTCAAAGTGTCCAGAATGAAAGAGATTGAGTAACTGACCGATGACTTGCTCCTTCCATGGTATGTTCGCCTTCTCAGTGACCTGAGTGCCGTCTTGCGGCTGTGTTGAAGCTGAAAACCGATGAGGTTGGCAACAGGGAAGGTAGATCACGCAAAAAACACACTACCTTGTTGAGGAACCTCATTGACCTGTGTAGGTGGCGCAACTTCAGAAGGTAGTGCCGTAGTTTCTCCAACATTCTCATTCACATTCCTTGATACTCTACACAGCACGATACTTGTGGCAATGCAGATTGCATTTGACTATCAGTTCACGCAGTCTGTTTCTGTCCTGACAACAAATACAAGCTTCAAATCTCACCCTGAACGTGTGGCACCAGTATAGAACCTGGTTATCTTGCTAAGAAATTGTAGTCGTTCGACGCCATAGTCCGTCTTGTTGGACTTATAAGTACTACTTACTAACGATACTCTCCGAGTTGCAATGTCATTCCAAAGCGGTCACTCCTATGCAGCTCCCAGATCAATTTGACGTGATGACTGACATAAGATCAACATCGAGCAAGGTCGCGAAGTAGGCGGAGCCCCAGGGTTTTAGTGTTTCAAATTTCCCCACAGCTCTCCCGGCCGGCGATGACCAGCATTACTTGACTTGACTCGGACTCCAGCTCGCCGCGGACAGCGTCTTGTATCTCATGCTCGTCGGTACACGGCGACAGTACGAGAGCAACCATGAGCACACAGGCGCATGAACACACTGGATAGGTCTTCTGACAATGACGAACGATGGAAAACCTCGAAAAGGTCGAAGCATCCCGGATCTTCGGCTTTACCCCGGACGACCTCGTAATTTCCCATTCGTCCTTCCCATAAAAAAAATGCTTGTTCGTTCCAACCCCAATGAAAAGCTGAAGGCGTCTCTCAAGTTGTTTCAAAAGCTCTTCACCGGGCGAAGGCGCTGATAGAGTGCGTAGTTGTTGCCCGGTTCAGACCACACACAGATTGCATAGTTATCCCGTCGTGAACGCTCATCCCGTGGATGGGTACTTTACGCCTCGTATCTTCTACTGCAGGGAATTTCGGGGATCCGGGACAAGTGTACCGGCCGGTCAAAATCAGTTGTTCGCACCAAGCAAGTCATGTATATAGGCTGTTTTTGCCATAATGCCCCTCCTTTCCCCCTCTTCGTGATTCTGTTTGTCGGCAGGGTCGAAGCCCTGCTTTCACCGGATCTATCACGCTTGTCCTACTAAGAAACTGCGACGCACAGAAATGTACCTCCAAAGTCCCTTCGAACCTTGCCCGGAACCACCGATTCAGAACTATCACGACTTTCAGTTCGGATTGCCCAACGTTGTGGCTACGAAGGACTATACTGTGTTCATAGACGCCTTCACGAACGAGCGCAGGACATTGAGAGAGTTTCAGGCGAGGGTTTCAGATGCTGCGACGGCTCTGGCAGCGTTAGGGCTGGAGGGGGAGAAGGGAGATGTGGTCGGGATTCTGAGCGAGAATAACATGGTAAGTCCAGCAGCGAGTCTGAGTCTAACTTGTCACCCTCACTATAAAAATGGATTTCGATACGCGTGTATATAGGAATTCCCCACACTTGTTCACGCCTTGATTAAAGTCGCAGTCCCGATGGCTCTTGTGCCTTCATTCTCTACGCCCTCAGAAACCACGGCTCTGATGAAGCTTGCGAGGGTGACACAGCTGTTCGTTAGTCCGAAGAAGCTCCCTATGGCAAGAGAAGCTGCGAGGAAGATTGGGCTCCCGGACGAGAAGATCTATATTCTTCAAGGGAAGGTCGAAGGACGACGAAGTTTGGCCGATATGATAAATGATGTCAGAGCGAACGGGACCCTTCGTGTGGCGTCGCGTCCGGTGAAGAAGGATACACTTGCGTATTTGATCTTCTCGAGTGGGACGTCTGGGCTTCCAGTGAGTGTTAAATCTCATTCCGGTGAAGGTAGTTCTTGTCTTGACCGTGTACATCAATCAATGCTAGAAAGGTTCGATATAACCCATTAGGGCGTGGCGTACGCTGAACCCCTATATCTGAACACCTCATAGCCGTAATGCTTTCACACCGAAACCTTTGCTGCTCACTATTGCAGTCCATTCAACTCGCTAAGGAAGTGGCGAAATACGGCACCACTGTAATTCTCATTAATTTTCTGCTGGTTGACTCGACTGATAAATTGCATCCGTTTCTATGTGGCAATATTTCAGCAACCGTCAACAGCAGATGCACCCGCCGTCAGCATCGCGTTCCTTCCCATGTATCATGCCATGTGTCTCCATAATGTTATCTTCCGTGGCCTAATATCGCCTACCACGTTCATCATAATGCCGAGATGGGACATTAACGCCGTCCTAGAGCTTGTTCCGAGGTAAGTGTAATGTCCAAGTTCATGTTACGAACGGTATCCTGACATTCGGGTACCCATGGTCAGGTATAAAGTGACGGCACTTGCCATGGTTCCTTCCATTGTCCACCAACTAGTCCATCACCCAAAGATCCGCCAGACGGATCTCTCAAGCTTGACGTACCTCGGGGGCGGCGCTGCATATCTATCTTGGGAGCTCAGACAGACGATGCTCAAATACGCCGGAAAAGTTCCTTATTGGGCTGAAGGTGTGTTCCGTTTCTTTCTGACCAGGTTCTAGCTCTTGTTCCTTGACGAAACGTTCGTTGACTGACGCTTCGTTCGTAGGCTATGGGATGTCAGAATGCGTACGTCTCTATAGACATGTTTTGTGCTCCCGTCACTGAATCAACTTTCCACTATGCGTCAATACGTCCCATCGTACCTCGACTGTCCCATTGTAACGTCAATACTATCAGTCTGTCTCAGCAATGTGGGTCCCCCCACCGGGTATCTTCGGCGGCCCCAAACCCGGCATGACCGGCGTCCTCCTCGCAAACCAAGAAGCCCGCATCGTCCGAGAAGACATGTCGGAATGCGACTGGAACGAGCCAGGCGAGCTGTTATTGAGGGGTGGAAACGTCGCCATGGGATACTGGGATAATCCGAAGGCTACGAAGGAGACGTTCATTGAGGGTGGGTGGTTGAGGACTGGGGATAGGTTCTTGGCGAAGGAGGACGGGGGCCTTTAGTGAGTATTCTTGTCGGGACTATCTTGGTTGTGTGAGCTTATTGGATGGTGATGACGATATAGTTATGTTGACCGGATTAAGGTACGCTGTCTTTTTGCTCTACGTCTGACAAAAAGGACTGCGCTCACTCATAAGTTTCACACAGGACACCCTCAAGATATCTGGTATCCAAGTCTCCCCTACAGAAATCGAAGACACCCTCTTATCGCACCCGTCCCAACCTCCCCTGATTTCTGATGTCGTCGTGGCGGGCGTCATGCCCCTCAATTCCCGACTCTCGGACGAACCGGTTCCCCGTGCGTGGGTCGTGCTCACTGAGGAGGGACGGAAGATAGGGGCAGAGGAAGTGGTCAGGAAGCTGGATGCGTGGCATAAAGAGGCATTGAGTAAGTATAAGTGGTTGAGGGGTGGATTTGGGATAGTCGATCAGGTGAGTGATGGCCATATCATACACCGAATACCATGGTTTTCCTTCTGTCTAGGTATCTGAGAGCTAATTGATGCCTTGGTTTTCCGGGTATAGATTCCAAAGTCACCCACGGGGAAGGTCCTTCGGCGGCACCTACAAGAGGAGTATAAGAGATCGCTGCCTGCTCAGGCAAAGCTGTGATCCTCGATTCGTATATGCTCACAGCGTTTATTGTCTAATCACCATACTTCAGCCTACCCACCAATTCATCATCTCGTCCGCTTCAGGTTCCACATCCAGCGCCACAGAACATTGTGGCCGACACCTATCTCTCATGATTCGAAATGACTCTCGTGCTCGTGCTTTATGTATGTATTATACAATGGCTCTGTATGATATCTGTGTATTTGGATGACCTTCGGCTCCGTAAAACTGTCCATAGGTGTCCACAAGTATCAAACCGCCTGTTCCGCTCTACTTAGCCTGCATCAAATCAAAACCCCTCTCTCCACGGACCCCATAACCCCCTATGTTCCGGACAACACTTCGCCCTGACCATCTCAAAATCCAGATCGTTAACACAGCTCGGCATGTCCTGCCAACTCTCGTCCTCCAAGGTCTCCTTCCCGCGCGGGCTCAGCGGACTTTCGTCAAGCGCCATGCACATGATGTAGTCTAGCGCATATTCGACTAAACCACCGTTTTCAAGGAAATATCTGATAGAGCGAACATTCGTGGTGGAGACGAGTCCGTGGTCTACACTGAGGATGATGGTGTCGACGCATGGGTTCTCCCAGAGGCACGAAGGTTGGAGAGACTTGAGCGTCGGTTTAACCTTGAGGTCAAGCTGCGTGAAAGGGCCGCTGGGATCGAAGAACACGACAAGAGAGGAGAGGAGGGCACGCCAGCCTGTGTATAATTGGGGCGAGAGCTTTTGTCGGAGATGAGGTGGAAGGAATATGAGTGTTTGGTCGCGGCGTTGGAACGATTGGTGAAGGTGTTTTGATTCTGTGTTGGATTTAGCTAGGTGCAGCTCGACGTCGCGAGAGCTTTCGCGAGCTTTCGACGGACACGGATGACTCAGCAGCGCAGCTGCTTTGCCACTCTCTCGAGTACTGTAGAATATTCTAGTATAATTTGTACAGTAGTATAAATACATGAAGAGTTTACCTGTGTAGGGCATCGGTTTGCCCTAACACAAGCCAGCCTCACAGCTCAGTGTGATTGCAAGCCCTCTCTGATTTCTCGTGCTTTTCTCACTCGCTCACGAAAATCCAACATTCTGAACGTGTGGCGATGGAGCGGAAGAGTGATGAAGGGAGGAGTGGGTGTCGTTCGTCCATATGCGATATAGCAGCTGTCAAGAAGATTATTAGCCCGTTGGGTCTTTCATAAGGAGATACTGTATTAAATCCCACCATGCATCCGGACCCGCATCCTCTGGCTGAACCACCCTTCAGAACAGCTTCCACATGTGCATCCAAACCGCCTCTTATCAATATACTCATCCTCACATCTGTCAAGACGCGTCCTTGGGTCTGTTCCCTCATCTACGTCGTCCCCATATTTCTTCATCATCCACATCATCCTCAAGTGTTTCTCATCAAACCCGTCAAACGTCCCATCTAGACCGTCCCTGACATATCGCTCTTCGATCATATTCCTCTCACAAATCTCTCTCGCAGTGAGCCTAAAGATGTTGTCCCTGCGATCGATATCGTCACGAGCACCCAAAGCCAGAAGAGTCGAAACAGCGGAGACTCTGAGTTTCATAACAGCGATGTACCGTGGGGTAGATCCCAGGTCGTCCCGTTGGTGGATGATAGAAGGATCAGCTAAGTAACGCTTAGAGATGACGTAGTCCAGGTCGTCTTCTGGGAGGTTGTCGGCCATGATGTATGAATGGATGGGAAAGAGTTTCCACCTGTCTTCAGGAGAGAGAGGGTCTCCTGAGTAGGGCAAGCCAAGTGTCAGAGAGCCATTTTTGAGGTTTGGGATGTTGGTGAACGGAGCGTCAAGAACAGAGTCGTCCAGCACAGAGAGAGAACGAGAAGGGTGAGAAGAGTTTTTAGTGTATGCGAACACATCGGTGCGGCCTATGAGACGGAAACCGACCTGTGCAAATGAAAGGAAGAAAGATGATCGCGTGAGGACCTGAGACGAGTATAGGGATGAGAATAACAAATACTCATGCGTACGTTGCGTAGAAGAGCCGCTCGCGCGACTTGGTTCCATTCTTTCTGAGCCGGAAGTAAGTATTCCTCAGTGTGCCCACGAGCAAAATACGGTTTCCCTGCCAGCCAGGAGCGAAGAATGAAGTCCCCAGACAGCATCGGGAGCCCCGAGTCCAAGATAGACTTCAACATGAGGCTTTCGACTTCTGGACGATCCTATTTGGTGTATGAATCTAATATCAGCGTATAGCAGGCGTCATCGAATTAGATATAATGCCTGTCATAGGTTTACACGGTTCTCCCATCTCTATGTCCCCGATCAAAATGAGCGTGCCCTCATCCAACTCCCTTCCCCAAACACCAGTGTTCCTATTTCACTCATCCGCTACATCGCCAATCCAAGGCCACACCTTCCCAAACTTATCAAACACAAAAGTATAGAGGACATACATATCCCTATCCTCACGCGCCTCTCCATCGAGGTCCGTGGTGAGGTATCGTCCTCGGATGAACGTACGGTCAAAGTGCCACACTATAACCCGTGCGATCTCGCCGTAACGAGGATGCGTGAGTGCGCATGTTATAACTTGGCCGGATGCCCTGAGGACGCGGTGTGGGCGAACGCCGGATAGCGTGAATGTGCATTCTGAGGCGATGGCTTGGGTAGATGGCAGAGAGGGCGACATGATGTATATGGTTCTGCGCACCAGGATCATCCCTATTTGAAGGGTCGCCGGATGCGGGCTTGCAACTTGCTCCAAAGCTTCAAACTCCGCTCTTGGAAGTTCGCCGTCCTTTCGTAGTCGGACCCTTGAGAACCTACGTCAGTCGATATCGGGGCAGAGGCCATCGCGCATAACTAAACGGAAAGAAGAGTCATAGTGGAAGAAAGCATTCTGCATCATGAATTACATTCGTTATGGAGGCGCGTCAAATAACAAGGCTAGCAGCTCCTCCCGCGTCCTGATTTTCGTCTCCATTATCAGATTTGCGATACTTGCTATAGTCTCCCAACCACGTTCACGACTGTCCTTATCATCCTCGTACGGATCCGACCCCAAATGCACCCTAATCTTGTCGTACGATCGATCCCAGAGGAATATTTCAGAGCTGAAAGGAAGCCCGGTGACGTATTTTGCGATGGAGGAATAGTCGTCGTAACAACCATCTTCAATCACCGGAATGATAGAGCTGTCCAATGTGAGGGTAATGGGTGCGGTTGACGCTGGTCGAAACGCCGAGGGAGAAAGCCCGTGGCCGGGTCTGGTAGTACGGATAGTATTTCCACGACCCGTGTGGCCGGGCATACGAGCGATGAAAAGTGGGGTAGCGACGGGGACAACTCTCGCATCGATGTAAAGACCTATTTTCTGTATTTGTGGACACTGAAGTACCAGTACTTTGAGCGCGATTAGGGTGAGGGAAGTGGACTTCAGAAGGAGAGGGTTTGGGTTCAACAGAAGCCCTTTGATGCGAGGACACCTGGATGTTAGTTGTCTAACGTCGTCGTCCGTGCCTTCAAGAGGGTATGGGTGTCGAAACTCAAACCATTGAAGGTGCGAAAGTCGTGAGATGGGGACAAGGTGTTGGAGATGAATGTGTGGAATAGACTGGAGTTCGTTTTCATCATGATACGCCAGTTGGTTAAAAGATAGGGCTAAGGTGTTGAGTGAGTGACAATTGGAAGTAAGGCTCTCTAATAGGCCCATCAGAGCTTCATGGGAAGGCATGGCTCGAGTGTGGCACCACAGGGTTACGAGGTTGCAGAGGGGGAATGCTGGTTGGGTAAGAAATGAGCTGAGATCAGGTAGATCACGCGCTGTGCAGCTGAGCTCATGGAGGGAGGGGAATGCGCCCCGATGAAGCGGTGTATCTGACCGATAGAGAGTGCGTGTTGCCTCGACACAGGTGTACGGGCAATATTTGAACTCTATGGAGATGGTTCGAAGATGGCGATGACGTGAGATGATTTGCGCAAAAGAAGCATCGAGACATAGACAAGGGAGTCGAACCTCTCGAAGGCTGGAGAGGGACTGAAGGAGGCCCTGTAGCTCAACATCGTAGTTAGGGAGATTCATTCCGAGATACTCCACACAGAGATACTCCAGCTGGCGGAGTCGATCGCCTATATCACGTATAATTGGCGGTGTCTGTGAAAAATTCGAGACAAGGCCCCCTTCTGACTCTTCCCAAGACTTGAGTTCGAGCCTCATCCTGGTCACTGTGTCCCCGGTCATGAATGGCCTGAGTTGGGACGGGCTGGCATGGATTTCCCTCAGACCGGGAAAGATAGACAGGACGGTACGCGACTGAGCTATTTCATTCAAGGCTGCTGACGATAATTTGAAGTGGTCGTTTCGTGCGACCCAACTTCGGCAAACGTCCTGCCATTTTCGGACCCGCGCGCTGTTCGACAGAAATCGATGCCAATCGTCCACGGTCAAGGGGCGAGTAAAGGTCTAACACGATCCGAGTTGCGAATTTCGACGTCAGTTATTTGAATGAGGCGGAATGATGAATATACACACTAGATACTTCGCGCCTAGTACCACTGCTACTTCTGTGGGTGCCAGGGAGCGAAAGACTTTGGGTGTAACCTCTGACCAAACGATATCGAGAGCTGGTTCCTTCCATGTCTTGCAAACTCGCGCGTTGCGGGCGTTGCAGCCTTTGTCCAGTAAACCAAAAACAGAGGTCAGGATCTCTGGTATGGTAAGAACATCGTGCATGACCTCAGAGTGGGGGGTGATGGGATGAGATGTAAGTAGGCTTTCGTCGTTCAAACGTTCGAGCTGGAGGCCCGGTATGGGAAAAAGAGCCTCGGCTCACAATTCCGGGGGATATGTTTGTTTTGCGTGAGAACGGCCGGCAATTTGCGTTCTCATTCTTCGTGCCCCAAAAGCCCGTCCTTCCTTCCTGCGACGATGCTGTCTTCTCTACAGTCATCTTCTTCGCAATCAATCGTTCGCACATCTTTTCGCTTTACACCCCATGAAAGTACTTAGGCTCTCTATGTTGGACTCTCGACGACTGGGCCACGAACGAACGTTGATTGTGCACGGACCGTTTCTGCCGCGTGAGCGGACCGGAGCATGCCTCCGCGACCGTTGGTTGGTTTGATGGACCCGTGAGCGAACGGCACAAAGCTCGGAAAACTATGACTTTCTGCATAAGGCCGACGAATTCCCCACATCAGCTACCCCACTCCCCCACCTCTTCCCCGGCGCAGGACTTCTCTTGTGGTCGAGCAAGGGTCGATACTTCACTGGTCTTCACTCGCTGGCTGGTCTTGGCTAGACGACCATGTTCAGACGTACACGGTTTCTCTTCACTCCAAAAGCCTTCGCGTATTATACGGCAGGGACTGTGTCCGCTGCGGGAGGGGGTTACTGGTATCTCAATTCAGGACCTGCATACCCGACATCGACAAGGGAGTCGAGGAGGCCACCTCCACCTTGGTTGCCTCCGACAAGAGAGCAGAATCTCAATGCCTTGAAGAACAGTGGCCGAGGGCTCGCAGAGGATGACCAAATATTCGATTTATTAATCGTTGGTGGAGGTGCGACGGGAGCTGGTGTCGCTGTTGATGCGGCCACGAGGGGTTTGAAGGTCGCTATGGTCGAACGTGATGACTTTTCTGCAGGTGCGTTCGTGATGTTCTCATCTTGCGTAGATGAGCGTATATAAACGCTCGTAGCTCGGCATTTGCGACGCAAAAGCTACTGCGAGCCTGCATACAGAGTTTCCTTGTTGCTTAGCGTTCATGTTTCGTGCTCAGTCGAGCTATATTGCTGAAAATGAGTAAATGTGGCACTCTATAGTTTGTTCGAAGGGGTGATGAAGTATCCGAATAAGACAGGGACTTAGGGTCCTACTTTCGTTCTATTCCGAATTTACTCGAAAAAACATTGTTACTTCTTGGAATTGACTTTCCAAGACGGCGATGCTAAACATTTATGTCCATCCTCAAAGCCCGTCATTTAGTCAACTGACATGACATTTACACTCTATCTCTATCCAAAATCATTACATCCAGGAACGTCGTCGAAGTCAACAAAACTTGTCCACGGAGGTGTCCGTTACCTCCAGAAAGCCATCCTCGAGCTCGATTATGAACAATACAAGCTCGTCAAGGAGGCCCTCCATGAACGCAAGATCTTTCTAGAAACGGCTCCTTACCTCTCGCACATGTTGCCCATCATGCTGCCTATATACAAGTGCGTTTAACGTATATGTTTCTCTCTGCCAGTTCACTGTGTACTCTCGCTACAATGGTCTTGTGGTGGGCGCCAGGATTAGCGACATTGAAGCTAATTTTGATCTTCATATTTGTGGTGTAGGTATTGGCAAATCCCATATTACTGGGTAGGCTGTAAGATGTACGATGTCCTCGCGGGCAAAGAAAACATGGAATCCTCCTACCTTATGTCGAAGGGCAAAGCTCTCGAGACGTTCCCTATGCTCAAATCGGACGGTCTTGTTGGTGCACTGGTATATTACGACGGTGCGTTTCAGTCAAATTTATTCCTCGTCGCTGGTCATTACGCTAATGAAGACGTGGTGTGGTGCTCGGTGTAAACAGGTCAACATAACGACTCGCGGATGAATATGGCGTTGGTCATGACTGCGGTGAGATACGGAGCGACGGTGGCAAATAAAGTTGAAGTAGTAAAGTTGCATAAGGACGCGGAGGGCAAACTTCACGGAGCAAGGTTAAAGGACAAGCTTACTGGTGACGAATGGGACGTGCAAGCCAAGGTACATTTTCGCCACCCGCACTCTCAATATATCCCGTCCTTGCCCCCTCAAAACTTTCTCGCTGACCTGTCGCTCAATCCTTGCAGGGAATAATCAACGCCACTGGTCCCTTCTCCGACACGCTCCTCACGCTTGACAATCCCGCGCACAAACCAATAGTCCAACCATCCTCCGGCATTCACATTACCTTGCCTAACTACTACTCACCAAGAACGATGGGACTGTTGGATCCAGCAACGAGCGACGGGAGGGTGATTTTCTTCTTGCCGTGGCAGGGAAATACGATTGCGGGGACTACGGATGCTCCAGCGAGCGTAGATATGGACAAAGAACCGAAAGCCAAGGAGGAGGAAATTCGGTGAGCAACTTCTATTCGCTGGCTTATTGGCTAGAGCTGACGTCTTGCTCCTCGCCAGATGGGTCCTCGAAGAAGTCCGTCGCTACCTCTCCCCAGACATCAAAGTCCGTCGCGGCGACGTTCTCTCCGCCTGGTCCGGTCTCCGACCTCTTGTCCGTAACCCCTCTGCCTCCTCCACACAAGGTCTTGTACGGAACCATATGATTCACGTTTCGGATTCTGGACTTCTCACGATTGCGGGTGGTAAATGGACAACATACAGAGCGATGGCGGAGGAGACGGTGGATGAGGCAGTGAAAGTGTTTGGGTTGGAGGGAAAGGTGATGAGTGGATGCGTGACGGATAAGGTGAGGTTGGTGGGGAGCGATGGGTGGAGTAGGAATATGTTCCTTGGGTTGACGCAGAGGGTGAGTCCCATTATCTCGATCTCCTCAACGAAAATTGGTACTAATTCATGTTTTGTTTTCGACTCTAAGTATGGCTTAGCATCGGAGGTGGCGCAGCACCTGGCAGAGAACTATGGTGATAGGGCGTGGACGGTTCTTGCTCTCGCCAAGCCGACTAGAGAGTCATGGCCTAAACACGGCATCAAGCTTGCCCCTCAATATCCCTGTATATATCCCCCTTTTCCTCTTCCATTTCCTCCATTAGGCTCGCTTTTACTTTCCTTGTCCCTCACTGACGCCGTTCGACCAAACCTACAGTCATCGAAGCCGAAGTCCGCTACGCCATCCGCCACGAATACGCTCTCACCGCCATCGACGTCCTAGCCCGCCGCACCCGTCTTTCTTTCCTTAACTCCCAAGCAGCCCTAGAAGCCCTCCCACGCGTCGTCGAACTCATGGCCGAAGAGCTCAATTGGTCCCGTAAACGTCAACTCGAAGAGATTACAAAATGTACATTGTTCTTGGAGTCCATGGGTTTGCCAGAAGGAACCACGCCACCAAAACTAAGGGAGCCTACGACCTTGATCGGCTCGGTGAAGGGCTCGGTGTGGAGCAGGGTGCCGACCGTGCCGTTTGTTGGCGGGAAGAGCTTGAAGGAGGTAGAGGACGAGAAGGAGAGGAGGGACGCTTCTCGCTTCGCATATTCGAGGACTCAGTTTGAGCCGGGAGAGGTGGACGAGCTGAAGGTTGTGTTTGAGGATGTAGCGAAGGCAGCGGAGGGAACCACGATTGGGACAGGGCAGATGAGGGAACTGGTGACGAGTGGAGGCTTGAGGGGTTATGAGGGCGTCGGTGAAAAAGATTTCGATTATGTCATGGAGGAGGCGGGGTACGCGAAGAGGGTTAATGTTGATTTTGAGGAGTTTGTGGAGGTGTGTGGATTAAGTTCTCGTTAGAAATCACTAGATTACTGACTCTTGATTTTCAGATTTGCGCGGAGCTGAAGGATGTAGTTCTTGTCCCGAAGGTGACGAAGAGCGTACATAAGGCTACCGAAACGGTCATCCCTGTCGAGAAGAGTGGTGGCGGCGTTTAGGTCGTTGTGTGTCTGGGCGACCTTTTTGCGTTTTTCTAGTCTTATTTGGTTTCTTGGGTTCCTTTTTTCACTGGTCTTAATCTGCTGCTATCCTGAGATAACCCTTAATGTCTTACTTCTTGGATTTGGTTTTCTTCGCGGTTTGTGCATAAATGCGTCTTTTGTGTCTAATTGCTGTTGTTGTTGCTGTGACTCGGGTTGCTCGTATGGTTTTACTACTATACCATTGTTGTATTCTTGGTTCAGGGGAGATGCGTGCCTGCGGGACCCGTCCTTGATGATTGTCGCCTAGTACATACGGCTCGAAGAAAGAGCCACATTTGTGTGGCGACTGCGGGCGGCAAGCCGCGCCGACCAGACTCTAGATCTCCCACGCTCTGACGTCCTCAACGCAACCACGACGATAACTCACACTTCTCTCTCGCCCAATACCGGCTCTCACCTCGTTGAACCATATAATATCCTTAATCATCTACCCATCTAATCTTCCAACGACTTCGCATTAATATCTACGCCAGAACCATGAGCTTCCAAGACATCGAGACGGGCCTTACGCAACGCCCACATTCTCCCGTCCGCGGAGCCCCACAATCCCAAGAAGATGCAGCATTCCAGAACTTGCAGAGTTCGCTCTCGTTGCAAGTCTTCAAGATCAACGCGAACGTGCAGGGGATATTGAAGCTTGTAGATCAGCTGGGGACGCCGAGGGATTCGGCGAATCTGAGGAAGAGTTTGTGAGTCTTTCGCTTGTCCATGCTTTACTCCACCCGAGGGGCTGTGTGGCGAGGAATGTGGGGCTGCAGTACCTCTCTGGTGGCAGACAGGATGTTGGACTTATTACTAACCTATAACGCTGTTGACTTGTGCTGGTTCGATTATCTATAGACATGATCTCACAGAAACGACGCGTGCCATGGCTAAGCGTGGTTCTGACGACCTCAAGAAACTCGTTGCCCTCCAGTCAACACTAGTAAGTCTTCCTGTCCTGCAGAACCCTCTGCAGATAGTTTTGAGCAACACGGAATGACGCCCATATGCACAAGCCAGGCAAGAAGACTCCGCTCCAGAAGACCTCGCACGATTTCCAGCTTTCGCTTGTCGCCTTCCAGCGTGCGCAGCAAGTGAGTGCTGAGAAACAGAGGACAGTCGTAGAAGGGAACAAGCTTGCGGTCGAGGAGGAATCAGCATCGTAAGTACTCTCTTTCCGGATGTTCGTGGCAATGTTAATGGTGATGTGTTGCACTCCCTATGATGTTGGTGGAATAGGCAAGACCAGGCAGTGAGCTCGTCCCCAGAACAACGGCAAGCACAGACCTACCAGCAGCAACTATCACCGCACGAGCTTGCATACCAGGAGGAATTGATCCACGAGCGTGAGACGGAGATTCGTGAGATCGAGACTGGAATCCATGAACTGTCGGAAATATTCCGTGATCTGGGAACTTTGGTTACCGAGCAGGGTGGCATGATTGGTGCGTCTTATCTCCGTGCATACCGCTACGATCCCGCAAACGTCTGACAAGCGGGTGTTGTCGTTCTCCATTTCCCTCGGTGGCCTGATCCTTGTGGTCGGTTGGGGATAACACCAAAACAGATAATATCGAGTCAAACATCTCGAGCATAGCGGTTGATACTTCCGGAGCGGCAGAGGAACTGACGACGGCCTCTGAGTACCAGCGGAAGGCAGCACGAAGAGCTGCGTGCTTGATGATCATCCTAGTCATAGTCGTTTGTGTCGTACTGGTCGCTGTAAGTCGAAATTACATCTCTCTCCATTCAGTATTGCCTTTTTTTACTTCCCCGAATCGTCTTCTTCTCGTGTCCCATTACAACCTTCTTTCTCCACATGAACTTTCCGCTCCCCACACGAGGGTATCCCCATGTTTCATTTTCTGATCGTCCTCACGCCATACCCGCACTCCACACATTCATTCACCTTCTCCGTTTGACTGACCGCTATTTCCCACTGCTCATCTATTGAGTTCCCGTGCACCGCTAACGTTGTTTTCCGTCTACTCTTGGCATGAAATCAGATACTTTCCTGATTCCCTGATACCCCATCCCCGACTCGCTCCCGCGCCCACCACCCTCGGACCATGACCGAACACCCATCCAAGGCTGCGTCTCCTCCTAGCTGGATGTATGTATTGGTTTTTTTGTGATTGTCACATCGTGGGGAGCGCCGCCGATACTTGATGATGTCGATGACGATGATGGACACGACACTGATTTTCTGGTCTGTTTTTATGGTAATTACTATGCTTGTTTATTTTATATGCGCTCCTCGGATCTCTTCTCTCAGTTATAGACACTGTTTTATGTCACTGTGCATTCAGACCTCGGGCCTCGGGTCTGGTTTCGAACGATGTTGATGCGCCGATTTGAATGTTTGGCGGAAACCAACTGGACCGATAGCAGGACGACATCCGTGATGTTCATCTTGTCCTGGTGCGCCAACGACGCCGGCACTTCGTCTTCGCACCCTTTTCCGTTTCTAACCATTTTGGCCTCTCGTCGTTCTGTTTTCTCAACCTTTTGCAAGGCTCTTGCCCAACCCATTTAACATACGGCCTCCGTCTTGCGACTGAGCGCAAGCAGACGAGACTGGATGGGTGGTAGGCTGTGCATGTGAGAGCTCGAGGCAGATTATAGGCTCTGCCTCGATTGCCCCGTGGTCTATTGAACTTTGGATGGTGTGGAATCGGGGGACGGAGATGGACATGGGAATAAGCTCGCCAATTCGGATGGTGGTACCGCTGTATTCATTGATGCTCCACGGGCGTTGTAGACCTCATTGCAACGCTTTGATATAGAAAGTATCACAGCCTTAAGGTGGCTGGGGCTGGCGTATGTCCGTGTCGTCATAGTTTCGATGTCGCGGCTTTTGGCTGAACGAGGACGAGTAGTGGTTTTTTGTTGACCTGACCTAATTGTTTTTTTTTTGCAACATGAGTTGCATGCACAACCCCAACCGAGGTCGACATCAATTCGCCGTGGTTCCTCTCAGGTCATTTTCCATCTCCATTTCTTGCCTCAATCGACGCTCGCTCGAGCTGTAATTATGGTCCATGAATAATCTCACCGAGGCGCAACCCTTTGTGATGTGATCGCGTCGAAGGTTTCTCGAGAACCGACCGCTGGCCAGCCTAGACTCCAGGCCTTGATTCGGAGGTTAGCTTTGTGAAAGGAAGGAAGGAAGGAAGGAAGGAAGGAAGGAAGCAAGGTGTATTCAGGGTACAATACGGTCCCCGAGCATTTGGTCGACCTCCGTTTGTCTCCATCCACGTCCTCGTCCTGTGTCTCGTAACCCGCCCATCCATCTGTCCATTTGCTCCGATCCCCATCCCCAATACGATGCAGGGTTGACTAGATCGTCGACGTTGACTTCTCATCGTGGTCCAGGGGCTCCCGACCCTATCTCATAGCCTTTGTTGGACTGGGCTGGGATGCTTAGGCGTCTGTTGATGTTGTTGCGCTCAATCTGTGTTTGTGCGTTCCCTCTAAACGGGCTGAGAGGACCTTTCAGCTGGTGGGCGCCTTGTGTGAGGCCGGGGGTATCTAGAGTCTGGACGCTTCCTGCACTCTCTTTGAGTGCATCTTGATGGAAGGTGCGCTTTGGCGTCTGAGCAATTTAAAGTTTCCAACCCATCTCTCGTCCGAGTCGTTCTTGATATTGCGCTGCAGGGATTTTTGGACGGTAGAGCCTAGGTGCTCTCGTCACTTCTATACCTCATGACTTCATGAAGGCTCGGACACGTTTTCGATGGATGTTGGAACAGTGACATTGACCATGGAATGTTGGTGTACAAACACTGATTCTGGGTACTCGACCAGATAATGCGACTGCTTTGAAACTCGAGGGTGAGAAAGGGGGTCGGGGGACTCGGAGTACTATGTCGTGCCTCCAGTTCAATCATACCAGCGCAGACCAGCACCGCCAACGGCGCAAGTGATGGCTTGTGGGATCTTCCGCTCAACATTCAGCATTCAATATCGGGACGGCTGTGGTAGATATCACCATTTCGATCGACCGACTGGTACGGAGGATGATGCATGATGGAGGGTTGGTGCGATGAAGGTCGGGTATTCGATGGTTCTGGTATCTGGAGAACCTGAAGTTGTATTTTGTTTCTCTTGTTTCTTTCTTGGTACGTCCAAGAAGGAAGAACTGTGTATAGGCGCGTAGAATCATCCCTCCATGTCGTCATTATCCTGATTGAACAGGGGCAGTAAGATAGCCCCATTTGAACGGTTGAAATTGACCTCCTTTCGTACCGCAATGTTAACGTCCGCACGCGGAGACTCAGTCTCCTTGCCTTTGCGCTCGTATCATGGTAGTTGGTCGCGTACGATGCTGAGTATGTTGGCTGGTGACTTGTTTGAAGTCATGACTATTAGATGCAATCAGACAGCATCGACCGAGAGCTCGGTTAGCTCTCGTACGTCCCATCGACTCACCTGTCACTTAGAACTTTTGGAGCCCGCGGCACGGACACATATGGCTCCCGCGACGTGATGAGAGGCATCACCTGAAGCGAGCGGTGGTCCTACTCGGAGTCAGATGGTTTGGTCTCATATTTTTGATAAACTAGGAGAAAGGGTAGAGTTTGAGGGTACCATTGCGCGCCGTGAGTAGCTGTGATGGCCCTACAGCCTGCTGGAATTACTAGGTTGAAGTTAGCGCTGTCCTCGAGGGAAAGAAGAGGATGATGGGCGTGGAGTATTTTGGGGCCAGGACGATTGGGGAAGGGCGCAAGGAGGGGCTGTTGGCTGATATTGGCCAAGGACGCCACCATTTCGTGCCGCGGCGGTCAGCTGCTCAGTTGGAGAAATCCGGTTTCCGTCGCACGGAACTGTCGCGGGCTGCTAGAAATTGGTCTATATCATCATGGGAAATTGTCGGTTGAAGTTCTTCTTCTACTTACGAAAGTTTTTAAAACATTGCTCTAGTCATGATTGACAAGCGGGTCGTCTTGACACAAAGCATTAGACCATGCCAAAGAGGGCCACAATATCGAACATACGCCACAGGAGGGGAAAAAACACGATATCGGATGCGGCTTCTGTGTTGTTGTTCCTGAGATCGGAAGAGGCAATGCGGCGGATCTTGGCTTTGACGGCCGCGATTGGTCCAAGCCTTCTTTACCCCGCATTCTCGTCCCAAACGGGCAATCAGATCGCAGTTAAATTTTACTTTCGGTCTGGGGCACGCGAGCCAGCCCTCTGGATCCTCGCGCTCTGCAGTCCCGCTTATTAGCGCCTCGCCTCCACTCAAATGATATAAATCCTATCCGGTCTGCCCCACCCTGACTCTCCTCATCTTTTCCTTCGGCGCTGTCCTCCATGTCCTAGTTCAGGGTTCAATCCCTTGACATTATCCGTATATCTCAGGCGGAACATCGACAGACAAGGAACGAACGGCACAACACGCTCCAGCGCTTGGTTTTTCTCAAAGTACCACATTCGGGAAAGCCTCAATAACCAGCTCAGAGTGCCACGGAGCGAGACGAAGGAAACATGCTCGAGCTGAGGGATCTGCAGGCCGATATTGCTGATATAAACCATGCGTGAGTCTTTTGTTGTCAAGCGACGTGGCAGTGGTAGCAGTGCCGCAGAAGCTTGAACGTATGGACTCGATCGTCTACTGACTTCTGTCTTCCTCGTGGGCATGGGATTATGTGGACAGTGATTTAACGAGGGTGAGTCTCGCCGCCATAGTTCTTGTTATTTTTGTGTGGCGGAAGTGATTCGAAGCTGATGATAGCCTTTCGTTGTTCTCTCATCGCCAACTGTTTATCCGTGTTCCACTCTTCCACGCCGGCTCCGACCCAACTTCCTACTTCGGACTCACCGCCGGTCATGAATTTAATGTTGGCAGGCCATGGGCGCGGCTGCTTTCACGATCCTAGTTTACGACCACCTTATGACTTTCTCTGACGAAGTGAGGGTTTTACGTCTTTTCTTGTGCGTTTCATTCCGCTAAAAATTTCGCCTTGTCTGTCGGTGCGGTATATTAGGTCGAGTACATCTGGAAGGGCACGAAAGGACGACGTATGTTTTTTCTTCTGTGGTTTATTTGCAGCGTTGACTCTTATTGCTCGGTATCTTCAGTCGTGTACTTGTTTTTGCTGGTGCGTTGTCGTCGGCTTCCACGTGCTTCGTCTAAGATGGTGTTGATCATTCTGTTTGCATCAGAATCGATATCTCACGCCTCTTGCCTTCATCATCAATGTATACGGTCAGTTCATTCATGCCACCTCTTGCAGCATCTGCCAATGCAGCTCTCACACGAGTAAAAATACTGACGACATTGGCTCCGTATGCATAGCCTACAACAGCAACGACTGGACAGTCTCTGTCTGTAATTTTTATTTATTACTCAGTCCTATCACACGTACTCATCCTAATCTGGGGGCTGGATTGTATGCTTCTAGTCGTGAGTACTCTTCTATCATTCCTGCCCAATCACCTATCAGAATGCACCCAGTAGTAAATAATTATATACCTACAGATGCGATCGCTTTGTGCGCTATGAAGGCGTTATGACCATGGTTGGAATCGTGATCGTCGCCGTGATGATGTTCCTTCGGTATGTCATTGTTATCATTCTTCTTCGTTGATCCGCAATAAAAAATATTGACCGAATCGCATTGTTGTTGACCGCCAGAGTACAAGCCCTCTACTCTGGTCACCCCCGCAGCTACTGGATCCAAGGGGTTGTGCTCACTATTTTAACGGCCTTCATTGGGACGAACACATGGCTGCTCACACAAGGGATTGCCGTCCCTCATGAAGTCAACGACGGTGTACATTGTATGTTCCTTGCGTTGCTTTCATGTCATCATACTCGGGCTGAGCCAACCGTCCATCTATAACTGGCACTCACAACAAACTATCTTTACCCTTTGCAGCCTGCAGCATGATATTCAACAAATCGTACGTTCTTCTGCCGTCGCCGCCTCCTGATTCTATAGACTTTGTGTTCGGTCACTGATATTACTGTTCACCAGTGGTCCAATCGCCGCCACCACTGCCTGGTTCCCGCTTCTTTACGACACCGTTGTCGTGGGGCTGACGCTTAAGGCCTTCATGCGACCCGGGTTGCACGCAAGCGAGATCATGCAGGTGCTGGTCGAGGAGGGTTTGCTGTATTATAGTGTCATCTTCTCGGTCACCCTGGCGTTGACGATCATGATCGCGAGTGCGGACAAAGGCGTGAGAAATTTACTGGCACAGTGAGTGACGCGTTTCTGCTCTTCGAATTCCTGCATCATTTTTAACATGGCATACTTCATAGGCTCGAACTGCTGTAAGTTCTTCACCTTTACTTTCTCGTGTTCTCTCGGACCAGTTAGCAGAGAGCCTGATCATTTTCCTTATTGTCGAATCCAATAGACTGACCGTGACGATGATGTCTCGCATCACACTCGACCTCAAACGGTTTCATCATCACCAATCAAGGATCGGACAGCAAGGCGGCAGCATCGTAGTTCCTGGCACCAAAGACCCACCCGGCCTCACTCGACACCCTGACCATCACTCGCGTCACGCCCACTCATACTTCCCCCACTCTCCTCACTCCCCAGAATTCCAGCCCGCGCGCTTCACGGACGAATCACCACATAACCCCACCACTGCCAAGTCGAAATCCAAGACAAGGACGAGAGGGAAGCGAAAACAGGAACAATCGATTCCGTATGGATTCGGTGAGGTCTCGGCGTCCTCGTGGAGGAGCGTGAGCAGACCGGCACAGTCGAATCGGTCGTTGGGCGGCGTGGGTGGGTTTGGAGTGTTGGAGGGGTTGATGAGTTGGAGGCGGCCGGGACGGATACAACATATTCAGAAGAGCACGATCGGGACTGGGGCGGAGGATTCGTTTTTCAGTATGGTTACTATGCCTGATACGGCACAAGCGGACCGTGGGCATTTGGGTGCAGGGGCGAACGGAGGAGGGGAAGGGCAGACGAGGACGATTGAGACGATGGCGACCAGGGGAGGGGGTGGGACGAGGGACGAAGGGGTTGAGGTGTGGCGGGAGGTGGAAGTTGTGACGGAGGGGGAAGAGTGGTGGTTAGGGAAAGAGAGGGGCGGGAAGCAGACGTATTCGGGAGATGAGGAGATGGGGCTTGGGGAGAGTCTGGGCGAGGATATGAGGGAGGACGAGGAGAGGGAGGAGAGGCAGAGGCAGAGAGCGTATAGAGAGGCGGGGAGGAAGGGGAGCGGGGAGAGTAGCAGCAACGGTAGTGGGCGTGCGAGAGGATACGTGCACGACCCTCCGGTGGAGATGGTGGAGATGGTGCCGAGGAGACCAAAGCAGGCTGTGACGAAAGGGCGGGAGCCTCCACCTGGTTTCACGGGGATTGGGTTCGATAGGGATGGTTTGTGATCCCGTCTCTCTCTTGCTTTTGCTGTCACTCTGTTGTAATTTATTGTAGTCTTTATCCTCTGCTCCTGCCATCGTTCGCCATCTTGGATATCCGGTACTTCCTTTCACGCCTGTGGCGCTGTAGCACTACTGTAGTACCCTACCCTACTTTCCTGTCATTAATTGCTATCTACTTATATGTCCGTGCTGGGCTCTCTCGCTATCTACCTGCTTATTTTGTACCGTACCATAGTTTTTGTTACCCATCATGATCCATTGCGTTCCAGCCCTTGTCCAGAGTCAGGGTCCTGGCAGAGAGCAGTGTGGCGTCAAATTATGGCAGAGTGGTTGGTCATGGGGAGTATGCTTAGTCAGCGGTGGAGAAGGCAGCCGGTTTCCGCCGGGTGGGCTGAGCGAAGACTTGTCGTGAGGGAGTCGCACGCTTTGCTCCATTTCCAAGACTAAACTTGTACCCCGACCGCCACCTTCGACTCTGAACTTTGACTAGAACTACCACTCTATCTTTCGCAGACGTCGACGACGACGACAAAATAAACAAAAAAATGTCGCAGTCGTACTTCTCGCCGCGAAGGCAGGTGCAGTCAGAGCAGTCGACGCCTGCGCTCGTCGAGACGCCGGCCGTCAACTGTGAGAAACAGCTGCACGATGTCCAGGCGGCTTATATCGAACACAAGGATAGGCAAGTTCATATTTTTATAGATATTACGCGCAGTATTCTTACATAGGGCGAGCAGACTTGTGAATGCCATCGACTCTACAAAGACCATTCTCGGCGACCTTCGCTCTTTCAATAAGAACTCCTGGGTCGTTAGGTACCCCCAGTTCCACGACAGCAACAACAGCACGCAGGAACAAGCTTCTTCCGCCCACCGACGCACCCTCTCCCGCTCTCTTTCTTTCGCCGATGATCCCTCTGCTCAAACCGACGTCGTCCTTAAGCCCGTTCGTAGGGGTATGGCTCGCGCCATGACCCTTGCGGCCGTCAAGGACGTAGATGAGGACCAGGTCGAGCAGCACTCCTCGACCACCGCCGAGAACGATGATGATGAGCGTCTCATCCCGTCGACCGACGCTTCAGATTTCCATATCTTCCGTCTCGACCTCAAGCTCGGCGCACACGGTTCGTCCAACTCGCCCGCTTCGCTCGTCCACCAGCTCGAGAAAAACTCGATCGCGAACCTCTTGGACGAGCGCATCGCGGGCTCGATGTCTCACATCGACAAGCTCCGCGTCCGCGTCGAGGACACGTCCAGCAAGGTCCTCGTCACCGGTGACCTCAACGCCGGAAAATCCACCTTCGTGAACGCGCTGTTGAGGCGTGACGTCATGCCAGTTGACCAGCAGCCTTGCACGACCGCGTTCTGCGAGGTTCACGACGCGAAGGAGAATGAGGGCAAGGAGGAGGTCCATATCATTGCTGCGGGCGCGTCGTACGACATCAAGGACGCTTCGAGCTACGTCCGTGCCGGGCTTACGGATCTCGAGGATGTCATCTCCGAGAACGAGCACTCGGACCAGATCCTCAAACTTTATCTCAATGATCCCCGCTCGCCCACCCAGTCCCTCCTCAACAACGGCATCGCTGACATTTCGCTCATCGATGCTCCCGGTCTTAACCGCGACTCGCTCAAGACGACCGCCCTCTTCGCTCGCCAGGAAGAGATCGATGTTGTCGTCTTTGTCGTTTCGGCCGAGAACCACTTCACGCTCTCCGCCAGGGAGTTCCTCTTCAATGCCTCGAACGAGAAGGCCTACATCTTCGTCGTCGTCAACAAGTACGAGCAGATCAGGGACAAGGCTAAGTGCAGGCGTCTCGTGCTCGAGCAAATCAAGCAGCTCAGCCCGAGGACCTACGACAACGCGGAAGAGCTCGTCCATTTCGTCGACTCGGCTTCTGTTATGGGGTCGGACAAGGAGAACATGCCGTTTGAGAACCTCGAGTCTGCGCTCAGGTCCTTCGTCATTACCAAGCGCTCCAAGTCCAAGCTTCACCCGGCCTCGACCTACCTCTCCCACCTCCTCTCCGATGTCGACCTCCTCGTCGGTGCCAACGCTATCGTTGCCAAGTCAGAGCTTGATCAAGCTAAGCAGGACCTCCAGCGTGCCCGTCCCATTCTCGAGAAGATGAAGGGTGGAAGGGACACCCTTGAGGACGCACTCGAGACCGTTGAGGAAGATTCGTCCAAGACAGCGTCTTCGAGGACCAAACAGATCTTGACCGACGCCCTCGACAAGGTTGGCTCCGGTCTCCTCGCCGTCGAGAAGACCGCCGTCCAGTTTCCCTCTTACCCCGGCTTGCTCGGTATCTGGGATTACGCTCGCGACGTCCGCAAGGCACTCTTGGCCAGTCTCGATTCTGCCGTCAAGCTCGCGGAGGACGAGGCGAGAGTTACTACCACCACTGGCGTGCAGAAGATCGCGCAGCTCGGAGAGGAGCATCTCCCTGAGGGCGTCGAGCGCTCCCGCAGGGTTTTCATGCCGGAGGCGATGTTCTCCGCTGGCAAGGACGCGCGCAGGAGGTCTCGTCGTTTCTCTTCCGCCTCTGCAGTCAACGGAGCCGTCGTCGCTGGTGGTATGAACGGCCTCGGTATCGGTCTCGCACAACGTGCCGACCTCCTCGAACCTACTTTCTTCGACCTCTTCGACGTCCAGCACCAATGGTTCGTCCACTTTGGCGACAAGAAGGTTGATGAGGATGAGGGCGATGAGGAGGCGTCGCCCACGGCTTTGGGCGTCGTTTCGGTGGGCTTGGGAGCGTTGACGATGGTTGGTGGCCAGGCTTTGGGTGCGAGGGGAATTGTGGAGGGTATTGTGAGGCTCTCGGATCTGATCGGTAACGAGACGGCGAGGAAGTGGGCCGCTCCGGTCATTGGCGCTTCTGTCATCGGTCTCACGGCGTACTTCATCCTCGAGTTGCCCAGTACGATCCCGAGGACCGTTGGGAGGAGGATCAAGAGGTCGTTGGTGAAGAAGGATGGCACGGTGAGCGAGGATGTGTTGTTTGTGGGTGCACATGCAGGCAGGGTTAGCAGGGAGACGAGGAAGGTGTTGAGGTTGGCGAGTTGGGATTTGAAGGAGAGGTTCAGGGGAGCGATGGAGGAGAGGGGCAGGGAAGTGAAGAATGCGGAGGAGATGGAGAAGAAGGCGGAGAAGGCTTTGGGGTGGTTCGAGGAGGTTGGACAGAGGACAGGAGATGTGAGGGACAAGGCGGGGTTGATCAGCATGAATGTTTGAGGAATGTTAGGTTCATGACTCGTGGCATGGTTTCTCGCTCTGTGTCTTTGACACGACGACTCAGCCGTCTTCGGGTGCTCTGATACTCAGGCTTGCTTGTTAGGTAGGTGTTGGTGTGCATTTGTCGTGATGTTGAGCTGGTTGCTGAACAGCCCACTTTCTCTAGGCGTTCTACCCGTCCTATAGCTTCGATCACCCAGCATCTTCTCTTTTACCCTCTCGATCTGTATATGCTCCTCACTGTCATTCTCCTTCTCTTCGCCTCTCCGCGTCAGCTTAATCCCCACATTCCACTCCGTCCACGGTGTACTTTACTTCTCATCTTCCCTGTCCATGACGCCTCCTCACGCTCATTATTTGCCCCTCTGTCTCTCCTCTGCATATCTCTCCTCTGCGCTTGTGCGCCTTCCTGTCTACATGTCCCGACCTCTCGCGAGTTTCTATTTATGAAATATATCGAGTTTTACGAATCGTTTATGCCCCCTTCTCCTCTCCTCGTTTCCTCTTCTCTATTTCTTTTGATTTTGTTCACTCCCTTCGACTTATTTTCGAAGATGGCCGGCTTGCTCGTGGATCTCTCCCTATCAATTCTACCTTGACGAGGTTAGGAAAAGATCTGCGGGTGGGTGTCGGGGTTGTACGAGTTCTATAATATAGACGTATGTGATTACGGTTAACTTGAACGTGGGTCTGTGGATCGTCTTTTGCAGTTGGCTCTTTGGTCCGCATAGGATATCGATACGTATACAGTGGTATATACGCATGTTGTTTTTAGTTGGTCGTGCATGATGAAGCATGGGCCTCGTATATGTACTTGGTCTAAATCGTGCATCTTCATCGACACTTCGTGCTACGAGAAGTGCAGTACACAAACGACTACTCGTCCCTCCCTACGTTTGTCGTTCTTAAGGAAGAGGCAAAGGTCGGCCGTGTTCTTGCGAGCTGAGCGGTATTTACTAGGCAAAAGTGACGAGCTATCTCAGTTCAGACTCAAACCCTGCCAAACCCTCTCCGCGACCTCCTTCATGCCCTCCCTCCACTTCTCCCCACCTAGACCTTCCTCCCCCTCCTTACCCTTCCCACCTCCCCCGACCAACACATAAGGCATCCCATGGTCCCCACCCGTGCTCACACCGGGCACGAGGGGGAGTTCGGCTAGAACGGGCACGCCGAGACGGGAGGCGGTGGCGTGGAAGGCGGTTGGGGGGCCGAAGAGGTGGTGTGGGGTTGTGCAGGTGGGGCAGAGGAAGTAGGAGGTGTTGAGGATTAGGCCTTTGATCTGTGGGTTGCGTGAGTGCGCCAAGTCCGGAGTGCAGCATAATATATGAGACGGAGGGTGGAGGCGAAACGTACGGGGACAGAGATTTTGCGAAACATGGCGATGCCTTTGCGTACGTCGGAGAGGGCGACGTCTTGTGGCGTTGAAACGATGACAGCGCCTGTTATAATGAGCCACAATGCTTTAGATGGGTGACTTCGTGAATTGAGTGACAGAAGCACATACCATCGACGTTCACGAGTTGCCCCAGCGTAAGAGGTACATCTCCCGTTCCAGGCGGCATATCTACCACCAAAACGTCTAATCCCGGTCCCTCTGTCTCCCCACCGCTCGTTCCGTATCGCCAGTCTACGTCGAAGAGTAACTGTTGAACGGCTTTTTGAACCATGAGACCGCGCCAGACAACAGCTACGTCTTCGTTGCTTCCGCTTTCGTCTGTAGACTCTGAATTTGAGGAGCGGGGTAGAAGGAAGCCCATGGACATGCATGGAAGGCCGTGGTTTACCAGCGGGATGAGAGCGCCAGCTAGTCGAGACAGTGTGGAGTCGGTATAGATACGATAAGCGAAGAAATGAACGAATGAACAGACATGGTGTAAGATTGGGCTCCTCTGCACGGTCAAGGCCCATGAGTTTTGGAATGGAGGGCCCAAAGATGTCCAAGTCGAGTATACCCACTCGAGGTCTCGTACTCCGCATCGCAAGCGCGAACGCCAGGTTCACTATTAGCCCCCATCCCATATTCGTCACTGTATATTCAACCATATAGACAGAAGACTAAACGCACCAGCAACTGTACTCTTCCCTACACCACCCTTCCCACTCGCTACGACGATAACTTTCTTAGCATGAGGGATAGGCCGTTTGGCTATGGGACCTGTTCGACGAGGGATCTGGGGCGGAGGGCGTGACCCTGTGCGGGGAAGGCCCTGTGTAGGTCAGAATATCGATATTAGGGCAAATTTGTGGCACTCACGAGAGGATTTTCATGGAGAAGAGGTCGGAATGTGCTGAAATGGCGGCGGAACATCGTGGTTTGAGGAGGAGTTGGGGGGCCACAATTTGAAGTGTGTGGCGCCGACGTGGTCCATTGACCTTTGAAAGCCGAGATCCTCTCTTCCGTTTTCTTGCTTCAACCACCATGCATGATACTTGAAAGTTGATATTCAGTGACACACTGTCGCTCCCGAAACGTCGACGTATTTCCTCGAGATGCTTTCAGACTTACAGCGGTCTGAAATAGCTCATAAGTACTTATCTCGGACATATGATTTTGGTGACTCAAGTGCCAGTGGACTAGCTCCTCCATGATACTTGTACGTCTCAGGCTTTCTTTTTCGAATTCTTCTTCCCTTGGAAAGGACCATGATCTTGAAGCTCGGAGTCAGACCCAGCCTGCTGTGTCCACGAGAATTTGTCTAGTATAACCCACGAAATGTAAATGTCTTCTTCCGAGTCTCTTGTTGGTTTACGGATGCTTGGTCAACGTTGCTCTTCCCTGGAGTTACAAACATATAACACCTGTTCGGTCTCGTTCTCGCACTCTAAAGTTGTGCAGATACTCGCTCTTGTGACCTTCTCCGGCTATAAACGACTGATCCCGTAGACATGCGGACGACAACGGGCCGTCCTCAACCCAGGCATGACCATGCAGCGTGAGCAGTTTTTAATTCCAACCACTTCCACGCTCACTCAGAATAATGTACAGTGCACTATAAAAGATCCCTGCGTCATATCAGTTCTACTTTCAACGACGGCGGCCTTACGACCTTGAGGTATCTCCACGATGTATAAATCATGGAATACTGTCACTATTGCGACGCTCTTATTCCTTGGTTTGTCATTCGCTCGGGGTTTTTCTTCTGAGTTCCTGGAATGCCAGCTGTTGAAAAACGGTACGGTTCCCCAGCTGACAGGATGCCCTGAGGGTACGTTGTACGTCTCTGCGGTTGACGCGGAGGCAAACTTCACTACGGTCCAGGCGGCGGTCGAGTCTCTGTACGTGTTCTGTTTTCGAAACCTCATGGATGATCTGGTTATGTTCAATGCACTTACACTATATCTCAACAGACCAGAGACAGGAAACGCAACCATCCTGATAGGTGCCGGAGAGTATGAAGAACTCGTCAACGTAACGCGTACCGCGCCCCTCACTCTGCTAGTGCGCGCTTTCCCCTTCCACTTCTCCTCCATCACATTGAATTCTCTACGACGATACAGGGTCAACTCGATCCAGAGACCGCGTTCCTTACAGGCTTAAATGCTTCCTCACGCAATCTCGTCCACATCTTCAACACCACATTCGTCGCCAACGGTATCGACGACGCACAGACCGCTGTCCTCGTCGTGGCCCCCAATTTCAACGGATCGCTCATCGGCGCTGGAACGGATGGTGCGCCTCTGCAGCCCGAGTTCGGAAATGTGGATTTTAAGGCATACAATATCAACTTCGAGAATCGTGCGGTACGGCCTAACTTTTGAGTGGCACCACATATTGCACAAAGCATCTGAGTCAGGGCTGATGGATGTTTATGACAAAAAATTAGGCAGACTTTGCGATCTCGCAGGCTTTGGCGATCGATATCTCGTACGCAAATGCCTCATTCTACGGATGCGCTATCGCTAGTTTCCAAGATACGTGGTATACTGGACGCAATGCGAGCACATATGTCGTCGACTCGGTTATTTACGGCCAAACCGATTATCTGTTTGGCTTTGGGACTGCGTGCGTCTCCTTTTACTCTCTCTGTCATCTATGTGAGCTAGATTACTGATTTTTGGTTATTTCTTTAGATGGTTCGAGAACGTAACACTAGCGAATCGTGCATGTGGAGGTGGAATTGCGGCTTGGAAGGGAAATAATCAGACCTTCGCACCGGGTAACAGATATGGTGCATATATATCTAATTCGAGGATCATCCGCGTAGGTCTTGTCTTACATTTTCTTGACGGGGTACTGAAGCTCTATCATTCTATAGTCCCCCGACGCCAATGCAACGACCAATATCACGGAACAGTGCTGGCTTGGTACGTTCACAGCCGCACCAGCTCTCTGGCAAAGGTGGCGTCTTGATACAACGACTCGAGAACAGGTCGACCATGGAACGATTTTGCGACATCTGTCTTTTTGAACGTCTTTATGGAAGACATCATACAGCCGCAAGGTTTCGAACCTTTCGATTCTGCGAGGTAATCGTCCCTTGCCACAGTCCATCTCTTTCCGAGACTCACCGTGTACCTGCTGATAGACCAACTATCATGAACACGACGTACTACGCGGAATTCAACTCACACGGTACGCTCAATGTCAGCCCATTCTCGCAATGTCCCAAGTCTGACGAACTTCCCTACCACTTAGGTCCGGGAGGAAACACTAGCGCTCGCGTCTCTGACCATATTCTTACGGAAGCAGATGTCCTCGAGATGAACTTTACGGTCGACGGAGTGTTTTTGGAGCATCCTGCTTGGATTGATTTTGAGTATTCTTCCACATGAGGACCAGTACCGTAATCTCCGTCACATTCTCGTAGAATAAACAAAATCAATATCTTGGGGGATGCAGACGCGTACTACGACCGTTCTTCGTTCGCTCTCTGCGTCACCCAGTACTACTACATACCTTGCTCCAGGCTAGTATTATCCTATCACATATCGACGAGCCGCTTTGCGTACCGATACAATAGTATCAGTAGTGAGCCCAAGCCGGCCTATGTTGGGCCTATGACGTCCAAAATGAATTGGGCCACCTTGGTGGGGCTTGGTGGCCGTCGCCTAGGCACGCCACACGTGGCGCCTCGATGCTGGCATTCACGCCGAATCACTGTGAACGCGACGCAAGATGAACTTAACTGCCATCTTAACCATCATCACGAAACTTTCGTTGCTTTCTGGCTGTATTCTTTCCTTGACATAAAACACTTTCTTACGCGATAAACCTCAAATTCACACTACTCAACCAATAGACTCTGATTGGCGCTGCCGCAGCGAGCCTTCCGACGCACTCTAAAAGCGCCCGGAACTCGTATTGATTGTTGTGCAGCATGCCCACGAAGAACACGATGATAACACAACAACAACACGACCCCTATTCGTTGACTGCCTGCGGGCATCGTCTTGTTAACAATAGACATCCAATGCGTGTATTCGTCACAAAAAGAATCGGTCGATGAACTCGCCATTGTATCGTGTTGGTGGGCTTGGTGCCCGACCTTCTGTACTCACGAGGCAATCCACACCATATCCCCATGGCAATCCCTGTGCTTGTTATCGTTCCTGGGACAAACAGATGCAGGTACGAGGAAGAAAGTTCACTGCGCCTCCACTCTTGAACCTTCCCGATATGGCTCAGACCCTCGTATCACGCGTACACCAATCGTGGAGGAAGGTCTTCTAACGGCATCAGGATATCAGGTTTCGAAACGTCTGCCCACGAGCATTTCGTTAGCTGTCGATCTTCACACCCTTTGAAGTTCAAGCGCTGACGGGGCATATGCTCCGGGCTTCGCGCCTTTACTCGGGTAAGTGTTTTCGGAGGAGTGCCGTGAGGAGAACAAAAGCTTTCAGGGCGAAAAATCAAGGCTGGTCCTCGGACGAGGGGACCCTGGACGAGCAGGAGGACCCCGGGTCCGTGGTGGTAGTAGTTCCATTCTCGTGATGAGTGCTTGTCGATTGGATATATCGGTTGGTATTGTGTTCTCCACTCACAACAAGTACTAAAGCTCGCATCTTTTCGTTTGTCTCTGTCAGTTATCTCCCCGTACCAGTTACGCTCAGGAAGTTCTTACGTGCCGACTGTTGTCAACGATGAATCAAATCTTTAGCACCGACTCATCCGACAACGCCTGCCCATTACCCTCTTCCTTCCCGCATCCTTCGCGTCCCAGAACAGCATGGAGCTCATTCTCCCCTGATAGTAACATTGATTCTTCCTTTGTGAGTTTTCCCCTTTACGTCTATATCCATCGTCCTAATCTCCACCATTACTTGTGGCGTTACTGGAATCGGGCAGTTCACCGAGTCATTTCGAGAGCAGTATCCAGCTCCGTCTGGCGCATTGATATTCATGTCCTCTCCATCACATCCGACAGCATATTCCCACTCGTCTATTTATCGAATGCCCGTCGGCCAAGACGCCTTGCGCAAGGGCTTTCAAGAGCGGACGTCTTCCCATCCCCAAACAGGCTGCCCACCATCCCCACCTGTCGCAACCATTAACATGATTCACGTGCGTCGATGTCGATTGGAGTATATTATCATTGTCTGACTTTGTGCAGAGCGGTAATGGACTAGGACTGTTCAAAACGCCGCCACCAATAAATCACGTTCTTCCGGCCCACATAGACCCATTGCCAGATACTGTCGACCCTAGACAGCTCTACTCTACTCTCCCGACCATCATGGTACTCGGAACCTCAGACACCGATAGTTCATTCCACGACGACTCGAGCAGCATATTCTCATCCAGCCTCGGCTCTACGTCACACTCATCTTCACCGGCCTCAGAATCCAAACCTTTGCTCTCATATTCTAAAGCGCACTCTCCATCACCCTCAAACATCCATCCTACCGCGTCCACACCCGGCCCTCGTCGACGGCCTGATCTCGCTCGCTCTCATCGACTTCAACCTCCGAGCAAAATTACACCACCCTGCGCAGGTTTGACTGCTACCCTGCTACGGCCACCTCGCCAGACGGGAAAGAAATCCAAGCGCGACGAAGACGATGATGGCGACGATATAGATGGTCAGGTCGCCGCCGACACTACGCATGTGCGGGCTTCCGGTCATCATGCCAATCGTTCATGCGGTTCTGCACGTCATTCGACCGCTGGTCCCAACGCCAATCCCCAATATCTCCCCTCTTCTCCGTCATGCTCCGCGACCCCATCCACGGCAAAGTCACCGTCAAAGCGCCCCACCAAGAGAGTTCGCCAGAGCCCTACTGAGGTTGACCCCGTCTATTGCCCTCAGTGTAATAAAGAATTCAAGCATACGAGGGACCGGGACCGTCACCTTCGCGAGAGTTGCTTGATGAACGCTCCAAGGGTGACTCAGGCGTACGAGTGTACCACCTGTAACATGTCACTCAGTCGACAAGATGCCCTATTGAGGCACCGCAGGAGCAAGTCGTGCAAGAAAGCACAGCGCCTAAGCAAGGGTCGTGGATAGTCCGCATATTACTGCGCCAAGTACACCAAGGTGTTCCCGCGGAAACTTGTACGTCTCGTAACCCTCTCTCCATTTAGACACTAAATTAACTGTTATCTTTGGCCCTTAGTTGTTCTCAAACATATACCTGGCTCTCCTCCACCTGTTTCTCTAAAACGCATCAATCTTCCACATCTGTTTTTTTTATCGTGTTTGTTATAGTGCTCTGGATACCCTGCTTCTCGATCTGCTATCATGCATTGTTGTCTTTACCGCCGCTCTCCGTACGCCTGGTTTCCTGCACGTATCAATTTACTATATCTCTGTCCTGTACTAGTAACTTCGCTCTATATTTGCTGTGTCAATAGCTGTCTCGTCATCGCTTCCGCATAACGATACTCACCCTTCATCAACAGTTAGATACACTGGACTATCTTTCTGTGCCGCCCTGTTGTGTGTATTCAATGTAATGCTCTGCTCGCTAACTTACTTGGCATAATTGATGGTACGGCCGTCATAGACGTTTCAATGCTCTTTGGGAAGCGATATGATTATCACCCCTCCCTGCGAGCACCATGCATCATTCCCCGAGGATTTCGATAGAGCAAGTGTTGATGGTCAACCCGTACAGCGAGGTGAGTCCCTGGAAAGATCTATCAGAAAACGCCTTAGATCGTTCTCGGTTCTCGGCTTGCACTCGAAACGGTCACTGTGCTTCCACCCATCAGATACTAGAGAACAGGAGCATATGATTGATGCAACGAGAACAAGAGCAAAACTTCTGTCGTCGGCACCTTTCATCCCGAAGAAAACACTAACAATAACGCCTAGTACTCACAAACTAGTACTTATCTTGCCGCAGCGTACTTACACTCACTTTTTCTGATCAGTTTCCCGAGTTTCCGTGGACGTGCAGAAGCGGTCGTATGCATATACACCTCTAGATCTTTCGGTATTCGCAGCAGCCAACCGATAGGCAGATACATATTGCGTCGCAAGCGAGGGCCCGGTCGCAGTGCGGTCAGCCTTGTCCAGAAGAAAGCACAATAAATAGGCGCCCACACGCAACCGAGATCGTTCCTAGTTGTCGGAGTTCAAAATGTTCGTGCTGTGGCACTGACCTTATGGGCCACCCGCAGTCCTTGTTGCTAGATTTGCGTTAGTTTACTTGGTCTTGCTCCGGTCTATTTGGGGGTGCTTATCTCCATTGACTCTCTTTCGTTGGCCAGATCATTGCCGCATGGGAATGCAGCCAAGATATGACAGTTGCTTGTGGTCATCCTCGTACCACGGTGGCGTGGTAGCGGAGCACCTCTCTTTCGAGACCGACGAGTACTGTTCGAAGGCATCATGATCCTACGCCAGGATTTTTGATTCTCCCAATTAATATCTCCATGTTCTTTCTCCGCTCATGATATGCATCGTGGAATCCGAGGACGAAAGGTCAAAGGGGCCGGAACGTGAACGTCCGTACCGAGGAGGCTCCGCCTTGACATAGTTCGACTCGCGCGTCCGGTCTGAACCACTAAAATTACCATGGACCATTCCTTGTTGCCCCAGATGACCGTCGATAGGTCAGCACTATCGATTGGAACTCTCAACTCAATCAGTCCACCGAGTATCAGAGCCTTCGGCGAAGACGATCATGATGCACAGACCCATTTGTTTGACGAACATAGGACTTCCTCGGGATCGCGAGCTGGAAGGAAATCACTCCATGCCATATGGGCATCAGCCATCATATGTAGAGATACGCGTGGTCCAGTCTCGCATCGGAAGCGGTCAAATGCGAGTAAATACAAATTGTACACAGATGTTGAGAGCGAGAGAGAGGATGAAGGTGAAAACTGAAATGAAATGTGTATCACCGCCCATGCAATGACGAAGGCCCAAGCCTATAACTCAGGGGATGACGAGATGCAAGAGGATGCAATGCCATCGTTCCGAAACCAAATACCCTAGAAGATGCCCCGCGACTTGGCTTCGGCTGTCCCTCCCGCAGGTCTGCAACATGCATCTTATGCCACAGACCACGTTCCCAAACGCAAGTTAAGGATCAGATCTACTCCTATAAACAGCCTCGTCTCGTCGAGACCCGAGCGCTCCGTGAAGATATACAGGTCGAGTACCTGGCCGTGATTATTGAGGAGCGCTCTCAGTAGGCTCGCGCCACTTGACGATCCAAGGATGTTTTCGGACCTCCGAGAGGGCTATCCGCTTCTCGGGCTCATATTGCAGTAGCTATCAAAGATAGCGATGTTAGTATGCTGAGATCTTTCAAGAAAAGACGCCAGTGTATAAGCGAGGAACGTCTAGACATACAGAGGTGATTAGGTGTCGAGCCTCGGGTGAGACTTTAGGTGGAATCTTGAGATCGACTTTGGCGATACGCCTATAGGTCGCTGTAGGTTTGGACAGTCAGTGTTTGACCACTTCCGATCACAAATTTGAGCAGACTTACCATTCTGGCCATTCAAGTCTTCAAAAGGAGGTGCCCCACAGATAAACTCATAGGTGAGGACACCAAGAGCCCAGTAGTCGACCTTCTCGCTATGCGTCTTGCCTTCCACCATCTCCGGCGGCAGATAGTCTAACGTCCCACACAATGTGGTTCTCCTATTCCCTGGCGCGTGCACGCTCCATCCAAAGTCCCCAATCTTCAACTCTCCCTTGATCCCTAACAACAAATTCTCCGGCTTGATATCCCGATGAATAACGTGCTTCGAGTGCAGATAACTCAATGCGTCCGCCATCTGATCGACATACTTCGAACTGCGACGCTCGCTGAAGCTGCCGTACTTGACGAGCTGCTTGTACAGCTCCCCCTTTCCTGCGAACTCGAGCATGAGGAAGATACGCTTCTCGTCGTGGAAGTAGCCGTAGAGGCGGAGAACATGTGGGTGGCGAAGGTTTTGTTGGATTTCAATCTCGCGACGAATTTGCTTCTCGACACGGGATTGGACGATCTCGGATTTATAGAGACATTTGAGAGCTAGGATGTAGCGAGGCGCGCATTTCGTGCGGACCATGTAGACACGCCCGAATTTGCCTTTACCGAGAGGACGACCTATATCAAAGTCGGTGAGATGCCATTCCCGAGTGGGACGATGCCTAGAGAAGAGACAGGTCAGGACTTCGGTGCGATAAACCGTGAATATAGGTAACCGAGTCATAATTTGCCTCGTGAGTGTCGACAGAAGCGACGCTGCTGCCATGAGCGGATCTAAAATAAACAACGTACCGAGCACTACTCGAGTCAAGAGCAAGTTGTTGTGCTGCCTCCCCATGAACCGCCTCTCCCCGAGTCTCATTCTCCTTCTCAAATCCTCCATCGTATCGTCCGATATCCAGCTCCCCCGGAGCCGGAGTCTTGGGTGGCGAAGGCGTGGGCACCGCAACTTCAGCCACGGTTGCAGCTTTCTTCACCCCCGACGTCGCTGTCGGCTTCTTGATCCCTGACTTAGACATTCCACTAGCAGCGGTGGTAGTAGCGCCGCTGCCAGTGGCCGTCTTCAACGAGGAAGTCGACCCCACGGGCTTGAGAGTAGGCTTCAGAGAAGTGGTGGACTGGGTCTTCTGGAGAGATGAGTTTGAGTTCTGGGCAGGAGCGGCGAACTTGTTGAGGAGCTTGGCCACGTTCGTCTGACTGGGTTGCTTGACATGTCCGGGTCGTGTCGATGTGGCTGGTTTCTGCCCTTGGGGTTGTTGTTGTGGCGTATTGCCTTTCGATGAGATCTCGAGGGCAGCTATTTGCCGAGTGACAGAGCCGATGGTGGCCATGATGGTGAGGGGACAGAGATGAGGAGCGCTGTCGTCGAACAGTTGAGGTCACCGTCAGTCGAACCAACCCGTGCCACCGTTCAGACTCCGACGAGCATCGTCCACGTGACCGCGAAATTCCTGCTTTCGACAGCTCGGCTTTAGGCTCTGTTACAACTTACAACCCT